ACACCAGTGGCACGCGGAGTGTCCTCGGACTCGTCGAAGGTGACCTTGGTGACATGGCAGTTCATGCGGACATCAAGAGGGTACTTCTTGCTGCCGTCCGAGTTGGTGGCATCCCGAACAGCGACGATGAATTCACGAGGGCCATTGCGGTGGGCGTCGTCAGTCGAGACAGGGATCTGGTAGTATCCAGGCTCGGTGTCACGAGTCTTGGTGTCCGCGTTGGCATCGCCACCCAGCAAAGTGCCGATGTTCATGATGTTGTCCGTAAGGTTGCCCAGAGCAAAGGCACCACCGGTGAGCATGCTCAACAGCTGGGGGTCTTCCAAGACGATACTGAGCGGGGCGGTTTCGGTAGAGAGCCAGCCATCATCGCCATGGCCCTTGGGGGTGCCAAGCAGATAGTTGTTATTCTCCAAGCGAGCGAAGTACCGACGCATGTTCTCAGGCGACCAGGAGCTATCACCGGTCAAGGAGGCAATGTATTCGAAGTCGGACTGGTGGGGGTAGACGGCAATCAGGGCGTTGTGGGCGGTGCATCCTCCCAGAGTACCAGTGCGAGGGTACAGGGTTCCCTTCACCTTCGATCCCTCTGGCGGGCTGAGACCGGTATACTCTGATCCATCCGGGGTCTCGTAGGTGGTCTTGAAATCGCGAGCCTGGCGGTCATCGTCGGCGTAGTGACGAGCGAAGAAGTTCCATGCCATTGCCTCATCTTCAGACGATCTGGCCGAGTATGCGGGAATGGAATAGTTGTGAGTCGTTCCCTGGTCATCACCAGCCTCGATCAGGAGAGTCTTGTGGCCGGCCAGAGCGAGACGAGCCGCCAAGGGACCGCCACCAGCTCCGGAACCGACGACAACATACTCATATCCCGTGAGGTTAGTGGTGGCCTGCGCCAGACCAACAGAGACGGCGGCAAGCCCAAGAAGGCGTTGAAATTTCATGATGAATGGTGGTTAATGATTTTACACATTACAAGGGTTAACATGGCTTTTATATCTACATGTCAAGGCCATCTTGACCGTTGCATTATGAAAAAAGGATACCGCGGTTAAAATCATTTGAAGGATAGAACACCGAGAGATCGACACGAGTTAATTATTATTTATTTATTTTTTTTTTTTTTTTTTGTCTTCGGTCCGGTCAAAGGTCCATCGTACTATGTAAAGTTATCCGTACCGATATCCACAGAGTGTCGATTCATTCTGTTTTCGGGAAAATGGACACAACTAGTGGATGTCAGATATTAAATACCGGTGTCAAATTGTTTCGGCTAGGGATTATGGAAGACACGAAGAATCTATCCCGACCAGCCGTCTTTTGCTGACATCGGATCAAACCGCAACAAAACCAAATGGTCGGTTTTTATCACAGCAAGACGGGCTGTAACAGAATCCATGCAGGGCCTTCCCGTCTGCAAGGTGAGTAGCATTGTGAACGTGGGCTCGACTCGATCGGCAGTAAATCTTGCGGCGACAAGGTTCCACACCGGTACTTCAATTGCCTGATTTATAGGGGAATTGACTGTACCTGATAGAGTTAGACACCCGTTAGCTTGACAACCGACCAAGGCTTTTGCGGAGACGTCTCGGAAGTCAAACACAGCTCCGCGAGACATGATGTTTAAATAATGAAGATCCTGAGTTGCGGTCAGTCCCTACAAGGCCCCGGAGCATTATTTCAAGTCCACACAAACTTCAATCACCCATTTTCACCGGAAATGGTACATAATACAGTTTTGGTCGTTTGATTTAGGTCGCTTCACAAAAGCCTTCCCCATTGAATAACGTTTTCCGGATTAAAGGAGCAGTTGTGGATTGTTCTTCAGGGGGCGGGACGGGGAACCGGCATGCTGTCAATCCTTTGCAGGTTTTATACTAGCCAAATATAGAATATTTATGGGTATTAACAAAAATGCACAATTCTCACATATCCTCGATAGAATGGTTCTTCGGATGTTGTTGACTCTGTCACAACCCCTGAACCGTGCCAGCCCTACCCCTGGGTAAATATAACTAGTTAGTTAGTTAGCGCGCTCTTGTTTGTGTCTTAACTGCCGGGCATGAACTTATCCGATCATGAGGAATCCCAGTCATTTGCTCCGTTAAACCGCCCACCTGCAAGTAACTCGATCCGCTGTGCATAACATAGTCGCCGATGTACAGGGATGCGGCAGAATAGAAGCTTCTCGAACTGTGGAGTTGACATTTCCACCGCGCGAAGCTGGAGACTCCCTCCTTGGTCTGGAAGTCGCATTAGAAACACTACCTTGGGTCCGACGTGGTGATACATGGAAGGAGGCAGAGGCCAATTGGTTTCGTTTGAGGTAGAGTCGGTATCCTCACTAGAAGGTGGATCCTGGTTATAAATCAACCGTATAAGGTTAACCAGAGACAATATGTAAGGCTTGTCTGCTCTGGTAACAAGGTCGAATTCGTTGATTATGTTCAAGCATACTCCGGCAAAGGGCGGTATGGGCAGTGATATTGACACTACTGGCGGTGCTCCGAATGTGATGCAGGAAAAGCGGGCTGTATCTGGCTAGCGTCAGAGAGCACGATTTAGCTAGATAATGAGTATGTAGTAGTCTTCTTTACCTTGCGTCTCCAATGATAGACATCGAAAAAAGAGTAATGACGCCACTGCGCCTCCGGCAGAATGACCAGCGAATAGAACATGGCTACCGCCGTCTCTCTGGTGGGTATACTCGTTGATTTTGCGCCGGACAATTTGATCTAGACTTTTAGCGCTTTTCAAAACCCCGGAGTGAGCCTGTAGGGATGCATTAAGGGGGCTAGGATTTGATTGAAAGAGGGTAGTATTCTGCAATCAATTAGGAGCTTGTCATGCATCAAGCTTTCCCGGACAACTTACAATAAACGAGGTAGCATCCCGTGGTTGATTGTTGGTCTACCCGGCTTGCTGTACCGCGAATCGCGACAATCAGTACAGGCAACGAAGTACTCGTTGATGTCTCTCGCAGAGTTACGAGGTGCCCCAACAGCTTCCAACACAAAGTCTGGGAGTAAAAAAGGTACCAAGGATTCACAGGATATATATTCTGGGGACGATGGCGGAAGCCACAGGGGCGATTCTGGAAAAAGGCATCATGGCGAAACGCATCATTCCGCAGGTCACTCAGGGGGGGAGGGCCACCATTCAAAAGGGCATCACTCGGACAGAGATGACTATTCAGACGTTGGAAGTCTCTCGCAAGTTTCCTTCTCGGGACTTCGCTCCGGAGGTTATAGTGGAGGCTACTCCGACGGCTATTCTGGGGGTTATTCGGGAGGGAGTAGCAGTTCTTCCGGCAGAGGAAGTAGCACATATGGGAGCAGTGATGACTACGGTAGTAACAGTACTTATGGAGGTAGTAGTTCTTATGGGGGTGGTGGTAATAGTAGTTCTTACGGGGGGGGGGGGCAGCGATTCAAATTATAATTGAATGTGATCTTGTTTGGAAATGGTGATGGAAGAAATCGAATGTCTCATTGCACCAGGATTTTGTCTTAGAAATTGATAGTCATTACAAACTGTGTCTCCTCGACGCCACACTGATTTACCAAAAGGCGAGGAGATCAATCATTAGACGTGGATTGACCCTTGTCTTCTGTGTGATCACTCGGTGGTGGTGTATGAGAAATAACAAGGCACTTGATGGAACAAACGCTGTTACTGGAGATGCGATGAGTTGGTGCAATCTGATGCTTAGTCTTCATATAGTAGTAATAACTAAATGGTCGAAGAGAAATCTGGATGATCGTGTCACCCTCTAGCTCTTCTCACTCTTGCTATGAAGTATGCAAAGCATGTACATCATTCAAGTCTTGCGAGAGATTCGGGTGTGTCACACAATGATGAATTGCACAAGGGTGTTTGTTGCCTTTCACTTTCTGGATTGTTCGACCTGCAGCAAACCCAGAAACGAGCCAGTTTTGCTCGTGCACCTAAAGGAAAAATTCTGGGGTCCACTACCTATTGATTCAGTATACCACAGATAGCATACTGGCAGGGCCAAGGCAAGGATTTCGGGACGCCTATTTCAATCACGAATGTTGGCCAATTCAATTGCCCATTGTGTGTCCGTCTCGCGAGAGTGTATCACTCGTCTGGTTCAGTCCATGTTGGTACAAGACAAACGACACGTCGTGTCGGATGTGCAGTGTATCAAAATGGCCCATACCCGTTAAAACCGCCCAAGCCATTTCTTTGGAATATGCGATCTATAAATCTCCGGTCATTGGATGGTATTCCCTCTTCCGTTCGGACCCAGCCACATATATGGTGCGACTTGCACATTCAAAAAAGAAGCATTGGCTTTCTTTTTGCTGATTCGAGGCGGTGCTCTTCTTTGGGACACGAACTGGCTGTCTACCGGATACCTACGCATGAAGTATTTGACAGGTTGAACAGCCGCTAACTTGGGGGCGTTGTTTTGTCTCCGTCTTCATTTGCAACTTCGGTCATAGAAAGCGACGACAACGAATTTATCTCCGTCATCATTGTTCACAATGAATCTGTAAAGGACAAGTTTGCCTGTGACTTGCAGTCTCTCCATGTTTGTAGAAGCAGTTGTCTGGGAGATTGGACAGTAGGCCTATCTGGCCGAAGGAGACGTGCACATATGGTTTGGTTGGTCTAACTGCTGTTGAAGACACGTGTGAAGAATCAAGGATGAATGCAAGCAAACGAGGGAAATAAAAAGAAAAGAAAAAAAAAACTCAACCCTCATTAGAGGGCGAGTGAATACGAAAAAAAGAAATAAAAAATGGACTCGCGGGGAATCGAACCCCGGACCACCCCCATGCTAAGGGGGTATTATACCACTAAACCACAAGCCCATTGTTGAAATAAGGTCTTTATTTATTACTTTATCAGCCTATATAATGGCATTATGCAATGACGCATCTCACCAACCCCGTTCTAACAGTCGTAGTATTTTACATGTTGAATGCTTGAATGCAGTCTAATATCTGAAAAAAAAAAAAAAAAAAGTACAATTATACACGCTGACCCCTCTTCAACTCCTCAATATGCGGATTCAACCAAAAACCCTTCAACTGCTCATCACTCATATCCTTAGCCCCCGAAATCCGTCCCAAACACTTCCCCTCCCCCGCACCACAAGCACACTCAAACGGCTGGTCCATCTCCCACTCCGTACTGGGATAAAAGAAGGTAAGCGCATTGCCCTTGTTTAGCGGCCGCTCGTCCACAACCCGGACCTCCATGTTGTGCATATCAAAGACCAGCGACGGCGTGCAGGAGTGGTTGATGAAGACAAGGTCGGAGTTGAGCTCGATGTGCGAGTCCGGGCCGGTTTGCACGGAGGTGTAGGCTTTGGGGGCTGGGGTTGCGGTGGTGATTTTGGTGAAGACGGCGCCAGCGGGGAGGTCGGTTTGGGAGATGGCAGAACTGGCGAAGGCTTTGGGACTGCGGTGGACGTGGAGGAGGTCCGGGTGGGTTTTTATGGTGGTGGTTGTGGTGGTTGTGGTGGTTTCGACTGCCATTGGAGACATTTTGGCGGTTGTAGAGGATTGGGAGGTTTCAATTGTTGATTTGAATTGACTGGATTATTGGGGATTGGGTTGGGAGAAAGGTAAATAATACTTGTAGTGGCTACAGGAATGCTACGGAATAGAAGGGCCGGCATGAAGGGCCGGACATCGGACAGAGGGGCAGGAATCCAGCCGCGTCAGGCAGAAAATAAGACATATCGTCATTGCGAGATTAATTGGCGCTAATACAGCTTTAATTGACTCTAAATTGGTTGTTTCCCTTCTGCCGAGGCGCGGAGATCGTATGCCTCGGTTCATATGTCCAAATGGGATACCGAGCAGCCTTTCAACTGACACTGTATATACAGAGGAACAGAATAATAAACATAGGATAACAGTGCGTAGCTAATTCATCCGTGCTTGCACCTCCTCGCCATCCAACCACCGCCGCAGGTTCTCTGCCAGCTCCTCATACCACCCATTCAACTGGTCCTCCTCTCCGTATCCCATATGCGGTGACAAAACCACCTCACTCCGTCCATCCTGTCCCCAAGCTGTCGTACGCCACGGACTGTCGACAGGCAATGGCTCCGTGTCGAACACATCCAGCGCTGCGCCGCGAATCTGCCCCGCATTCAGCGCTTCCAACAGCGCTGTCTCGTCGATGAGCGGCCCGCGCGAAGTGTTGACCAGTAGCGCTGTCGGCTTCATAGTCTCCAGCTCTGTCTTTCCCACGATCCCGCGACTGCGCTCAGAAAGCACATTGTGTAAACTCACCACGTCCGCCCGGCGGAAAAACTCGGGCTTGGAAGACACAGCCTCGAAGCTTCCCGCCGGAAGACCCTGCGCCTGCGCCTGTTCGTCCGCTTTCTCCTGTGTCAGATTGGATGACCACGCAATCACCCGCATTCCAAACGCCAGAATAGCAATCTTCGCCGTCTGCCCGCCCAACTTCCCCAGTCCCAGAATCCCCAGCGTCTTCTCCGAGACATTCGTCGCGAGCTGATTCCCCTGCCATCCACCCCTCTTAACCGCCGCATCATCCCTTGCAATATGCCTCGCCAATCCCAGAATAAGAGCCCAAGTATGCTGCACCGTCGAATGCAGCCCCGCCGGCCGACCCGTGGTGCCCGCCACGACGACGCCGCAATCGGCACAGGCCTGCAGGTCCAGCGCCAAGTTGCGCATGCTTTCGGTCAAGAGGAGTTTCAGGTTCGGGAGGGCATTGACCACCTCTGCGGGGAAAGGGGTGCGTTCGCGCATGGTCACGATAACATTGTAGGGTTGGAGGCGCTGGATGAGGGCGTCGCGCTGGGCGGCATCGTGGGGGTTGAGGGTGTGGGGGAAATGGGCGAGGTCGATGCGGGAGGAGAGGTGGGCGAAATGGCGCGGAGAGAGGTTTTGGTAGTCGTCGAGGATGGCTACCTTGGGGTTTGTCATTTTGGCTGTGTTGTGCTTGTACCTGGTGTAGAGTGAGAAGCGTAGATATAATGGTTGTTCTGGGTAGTGACAGGTAAAGAATAACTCCGCTACCCCGCGATCGGATAAGATATCTACAGTGGCAGCAATTGTAGACATTGCAGGTCGTAATAACATGCGAAATCACGCAACATCTCAATTTAGACATCATTCAGCAAATCTAGACGAAACTGGCTGCAGTATGCAATCCGGGACTCCGTACTCTGTACTAGGAAGTTTAGCTTCCCGAAAGGGTTATGCTCATCCTTACCACTCCGTTGTCTCTTCAATCAACCCATTCACTGCTCATCAAGCTTTATCTCTGGTTTATCTATAGACAGTGCTTTATTCACTATGTCTCTGTCTATTCAAGGTGAAACCCCATTTGACCACAGCCATCGAAGCGTCAAAAGCGTCATCAAGATTCCTTATTGAGCGCGCATAAGAGAAACCAATCCCGAATACCTAAATTCTAGGAAGGAATGTTTCAAGCCGCTATACTGCTCAAATGAAGACGCGTCAGGCTGCATCATGTGCAACTCTACTGCCGTATGCCGTGGCAAGACATTGCATAGAAGATGATGTTTGTGCGGACAGGTATGAGAGTGTCACCACATCCAAACCAGAACCGGGCCGTCTAGCCAATTGTTAGAGCTCACCATCGTTACTCAAGACGAGCGAGTTCCTTGTCGGAAAACGGATGGGACGTGGCTGAACAGTGGGGATAACCAGTTTATATATTCTACGAGAGATGTAATTCGCTTTGAATGGAGAGACGGCGGTATGGAAAGGGTTTCCCTGTGCATTTCAGCATTCAAACAACCCCCCAAACGGTTCGATTTGTCGCTACAGAGACCGGGCTTTCCAATCATGCTCGGCCTTGCCGTTTTCAAATCGCGATGCCAGATCTACAGCTTCCGACCATCCCAGCAGCGACAGCCCCCGCTTACATCTCATCCAACCTACTGAAACTTCGGGTTATCGGACTAATCCCACAGACCGCCAAGTCAGCGGTCCTTACCCTTTCTTGGTGATTCTCGAGGATTTCCGAAGAAGCATCCCTAATTCTGTCATATCGTGACACCACAAAGGCCACTCAGAGCCAACTTTGGTACAGTCTCCCAGGAACCTCATGGATACGTTGCCATCACAGACGGACAACTTGAGGATAACAGGATTGGGGCCATTAAGGCTCTCGTTGAGTGCAAGAAATGCAAGCTATAAGTAGACATTGTGAACCAGGAGCTGGCAGACGGTGGCGTGGGTAAAGAAATCACATCAGCGAGTTGCTATGTCAATAGGCCAGTAAGAATATCCAAATTCTGCCACATGTCTTGTACAGTCCGACTTTACTATCACAGACGAATCGCCGTGTCTCAGGATCCAGATGAAGTCAACCAAGTCCCGCAATGGGAGCATGTAAGAGAGACACATCGCGACGTCCATCAAGTTCATATCCCCATCTCACCTAGCTATTGTCTCGTCGAAAAGCACAACTACGAATTATTCTCAAGGCGAGAATAATTTGAATAGTGGTGTCGTAGATGCCACCCTACGACTCTCGGCGCCTGTCTGGGACCTACGCTCTAAGATGAATAATCCCATGACAAAACTAACCAGGTCATTAGTGATGTCGTTAAAAATGTCAACCAGGCGAGAAGAGACGGAAGGAAACACACTTCGTAAATGTGCAGCCTTGGTTCAATCGCCATTGATACAACATCAACCGAACAAACGAGCAGTCGCTATCTGCAAAGCAGAATGGCCCAGGTTTGGTGGCGTGGGGACAGAGACTGGCATAAGCCAGACCCCGGCGTTGAATCCACATGGTTCATCCTCAGCGCATGGCCAGATGTGCCTCTGGAACATACCATTACTGTCAGTTAACCGCGGTGGAGGAGCTGCGGCACGGAGAGGAACGTCAACGGGAAGAGGGGATAGCTCAGGGGGAGGAGGAACGTCATCAGAAAGAGGGCGCTCGGCGACAGCGTGAGGAACATCCGCCCATCCTCCCTGGGTCTCCGTGCTAAACTAACCTGTTTGATATGTAGATGCCGGATATGATTGTAGGCGTCAATGATGGGGGATCGGAAGGTAGTGCATGTATGGAGCGCTGTACCCCCGGTATGGCCTTGGAATCACTTGGAATACTCCGCTAGCAAGGCGTGCATGATAATATTACAGAGAACGATGGTAGAATTTTCAGTACAATATGTACCGTTTCCTCTTCGTTCATGGCCTTGTAAGCTCGCTCGACATATTGCAGACACAAGACTAGTAGCACTGAAATATCTTGCAGCATATCAGCGAAGTATATGTAATTGCGTTGTTTGGAGTGGTGAATAATATATATATACTGTAACCCATGGCTGCAACGCAAAATATATCGTTGCACGGTCATCCGCAGATTAGGGCTGTCAACACACATCACATACATAATACGTCACAAAACTTCATTTCCAAAAAATAAAGAAACGCCCAAATCCAAATGAGCACGACAAAACAAAAATAAAGACAAAAACGAATACCAAAAAAGCAAAAAATGGTCCCGACGAGGGTCGAACTCGCGACCTTGGCGTTATTAGCACCACGCTCTAACCGACTGAGCTACAGGACCCAATTGGTTGAAAATGTGAAGCTTAGTATGCTATACAAGGGAAAGGGAAAACATACCCGATGCTTTGCAATATCGTTACTACTATCGAGCTTTAGGGGGGGGATTTAAAGGTCACTGTAATGGGGACCTCGCAAAGAATTTGTTGATTTTGGATATAATATTGGCGTAATGCTTCAATTGCACGATGGGATTACGCGAGGGCACCGCAGACTATCAGAAGACAAACTGAGCTGGAGTACATACGCTGGTTGCAGAATGCAAGCTACCAGTGCCCACTGGGTGAACCGAGGGCTCGATCACCTAGCGGAATACATGACAGCTTTACATGCCCGAAGGCAGACTACGCGTGGAACAATCTTTGACATAGATATTCAACAATAATCTTCTCGTATTCATAGTGACTATCTATTCGAGTAACTATTCGAGCAATGGTACCTAAGCAGCCAATGTTAGCGGTTGTCCTCAGCGTGTGACTTTCAATCGGCAGTCAAGCATGACAGCTTCCATTTCAGATATTTATGCACAGTCAAATCAAAAACCACAAAGTGATTTAATATGGGGTTGAAACAAAGAAATAAGGCATAATCATCATTTGAAGACAGCGAAAGAAAAACAGTAAGAACTTACCCAGTCTACACAGTCGAGCAGAGCAGAGCAGCGGGTTGGTATTCATGAAACTCAACCTGAGTAAATGACAATCATTTCTCAATGCTGCAAGTCGCTTGCGCTCTCAAGAGACAAGCTCAATGCAAGTTGTCGACGAAGATCGGGTGGAAGCTTGGGAAAGTTAAGATTGGATCCGGCGAGAGTTTTTAAAGCCGCGACGTTAGTGTGACACGTGACTTAAGCGGATAGAGTATTGATCCGCCTTGGCGTTTGTTTGCCTGAGGTGTATAAAAGACAAGGATGGCCTCAACTTCCAGAGATAATCGGACTGCTGCCACTCGATTTGATCTGTGAAAGAGGATCGTAAAGGTACAAGGGTCATTCGTCTGTGATGTGTTTCTCGTAGAGAGATGGAATGCGGTTGACACTGGAACGGGCCGGATTATTCGTCCATCAGGCTCCATACCAACTGCGACTCTTTTGTAGACTGTTTGGAATTTGAAGGCTTGCCGCCATTCTTGGAATCGAGAGCAGCATCCGCGTCGATTCCTTCAGCCTTCAACTGCTCCAGGGTACCTTCAATATCAGCCTTCACTTTATCCATCTCTCGGATTTCCTCCCTAGTCCGGTCCAGTTGTTCTTCCATCATCATTATGAGAGATTCACGTGCTTGGTGCGGTCGGTAGAGGTTCAGAAGGTGATGGGCGTTGATAAATAGATTGCGCAAGTCTTCCACTTTCGACTCAAACTGTTCCGGGGCCACTGAGAGGACGCCGACAAACTCGAGGAAGTTTAGGAGAAGGGATTTGCTGATTTTGAGGAGGTAGTAAGCGTGGTTAAACGGCTGGGAGGGCTTCGAGGGCGAGTCGGGAGCGGCTTCTTCGGTGGGTGATGGTGAGGAGGGGTAGAGTTGTTCGATGCCTTGTTCTTTCAGGGAGGGGAGGGCGGTCGAGAGCTGTGCAAATAATGTGTAAGCAATACCACCAGACAAGACGAGGGAGAAGAAGCGTACATTTTGCAATTCTCCAAAAACACTGTAGTGTCCCGTAGTAGGAATCTCTGGCGGGACGAGATAACGAAGCTCCGGGGGTAGATCCAACGCGCGCAATTCAGCTGGAGTCCATTTCTTCGTGTGTAGTTTTCCATCTTCTCCTTTAGAAGTTTCCTTTTTTATCCCCTCCAGTCTCTTGATGTTGTCCGTGTTGAAGTGCTTCCATAACGGAGGCGGCGGCGCGAACGCGGTGGTGAGAGCTCGTTGCTGTCCGGCTTCGGCCATTCTCGGTCATCTGGAAGCAAGCTAATTGCTCACACTCAGAGGTATATCCGCAACGGAGACCGAAAGGGGTGATCAGAAACAGTAACTGAATGTGGAAAGCCAGGAGAAGAGAGGAAGAATAGAGGAATGCTGGATGCGATACCGCAACCATTGGTCCGTGCACACCGCCGACTCTCGTGACGAAGCTCTCAAGTCGAACATTTCAACCTCAACTCGATTTGCAAGACTCATTACTATTCTTGCAAGATATGCAGTGTGGGAGTCAACTTTCTGGTCCAACTAGTTGATCAGTTTATCCGAAATGCCTCGCAATGGCTCGGCTGCTGGCTCAGCGCAAACCGGAGTGGGCGGCGCTTTGAGTCGGTTCTCGCGACGGTCTCACGCTGTGGATTATATCGCATTGGGATGTCTTGTGGCAGGATGGTTTCTGGTTCGTGGTAGCTATATAAACCAGTGTTTTCAGTGGCTAATGAGTTATTCAAATGTACAGATCCAGCTCTTCGTCCACCCCTTCCATCGCATGATTATACTCGACAACAAGTCCATTCAGTTCCCCTTCGCAGTGATGGAACGGGTGTCTGTTGGTTAGTCTACCGGTCGATAAACCAGAGCCCTATATACTCATTCAATACAGTATGGTCGATTGTCTACGCCGGACTATGTCCACTCCTAATCTTCGTCCTCTGGGCCGCCATGTTCCGGCCCGGCTCGCATAAAGTCCATGTAACGATTCTCGGATTTCTCGTGACGCTGATCCTCACATCGTTTTTAACGGATGTGATCAAGAATGTGGTTGGAAGACCTCGCCCGGACTTCATTTCCAGATGTATGCCTCGGAAAGGGACACCTGGCGACATCCTGGTCGCATGGACGGTTTGCACGCAGACGAATGATCATATTCTTCAGGATGGATGGAGGAGTTTCCCAAGTGGCCATAGTAGCTTCTCGTTTGCTGGCCTGGGTTACCTGGCATAGTCAGTACTTTCAGTCAAATACCCCGAAACACTACTGACACTTTGCAATCGCAGTTTCTTCTGCGGCCAGATGCATGTATTCAGACCGAGAGCAGACCTTGGCCGATGCCTCCTGGCCTTCATACCAATGTTATGTGCATTGATGGTCGCCATCTCACGTCTCAACGACTACCGACACGATATCTACGATGTAACCTGCGGTTCGATCCTTGGGATTCTGGTGTCTTACTTCTCTTACCGGCGCTACTATCCTCCATTGTGCTCTGTGACATGCGACATTCCGCATGAAAAGAAGGATGCGGATGGCTTCTCCAGACTTGCCCCTGACGAGGAGCAACAACTCGACGATATGGCGGGAGAGACATACCGGCTTGGAGAGCAGGGAACATCACATTAGAGATGTTCTCGAATTTGTGTAGATTTCATTAATGATACCCTAATCAATTTAGAATAATCAACTTAGAATTGAAAGATTGAGATCTTGTCCTCATCATTATCTACTACCACTACAGCTTGGAAATACCCCTATTCCTAACGTTCGTCCATTCCTTGACGTCGTGGAAGTCCATCACCTTGTTAGGCCCACCGAATCTCCCCAGGGTATCTTTCCAGTTTCTATTCTGGCCAATTTCCGGATCCCACTTGACAAGGTCATGGATCTTTGGAGGAACCTTGTCTTCCAGGGCGTCGACAATGATACCTCCGATTGAGGGAAGATATTTGAAGCCTGTAAAGGAGAGTTAGTTCCGCAGCCCATACATACAAACCAAGAGAATGGCATACCTCTCCCAGAAGCACCACAGCCCAAAATCAAAGAAGGATGATGAGGATGACGGTCAATGATGAATTCGCGATTAGGAGTATCAGCGCACCAGCAAATCCTAGCAAAGCTGAACGGCCGATCCGCCAGCTGGGGCATAGTCTCCGATAGAAGAGCCCTGACTCTCGCTTCCGACTCCTTGGGCACCTGTGTCCTCTCAAACGGAATGCTCTGGGGTGTCCCATCGGCCAATTGTTCCATATTGGTGTATCCGGGATGTTCATCGCAGATCTTGATCTCTCCATTTTCTTCATCCGGCTCGAAGAAGAAGCCCTTTTCAATGTTAAAGATCACGGGGGTATTCTTGTAAAGAGCCCTCTCCTCCGGACTCAAAGTGATATGCACCAGCGTCCACGCAGTCGGACGCAATTGCTGCTTGAAATCCAAGAACTGACCGGCACTCGCACCAGCACACATGAACGTCTGCTCCGCACGCCAGATCTTACCATCTACCGTGACAGCACCCTTGACATCGTTATTCTCGAAGATAAGCGTAATGACCTTCCCCTGCGGCGTGCCCGTGATAAACTTTACACCGAGCCTCTGCGCCTCCTCCGCAGCAGCAACCAGTGCATTCCGTGCATGAGCCCACCCGGCCCCCGAACGATGAAAATACCCCCTCCAATTTGGAAAATCACCCCTCAGCACCCCCGACGGCGCCAATTGCCGAAAATCCTCTGGCCTCAACAACTCAACCAAATTCGGATCATCCTCCGGTCTCACCTTAACACCTAGTCTGTCCAATCCAGCCGATGTAGAGGCCGACATAAGCAGTCCCGTATCATGATAATACGGCTGGAACAGCGGGTCATTCTTCCAGCCTTCAAAGGCCTGTCGTGCAAGGAGCTCGTTGATTTCGATCTCATCTTTGTTGGTGCTGTATTGGCCCGAGGAGATGATTTTGTTGACGTCGTTGCCGGCGGAGATGGCGGAGGGGACTGGGTAGGGGTCTAGAACGGTTACGTTTGTGTATCCCCGGCGTGCGAGATGGAGGGCTGTTGAGGAGCCCCAGGTGCCGGCGCCGATGATGAGGAGAGGGGATGATTTGGAGAGTGTCATGGCGGATATGGATTCTCTCGGGTCCGGGAGAAGGATGGATAGAATATGATTAGATACAATTGATAGTTGGTAATTCCTAAAGAGCGATAATCTCCATCTTTATAGCTGCGGTCGTGCAGTGGTGCGATAACGCGATGCATAATGGGACTTTGGCAATGGTCCGATCGATAACGATGGGAAGGTCCACGCGATGCTTGACTTTGTTTATACGGAGTATATGCAACAGTCGGGGTAGACCCGACCGTACACTACGGTACAACCCAATTAAAGAACGGATTTCTCCGAATATCAATACAGGGCTGGGATTTTATTAAGCCAAACAGTTAAGTGTTGTATCGTTCCTCTCCTCACTTATCACAACAATCCTGTACACTGCGACCCACCTATCACCATCCTAGCTGTTCGTCGCTTGAACTTTACTCTCTTTCCGGTATTGCTTATTCTTTGATGGACCCAATAGTACTGGCCAAAGTACTCGTTCGAGCGACATGTCGAGTATGGGGTGCCCCTCAGGGCACGAACTCCATCTTATCTATCTTCTACCGGGCATATCTCTCAACGATAGCGACCCTAGGATTCATTCGATATGCTCGGATAGAAAAAAAAAAAAAAAAAAAAAAAAAAAAAAAAAAAAAAAAAAAAAGTGGTCGTCAAGGACCATAAAGGGAGACCATGGCTTTCGGTTCGCTGAGCGATGTCCTTCGGGTCTACTTCCTAACGACCCCAATCAAAGCTAGGCAAGATGGCTCGTAACGATATTCAGAGCCAACCTCACTATGTGGAAGAATGTCTGGGATGCGTCCTTGCAGGACAATGGCACCAAGAAGACGCCCATGACTGCAGATGAAGCCGTGGATATCGCCATTGGGGAAAGCAGCCACCATTGACTCGGATAACTCTCCGTATCTCGAGGTTCGAGCAAATGTGCCGAATACAGATGATCCTATACTGCCTGTCCACATGTTTCGGGTGTGATTTTGGTGTTGTCTTCACTTTGGTGAGTGTTGCCATGCTTATATGGAGAAGTATTACTGACAATATGCAGGTTGGAACAGGTGTAAGCCAATTCTTCTCCATGCGATATCCCAGCATGGCTATTACTTCGTTCGTGGCGCAATTGATCAGCTACCCCGTCGGATACTTCTTTGCAAAGGCGTTGCCTATCATGAAGGTCCGCGTTCTTGGTCGGGAATACGTGTCAACCCGGACCATCATTTCAATGTAACAGACCATGCGATGATTACGATCATTTCGAATCTCAATTTCAACCAGTCTTGGACACGTTCTTTCTTGAAACAGAAGCTCAACGTAACAAGACTGACGCATCACAGGCTAGCGCTATCATTCACGCACAGAAAGTATACTTGAAGATGGAGACGCTTGTCGGTTATCAGATCCTACTAGCTTTGTCGATGCAAATGTTCGGTCTCGGGCTTGCTGGGTTGGCCTAGAGGTACATTATTGATCCGCCGCAAATGGTAAGTGCACTTATTGTCGTTGGTAACTTAGTACTGATATCTAATATATCTGGGCGTCAACACAAATGCTGCATTGTTTGAAACCTTGCATCGCGGCGCAAACCCTATTACCGACGGCTGAGAAAACTCTAGGTATCAGTTCTTCATGTATGCTTCTATCGGAAGGTTCTGCTGGTACTGGCTTCCCGGGTACATCTCCACGGGACCCAGTACCTTTGCTTTTATTTTCTGGGCGGCTCCAAGTATGTATTCATTCGTTTCTTCTGGACATCGCACCGCACTAGCATGCCAAACCAGACAACAAAATGGTCAATGATTTATTTGGCATGACGACCGGCCTTGGTTTATCTTCCTACGACATTCGACTGGAGTCAGATCACATACAACACTTGGTTCTGCGTGTACGCTGTCGTGGCACCCATCCCCTATTATAACAATACCTAGTACACTGCATATCTTCCAATAACTGGCTCCGACGCATATGACAACACCGGCTTCCCTCGTACGGAGTACTGTTCATAGTAAGTCAATTGGCCAATCAACATGGCTGGTTCCTGCGGGGACGGGGCTGTTCTTATTGGCCAAAGAAGTCCGGACCGGAGCTTATCAATCGGTCCGACGTCCGCTCCACCACCGCCTTCGTCCTCGGCTTTGCTACTGTATTTGTACTCGCCTTTTCCTATTTTTTTGGTTGTCTGTTCTTGCTGACCGACTGCTGTAACAGTCACTACTTGACCTGACAGACTCGTTGGACTTTTCGTCTCAGTTCCATGCCAACCAGCGCTGCTCCACGACGGATCGTCGCACTTGGAGCTTGACCTATCGAAACAGGCAATGTAAAATCCCTAAGCCCGTGGGATGCCGCGTCGAAAGGCCGCAGACCGCGTGGGCCCGGTCAAGACTCGAACCCACAGCGGGTGCAAAGAATGTCGTGCGAGTCATGTCCGCTGTGATACGAAGAAACCGCTCTGTACACGATGCCAGCAGAAAGGACTTCCCTGTTCGACTCAACTGGTCTTGAAATGGGAATCGGACTTTGCTAGTCGGGGATTGGCGTTTGGGCGATCTGGGGTTTGGAGCAAGACTCGTGGGCAGGGGAAGCAGTCGCTTAGGTCGCCGGCGGAAGAGCAGGAGTGGTGTTCTATCCCTCTTGTGCAGCCTTGGGGCTTCGTGAATAGCGGAGTGTCGATGTTTGAGCAGCCACATCAAGTGGACGTTGCGTCTGATGAGCTCAATACGCTGGTAATTTATGACGATGACCAAAGGAGTCGGTTCATGAATGATGTGGAATGGATACTACCTCTCGAAGTTGCTGATTATGGATATGCAACACCCGAACTCACAGCACCGGTATCACTGTTCCCAAATCTCACTGAACCAGGCCAAGGGCGGCTGTTTGAGTACTACCTCCAACAGGTCTGCCCTCGGACTACGGCGAGCTCTAAGTCGTCATCGCCATTTGCGTCTGTGATTCTGCCTTTCTGCATGTCTGCGTCTCCAACCATATTCAAAGCAATTCAAGCGTTGGGAGCATGCCACTGGTCGCGGTTTGATTCGAATTACGGTGCCATAGCTCTCCGCTGCAAATCTGAGGCTTTACGAGATCTTCGTTATACACTTGCTACCAAGGGTTCTTTGACTTGCTCAACCGATCCCGAAGTATTGGTTACCATGATGATGCTGTGTCTGTATGAGATTGTGGACAACTGTGATCAACACTGGACAATTCACTTGAAAGGCGCCAAAGAGTTGATTCGCCTGAAGAGGCAACAGCAAGGAGTCTTATCCCGACATGGGGGCTCCCAAGACCCAGTATCAGCATTTGCAGAGCTTTTCTTCGCGTTCCAAGACGTCATGGGTCGCACCGCTTGTGGAGAAGAGGTGCTTTTTGGCAATGACTACTGGTCAGAAAATGATCAGAACATTGACCTTTGGATGGGATGCAGTCCAGAATTGGTGTCGATACTGTCGTCCATAACAGAAATGAGCCGGACAAGGAGACAGCTTACTTCGAACTCCGCGCGAGATTCATTTACCTTGCGAGCAGCTTCTCTAGAGCACAGACTTGAGAATCTGGTGCAAGAAATTGGCGATGTCAATGGCGAAGACGAAACTCTTCAATCGGCTGCAGAATTGAAACGTCTAGCTGCCGTTTTATACTTGCACTGTGCGTTGTACGGTGCATCGCCATCAACCCCGTTGGTAGTCGAATATGTTCGGAATATCTTCCGGCTTGTCTCTAACCTACTCGACCAAGGCTCGCTAGTCAGCATGACATGGCCGGTCTTCGTGGCAGCCGTGGAACTCGACCCGTTTGATGACGAGCTTTGGCTGAACGTGGACAGTGGCTCGACAGTTTATGGAAGACCGCTCGTTCTACGCGCACTAGCCGCGATGGCCGAATCGAGTGTCTCGAATGTGGCTCGTACGAAAGCCGTCATTTCCAAGGTGTGGCAGGCTCGAGATGATGATATGATCAAGGGTTCTCCTACAGATACGTCGAGGGATCCTTGGAAGTGTAATGATTGGGAGTGGTATGTGGCGCCGATTAGCACGGCTATGAGCTTGGCATAGAATGCCTTTATGTGGCTATGATGATACCATGTGCGATAATTGAGTATATAGACTTTATTCAGACATAAATATCACATAATAACCGACATTCCTTGACCCTGTGTATACAATAGCCGCGCGCCAATTAGGTGCGGGACATGGAATCACATGATTCGCCGCGGACGTCACGGCGATCGCGATTGAGACTCGATCCTCCGACCATCTCGACTGTGACACGGCCATCTCACAACATTCCACGCGACTATATATAAGCATATCGAATCCTCAAGCATTGTACCTGAATCCATGCAAAAACACGATCGTGATTGACCATATATTCGCCGCTCGACCGACCGAGGCCAGTTATTCACCGCGATTCCCCGACCTGCGGACCCTTTCCACATCATTCCACGATGCTCTGCAGCGCTGCATGCATTTGACGGTGAAATTGATGTGTGCACGAGGCTCGCCGTGGTGCCCAATATGACTCCGTCCACAACTCCATCGACACTGTCCCATACCTTGCCCGCTAAGCCATTTGAGAGCAAGTTGAGTGAACAGCTCTCACAGAGCCAGAGTGGTGAGGCTGGGACGGGCAACACTACGGATAACACCAGGACCAACACCAATAATCAACTTGGCGGATCTCTTTTGGACTCGCCCAGATTACACTCATTGCCAGATGCGCCCAAACCGGTTTCAATTTCTCAACGACAGTCGATTTCGGATGAAGCGAGCACTGTCCATTCAGCTTCCAGCAAAGATGACAGTTCACTTTCATCCACTCCAGCCACACCACAGCGCCCACCTTTGAATCCACAAAATCTAGCGTTGAACCTTCCTCCCAGACCCTCCGGTTCTCCCGCTACGGCCCAACGTGCGCCGCTCTCGCCAAAGCTCGATTCCTCGCAAATCTACAGTTCGAGATACGGACCGCCCGGCTCGGTTCTTCCTCGACGATCACGGGGTCTTGATTTTTCGCGTGCCTGTACGAATTTACACCATTCCACCCTCGCAGAATCTTCGCCGGAGTCGTCGCCCACCATCGGAGCTCGGGGAGTGGCGATTCCACAACGCCGTGGTTCCCCTAGCGCAGCATCTGCAGCGCCGTTTTCGACGTCTGGGCCAGTCGATCGGACAGGGGTTTCCAGCTCGGTATCCAGTGTGAATATGATAGATTCAGATACAAGTACCAGTGAAGAGGAGGAGGATGAGCCGATGGGAGGGGATAAGGATGATATCATGCTCAGCACACCACAGGCGAACAAGATGGGAACCGGACCGAGCCCTTTTGCGGTTGGAAACGTACCGAGCCCAGGAAACGACTGGATGGGTGGTTATTCACACGCTGCGGCGAGCCTCCTGAGTTTCCAACGTGCTCGTTTCCGCAAGGGACGCAGTAGGACTCGACACAGTTCTAGCAGTGCAAGCGGAAGTTCCAAGCAGAGCCCTGGACCGCTTTCCCCGCCTGTGATGAAGAGCATTGAGAATCCCAATGGAGGTTATTTTGGGGGATCGAGACATGGAGTGCAACCTCGACGTGAGAGTTTGAGCATGGGTACTCGGGATCTGCGTCTGTCTGATCTCAGTGATGATGGGGAGCGTGCTCGAAGTCGCAGTCCTGCCCGTGGTGAGGGAGGGCCGCTTGGGGTCATTCGACGTGCTGTCACGCGACGGGGTAGTTTACTGGTAGGTTACAGTTCTGGGAGCGTCTTGATGTCAGCTAACGTCTCGCAAAGCCGAAAACGAAAACGTTTGCTCGAATTCGGGCCGCTCTCATTGAAGAGTCTTCTCCTCTTGATTGCGAGTCAAAACGTGAATCGGAGGTAATACGGCAGGTTCGCGAGAGTGACCCGGCACCACAAAAGTCACCGGACCTGTTGCAGCCAACCGAATCAGACAGGGCAGTGTCCGGCGCAGATGACACGCCTTCGAAAACTGCCACTCGGCTCGGGAACGCGTTTAGCGAAGAATCCACTCGAGGATATTGGAACTCGTTTGATGACCGCTATCGCACGCCTCCACCACCGATACGCCCAGGCCCTCCATCTGTTTCCGAAGATGACTTGGCAATGGACATGACGCCATCTACGTCGACCTTTGAATTTGCCAAGCCTTTTGAGCGGCCAAGTTCACGAGGTTCGCTGCGTAATGCAGCACAGCCTACTGCCATGCAAGAATTCAAACGAAAGCGCGGTCGCGAAGACGATTTCGATCCTAATCTTTTCAAACGGCGGGCCGTTTCGCCCAGCATGAGTGCCCAGAGCAGTCCGGTTATGCCCAACTCGCCAGCGATGAGGGATACGGGTTCTAACATTTGGGGTCCGCCGCCCAAGTCTAATCTCGGTTCACTCTTCCCGGACAGTAACCCTCGCAATAGCAGTAGTCCACATACAGGGACGTTGAAGCGAGTTGGGTTGCAGGGTATGACCGAGGCCAATGATTCGCTTATGAACATGAGCATTGAATAGTCTGCTTTTATTTGTTATTTGCTTGCTTTCTGCTGCTTTCTGCATCTTTATCGTCTCTTAGCGTGGTGTTATCGTTGGCGTTGGTTTGGGAATTTGGCGCTTGGCAATGGAATCTGGTGTTTATATACTAGCATAGTTTAATCAATATATACTATACCTCTGCAGATATCCCGCGTTGCACAGCAGAACACTGCATTGTAGATAGCCGCATTGATCCACGTGCACAAGACCGCGCTTATCGCGCTAGAGCTCCGTCTCCGCTGTTGACACCGAGCATCTATCGTTGCGCTGGCAGTTGGTCATTCTTTATTGTTTCCTGTTACTCTTGTGTCACTTGTTTACTTCCCTTTATCATACCAACAGCGCCGAATAACCACGATACTGCATCATGTCAACCGTTGAGCTGGCCTCTTCGTTCATTGAGGGTGCCCCGCCAGGCGAGGTATGCGTCCAGACCAGACCAAAGAGCATCCCCTGTTCTTTTTCGGTTCTTTCACAGAAACAGATCGCTAATACTGGATTCTATAGCTTCCCGATGTCGTTGCCGGTACCGTCTCCCTCCTCTCCTGACACTCAACACCCGACACCAATACAACACTTCCCCGCATCCACCTTCCGAACAAGACCCATGCTAAATATCCGGAAACACAGACGTCAAGGCCCTTACCTCCGAAGAGGGCGATCTGATTCCCTCTCTCGCGCCCGCGTTCGAACGATACAACGAGACACAATTGACGACCGTTAAGCTACCGGGGGCTAGTCAGGAGGTATGCAATGCGATACTGAGGACTGAGGCTGGGCTACGAGTGCTAATGCGGATGGCTGGTACAGGTGATTGTTAGCGAGTTCAACAAGTTGGAGGGGAACAGATACTTTGATGTGGAGAGTCAAACTTCGTTTGAGGTTGACCATGTCACGCAGGTAGGCGAGTTTGATGTGGAAGAGTGGCAGGACAGAGCTGATATGGCATAGGAGGCGTCTGGTGCGCAGTCGTATGTTTTGGAGTCGCAAAATGCGGACTTGATGTGAGTGTTCGCCCGGTTGAAGTGTATATGGATGTATGCTAACTGACGCAGCAAATCCCTCCTCAAATCTCTATCCGCACATGCCACCGAACACTACCCCAGCTCCTCTTACGGGGTGTACCCGACTGATGACGACTCCGCCGTTGCCATTCTGCTCGTCGCGAACCGATACTCGCCAAACAACTTCTGGTACGCCATGCCACCCTTGTCTATGGCCACAGCTAACAGAACAGGAACGGCCGCTTCCGCGCAATCTACACAATGCCCGTCTCCGAACCCACCACCGTGACTGGCAAACTTCACGTAGACGTGCACTACTACGAAGACGGCAACGTCGCCCTCAACACCACCAAGCCCATCAGCGTGTCGATCTCCTCTCTCTCCGCAGAGACCGTCATCTCCCGCATTGCGGCCGCGGAGCGCGACTACCAGGAAACACTCAACCGGGCATTCGTGCAGATGGCCGAGGAGGCGTTTAAGAACCTGCGGAGACAGCTGCCTATTACCCGGCAGAAGGTGGAGTGGGAGAAGGTTGGAGGGTACCGGTTGGGACAGGACATTTCTGGTGGTAAGCGGTAGATTGCCTGTATGTATTGGTTGTTTATTTAGTAGCTATAGCGAATGTCATCTGAATTGTATATCTTCTGTAAGGTCTGCATATCTATGCCAAGTCGGGCCAATGCATCGGATAATGCCGATAAGTTGACACCGCTAGGACTTGCCAACTGCGTTGATAGATACACTGCACGGTTATATTAGAATAGTCTCTTCCTCTTTTTAAGTTATTCAAAATCAACATTGAACAACATCCATCAGAATGGCCCAGGCAAAACATGCATCGCAACCCAAACAAACCCAACTCCAAAAACAGCAAAAACAACCCCTCCTCAAACAATTCACCACCTTCACCAAAACAACCCCCGGCTTCGAACGATCCCTACGCCTACTCCAAGCCCTCTCCCAAATCGCCTCAGACCTCTCAACCCACAATGTCGTAACAGCTACACGATGGGCGACGGCAAAGTCGCAGATAGCATTGAGTATGCCCCCTCCCCCCCCCCCAACTGGCGCTTTGTCCCGGGATATGATTACATTCAGAGTCAATGATTGATATCGATATCGAAATTGATGCTAATAGAGAATAGCACGCCGCTACTTCCGCTTCCTAAACTTCATCGACTCGTTCGACCGGGCGTACACCCTTCTCGTGCATGGCGGCGACGGTGATGCCGGTACAGTAAGTACGATGCTTGAACTTGGGAAATCAAGTGCGTTGGGTATTTATGTGTTGCTTGAGAATTTGACTATCGTACGTCCTTCCTCCCTACCTTTCTACCTGTAAAGGAGTATGGGTATGCTGATAGAATATAGCTCCACGCAATGGGAATATACCCCCAAACCCCCTGGGCGAGGGATATCCAAACCCAAGCATATAAATTCTGGTTCTGGGGTCTTGCGCTGTCTGTTCTTGGGGGTATATGGTCGTTGCTTTTCAGCAGTGGCACCAGTGCTCAATCAAGGAAGAACGAGAAAGTCACTCCACCTAGCACTACGGCTAGCAAGACGCTTATGAAGCGGGTTATTGTGGACGGGTGTGACCTTATGATCCCCGGGTCGTCGCTTGGGTGGGTTAGTATGGGGAGTGAGATTGTGGGGATGTTGATGGTTTTGAGTACGGTTGTTTCGATGGGGGATGTTTGGAGACGGGCGAATGGTCTTGGTTAAGTTGGTGGGTGTATGTATAGTTGGAGGATGTTCTAGTCGGGTTGCGGTACTCTATAGCACTTGGGCATGGGGTTTGCAGGTGTATATAGCCAAGTATCAGTCTGTGGTTTTTCTGGAAGTTCTTGTTGCATTGCTTTTGAACATAAAATAAAATAAAATGCAGCTCCAGTGTCCCGGATAATGTAATCCGCAAAAAAACAAAAAATGGTCCCGACGAGGGTCGAACTCGCGACCTTGGCGTTATTAGCACCACGCTCTAACCGACTGAGCTACAGGACCTGTTGTTGAATGACTGGCCGGATTAGTGATTTCTCAGACGGAGCAATATTTATTCGATTTCGCTACATAATGTCGAGGGATAGAGCACGCCCTTGTTGGATAGACAATGTCGCGGTTTAAATAAACACCAGGTGACGACATTGAGAAGTAATTGTTATATTTATATCGTTTATCTCAAACATTGACGTTTTGGTTATATGACCATATGTACAGATGTGCAGATATATATTTATGCCCTCCCCAAACTCCAACCATGTTACAAACACCGACACCAAAAAGAATATACAGAAAATCAAGCATACCACTCATCCAACGCCTTATCAACCGCACACTTCGCCAACCGATGCAACTCCGAAACAAAATCCGCCACAAGCTTAATATGAATAACCTCATTTACCGAGGAGAGCTGTCGCAGGAATATCCGCTCCATCATACCCATTGCAGCACGGAGTAGTGCGAGGTCTTTTGTGGCTTGCGGGTCGGAGGGGGTTTGAAGGATGCTGCAGAAGATTGCGAGGAGGGCGGACATGGGGTAGAAGATTAGGTGCCTGGTACGTTAGCAGAGAAGAGAGTGAGGGTGGGAGGTGCAGGGACTTACCAGAATACGCCGTCCATGAGGACGTGCTCGGCTGTCTCCAGATACATCAATGTTGAGCGGCTTGCCTCTACAGACAGAGCTAAGCTCGATCGTACCCCTTCTGTCATCGCACCCTGACCCTGACCCATGGCCCAGGCTTTGCACCGACTGCTGGCCTGGTGGATAATCGTCATGCACAGGTGGTAGTTCAACCGTAGCATAACCGAATGCATGCTGACAGTCGGATCCGGCCGTTCATGGGAAAACGACAAGGTTGGCCTCCACTCCACAGGAACAGACATTCTCCACCTCTCGAGCTCATCGTCTAGTTCGCGGATTTCCTTCAGAAGTTCTGCGTCTGTCTTCTGATGTGCTTTGAACGAGTATAACGAGCTATATGCCCGAGATTTTATTATACCCAATCGAAGATCGACAGGAAAAAGCAGGTAATCAGGTAAATTTTGAGAGTCCTGCGGATGTGGAACAGCCATGTACTGCTGCTCTACATAACCGGGAGGTAGCGTGAGATCGCAGTTTTCATCCGAAAGCGCAACAGGTTGACCGGTTCGTAGGGCGATATCCTTGTCGATAATAAAGCAGAGCCAGAACACGTTTCGAAGGTGTCGCTGTATTCTGTCTTCAGGACTTTCTGGTCCCGCAGCTGGAGACGTGGTGGGTCGGTGGGAATGTGTATGTGCGCCTAGCATGTATATAAAGCGAGCCGCGAGAGAAACAAAGTAGTTTGCAGAACGTAGGTTTCCTGTCACGAGATCGAATACAGCCTAAAGATGTAAGCAACGGATCATAAGATATGGTCATGAAAGACCACTTACCAGCATAACTGTTGTCTGCAACCCATCCAGACTAGCAGACTCTTGCAAAACTTGAGGCAGTAAACATTGTGCTTTGACCGCAAACGCCTCACTATCGACCGGTGGTACATGTGACGGCGTCTGGTTCAAACCCGGCGGATGCAATATCGAAGCAAGCGCAATAAAAGAGAAAATACACGCCCTCGCACTAGCCGGCCTATAAAACCGACTAGAGCTCTGCGGCTGATAAGCCGCCTTGATCGTCTCTTGAAACAATACAAAATCTAAAACCGGAAAGATGAGCCGCATCAACGCACTCCGATACAAGTCAAAGTAAATATCGACAACCGATTGGCTAGGCAGCTCGAATGGATTCTGTGTCTGCAAACTCATCAATAGCGCGCTGGAGTTCAGCGCTCGCTGCTTTTCCCATGGTGGTCTGGCGGGGCTTAGTTTCTCGAATGCAATGTTCTGGCCCGTCCGCTGCTGAACCCACTGCTGACCCTCGGGAAGTAGGAACGGTATCCCGGTGATCAAGCTGTTAACCCCGAATTCACGGCCGGCAAAATGCAGCGCCACGGACGATGATGCTGGGGCGTGATCGGGAGGCGTAGTCACCACTTCCTCCATTAAGCTAGTCTCGGAGTTCGCGGGAGACCCTCCAGGTGCTGCCAATAGAAGTCAGTCCTGCATATGGTCCCACTGGTAATCGGAGCACCTACGAGATTCACCTGAGAAATTCTCCATTAGGAGCTTCTCGATCCTGCTCAGCCGCTCCGACAAGCGGCCCGTTTTCTGCGTTCTACTATAGCATATCAGCAACCGACAAAGAAGACGAGAAAACAAGCATACCCAGGACCATTCCCCCGATCTTTCCTCCGTCGCTGTATAACCCTCTCAAAAGTACACGGGATGTTATGATGACTACACCAGTTACATTGCGGAACAGCTGCATCACATTTAATCTGCACGCATCCATATTAGCCCAACCCAACCCCTAATCATCAGCACATTCCCAAACGGGAAAACGCATACCTTTCTCTTATAGCAACTATCGCAGGCCCTTGCAGTGCGCTTGCGGGCCTGCTGTTCGTCGGACCCTGCCGCTGTGACCGGCGTGGGGGACCGATCAGTTGCGTATGACGGGCCACCGTGGGCGGGGGTTAAACCTCTATCAGACATGTTGACCAACTAGGAATTCTCATCCGAGACGGGTGGCATAAGATGGAGACTATTCAGGGTCCAGATGACGGAAGATACTGAAGTGTCACTTCCGATCGCCGCTGACAAAGACGGCAAAGGGGATTTTCTGAGTCAGCGGAACCGGAGATAACCAGGGTGGGTTTTTTTTATTTATTAAAAAAATAATAAAAAAAGCCAAAAAAAAATGGTCCCGACGAGGGTCGAACTCGCGACCTTGGCGTTATTAGCACCACGCTCTAACCGACTGAGCTACAGGACCAATTGTTGAAAGAATGTCGATTTTAGTGACATCCCTTCCTAAACATCTCTGTCAATATCCCGTAGTCCGAGCCACCCAGAAAAGTCTTCCACGCTGCACTACCATTTGTTAGGCCAAATCTACACTCTTTCCCCCCCAGATCTACAGACTATACCCTCTCCATACCATCCACCATGCCCCGTCCACATATCTGCGTGAGATGCCGCAAACCTAAGCCCGCAGAGGAGTTCAAAAGCCAGGACGCGAAGGCTCCGTTCAAGACTTGTCTTCCTTGTCGAATGTATTTTCGGAAACATGTATCTCTCCCGTATTCTCCGGTGTAATGAATAATTGGAGCTAATCGTGTTTCTAGTATTCTTCTAGAGGGCGTTTACCTCGTTTTCATCGGCCAAGTGTCCATTCTCAGGAAGATCAGGAACAACAGCAACATAGCACCGATGATTCCCGTGCTGAGGTTGGCGAATCCCAATCTGAAAGAGGCCAGGCTGCTACTAGCCCTTCGCGCAATATGCCTCGTCCTCTCCCACCTGGCCGGGGAAAGAATAATTCTGAAACTCAAAATCCGCGCGATCCCGGGTCTACAGTCCCCCAACCCCAATCCCATCAGCCTCCTTCACCTCATCCTGAACCGCAACCAGACTCCCATCAAGGACCAGAGCATAACTCTGATACTTGTGCGGCGCAATCAGAACAAGCCAATTCCATTATCCACCAGTTCGCAGACCCATATACCCTGTCTCTTTTCGCTCTTCCCCAACTTGACCCTGACCGCTCGTGTCCTATTGACGGTTGTACATCTTGTTTTACATACTCCATACGCGTATAATAAGATTAAGCGGAAAAAGAATCCTCATTTCTGTCCAGCATTGATATCTCCAGTATCTGATATTGACGTGAGTCTCTGAAGAGGAGGAGGCTACTGAAGAGAAACAACAAGATATTCAACATGGACTCTATTACATCCTTTGACTCATAAATGTGTTATATAGCAATAATAAACAGAGATAATAAACTAGATATGATGGATGTTTTCTTCGTCAGACTTATATTTCAATCAATCCAGTAGTCTTCATTGTGGTGTCTTGAACAGGCTCTCGGACCCGTTCCGATGCTTCGAACTATGCAGCATACTGAGCAGTAGGATATTAAAAAAAAAAAAAAAATACAGTGCCCCGGTGCTCCGTGGAATACGTGCAAGGATACTTCATTCAAATCATTTGAAGACCACAACCCACTCAAGAAGAAGTGATCGTTGCAAAAACCCGATTTCATTCCAGAAGAAGAATCAGAAAACAAAGCGATTCTGGTTCGAGAGAACGCGATAAAGAGACTGGAAAGAAAGACCTAGGTGACAGATAACAGAATTGGCTTTCTCAGACTGGCGTACGCACTTGTGTATCACCATTCCCAGGATCGGAACGACCCTCCCCCCAATGACGAACGTCTGGCCGAGGACGAGGAAGAACAGGCCGTGAGGAAGAGACTGCGTGCTGAGAGATTACAGAGCCATTTACACTTTGGCCAAAGTCAGATTGAGCAGGACGGGGTAAAAGAGGCCTGTAACCATTCCGTCGCTGGGGGGTAGCATCCTTGTCCTGGCCCTGGTCCTTGCCAATCTTCGTACGGCTGGAATTATCCACACTTTTTTCTCCATGACAAATATCCAACTGCGAGGGACGAGGCAAAAGAAGCCGAAAGGCAAGTCTCTAGAACTGAGGGGTAGCAGCGCCATACTGTCCCACGGTATGAGAATCGGATTAAACAGGGAGAGGCAAAAGAGGCCGATAAGAAACATTCTATCTCTGTTGCTCCTGCTGGGCATTGTCTTTACTAATCCGATGTTTACGAGCCTAACCAAACGGAACAGTTAGCCTGACCAACCGATGAGCAGAGATATGGAAATTGAGGACTTTAAAGCAAATATCTCTGTAGGAGAAACATGTATTGAGAGGGACCATTTTATGGCGACGACGAAACTGGTCTGTGGGTTCTGTCTGGTAGCATGTCGTGCACATCTGGTAAGGAGTGGTATCTATATCTATTATGCGAGGCATAGACGGATATGAAGAGTGAGGATAGTATAAGACGTATGAGGCGCGAGAGCGGGTAGAAGAGTGAAAAACTGGAGGACAACATACAGTGAATGCCATGTGACGTTTATGAGAGGACAGTCAAATCGATCAGCAGATAAGCTTGGATACACAATGGCAATGGCAGCTTCCATTGCCCGCTTAGCATCGAGCATTGCTTACGGAAAGAAAAGAATGGCTACAATGTATTCAGGATATAAAGCTGCTTATTCTTTGATTTTGCATGTGGATATCAATCACTTAATCATAGATTTCCAAAATTCAGCAGGATACAGGAACCTAAATACAAAACTGTAGATGTCCTGCCCAAAACAAATTCAGAACCATACCGAGCAGAGAGCAGTAGATATTATTCATAATCCAGTTCGAAGAGACTGGCGTTCAAAGAACGCTGCATATGACGAATGAATGGCGTTCTAGTCGTCTGCCACTTGCAGACGAGTCAGATCAGCGACTGAGGAACGTTGCTCGCGTCAGATGCAAGGATAAACTGGAGGAAGTAGCGAGGGGAGCGAGAAGTTCCCCCCCTTGTATTAATGGCGCAAGGAGTATGAACGACAGGATGTACAGCCAACGTCCCAGCATTTAGAAACATACTTCTCCAAATCCCCCTCATTTGTCGGAGGACGCAGCGGCGGAGGCTGAGACGAAGCATCCCGGGGCTGAGGTTCAGGTTCAGTAGAATTGATAGTTCTAACCTGTCGCTCCCTCTCAGCGCCGTGCTCTGTCTGAGGACGCGGCGGCATAGACTGGGAAGAGGAATCTCGGAACTGCGGTTCAGTAGAAATAACAGTTTTAACCCATTGCTCTCGAGACCCTGAGCTGTGCTCTTGAGGACGCAGGAATAGAGACTGAGTAGAAGAGCCCTGGGACTGAGGTCCAGGTTCAGTAGGATTGACGTTTCTGAGGCGCTCCCGAGTCTTAGCGTCGTGCTCTATCCGAGGACGTGACGGCATAGGCCGCGAAGAAGATCGCGACTGAGGCTCAGGTTCAGTAAGATCGACAGTACTAGTATGGCGCTCCCGTGTCTGCTCTATCTGAGGACGCAGAGGCAGAGGCCGAGAAGAAGAATTTCGGGACTGAGGCTCAGGTCCAGTAGTAAGATCGACAGTCCTCACCCGTTGCTCCCGAGTCTCAGCGCTAATTCTCTGAGAACGAGGCTTTGACTGAACACTAGGCAAAACAGCGATGGAAGGACCCATAGGTCCAAGTACCATTGAGCGCACATCCAAACCCCCATCACTTGTCGGAGGATGCGGCGGCACAGACCGAGAGGAAGCCCAGGACTGACTCTCAGGTCCAGTCAAATCAACAGTCTTATTCCGATACCCCTGAACCTTAGTGCCGTGGCCTGTCTGAGGACGAGAAGAAGCCCGGGGCTGAGGTTCAGGGCCAGTAGACTCGACAGTTCTAATACTCTGCTCTCGAGTCCCTGAGCGGTTCTCTCGAGAACTGGAGTTTGACTGAGAACGAGAGTTCGACTGAAGACTAGGTAAAAGTGCGAACGAAGGACCCATAGGCCCAAGAACCATTGAGCCGATTTCCACGAGCTGGGGTTCTTCCTCATGATTGTCTTTTTTCTTTCTGTTCTCCTTCTTGCGCTTGGGAGGCTCGACACGGAAGACGTTCTGGGTTCTGTGTTCCTGTTCTCCCCCATGAGGGACGGGCTGAGTAGGACGAGGAGTAATAGGTTGATAGGAATTAGTTGAAGTATTGCTATTCGTCGGCAGAGGTGTACTATCAAAAACAACCACAGACTCCTCGGATAGCCTCTTTCGACCCTAGTAGAAATGGAAAAGACATTAGCACCGCGCACCACTCTATAAGTTTAAACAGGGACGAGGGGAAAGAATAACCGGTCGATAGCGATCCCGACAAGCAAGACAGTTCTTAACAGCCGTATTCGTACCCACTCTACGGAACTGGTCCTCGGGTTTAGTCTGGTGGCATGTCGGACACGTTTTGGTGATGGGAGGTATAATGATAGGTGGATGAGGCATGTTGATGATACAGGTTCTTCATTTGTGTGATGTGAAGGAGGGAGAGAAAATTGTGACAGAGGATCTTACAAAAAGCATGGCGTATAAAGAGGGCTAGCATACAACGATGGAGGTGATTCACTTTGGCGCTGAATGGAGTTTCACAAAAAGCTTGTTCTTTTCAACCAGTTGGGTCCTGTAGCTCAGTCGGTTAGAGCGTGGTGCTAATAACGCCAAGGTCGCGAGTTCGACCCTCGTCGGGACCATTTTTTTGCTTTCTTTTTTTTGCTTTATGATTTTTGGTGCGACGGCGAAAGGTGGAGCGTTGCGGGTCGGAAGTTTTCCATGGACTGAGAGTGAGTCGAGGACAGCACAGAAATAGAAAGGCAAAGACAGAAGCAGAGAAGACCGTTCGTCTAGCGAACAAGTTTTGTAGAATAAAAACATGCAAGAATACTCCTTATACCGAAACGACATAAAGAAAAGTGAAACAAGGATATCAATATGGCTTCACGGCAATCAGAACGCAGCAGACATCAAACATCGCACATAATCATGACACGTTGCGCGTTGAATCTCCAAGCCAGCATGCCTTCAATCATAGGCAAGACACAACCAAAACCAAAGGTTTTCTCTCTCGCGAGACACCACCAACAAGGAGACCGAATCAACCTAAACACCCATCAGCCTTTCCGTTATCCATACCCATACCCATACCCATATCCATATCCATATCCCACGAGAGCATACCGTCGCATCACATCACGGTGCAGATACAGCAATCGCACTCTTCATCTCCGCAGTCGCAGCCAAAGCACGGCTTCTGGACGGTTTTGATGGGTTTTTTGATGGAGGATCCGGCGCTGGAGGGGGGTGCCATTGTTGAGGTTTGGTTTGGTTTGGAGAGGTTGAACGGTATAAATTGTGTTCTGCGGAGTAGAGTTGATTAGTATAGACGCCTGTACGATGGAGGATAGATGCTCACTATGGAGTAAAGAGTCTGGGGTTCTCATATAATTAAATGCAGAGTGAAGATGAAGTTGAAGGAGATCAGGCCGGGGAAAGAAAGATCAATCGGTCTAGAGCAGGCAGCCAAGTTGTTGCCCCAGGCCCCACTTCACTGTTGGACAGTGCCTTAAAATATCTACAGAGTACGACAACATACAATATACAAGTCAAATGCAGTGAACATCATTCATAATCATAGCATATGTACAAATCAAATCAACTTTTGTGACTCGTAAATCATCCCAGAATTGATTAAATTCCAGTCCTGTCCATCATCTGCAAGGAGGAATCGCTTCTCCAAGTTCAAGTCCTCAATGCACTCCGGGGTATCGTCTAATGTCATCCATCCGTAAGTCTATATTACTTTTGTGTTTTTGTCATCAAGCCATCACGTATCCATCATTCGATATATGGATTTACAGCTGGTCCGCCCAAGGAGTGCAACCCGGCTGAGCCTGGTTGAGCCACTTGACGAGCTCAACGAGCTCGGCCCGGCGTTCATCCTCGAGGGCCTCCTCGTCGGTGAGGACGGCCTGGAAGATGGGCAGGAATTGAGGAGTCAGCTCGCGGATAGTAGGGTCCTCCCATTTGTCTGGTCAAGTCAGCACACATCTTCTATGAAGAGTTATACAGAGCGGCACTTACACATCTGGCAAATCATACGGAACAAAGGATCGTTCTCCTCGTAATCGTTCTTGAGAGGCAGGATGTTGATGAGGACGGGAAGGACGTCCTTGATGGGAACGTGCTCACGGTGTCTCAGGATCATACGACTGAGACATCCGGTAGCGTTGTCCTGGAGTCTCGAGACGTTCATCTGCAGGCAGTTCTCAAGACGCGACAGGATGGTGGGGATCTCCTTGACAATTCCGGCGTCGTTGGAGTGCTCAAGCAGACGTCCAGCGGCGTAGGCGGCGTTGGAGCGGGTCTGAGGATCCTCGTCGCTGAGACGGTGGACGAGCAGCTTCAGGAAAGTACCAGAGTACTGGGTGACAGCGGGACCCATGCCGTTGATGCACTCAGCAAGGACACCGACAGCGGTGGCGCGCTCGAGCGACTCGCTGCTGCTAGCGTAGCGGAGGATGGTCTTCTCGAAGACCTTCCAGAGCTCAGCGAAGCTCTGGCCCAGAGCGGCGGCCATGCCGGAGACAACGTCGAGGGCAGTGTCAACGACAACCCAGTCGAACTCAGAGGTCTCCTCGGGAGCAGCGAACTCGTCCTCACCAAACTCGATCTGGCTGGGGTGCTGCTTGTTGATAATGTCGGTGACCATCTGGATGACGTTGTGGAGGGTGGTCTCGTTGGCGATGAGGGAAGGACCGCAGTAGCGCAGGTTCTCGGCCATGTTGCGGTTGATGTCGGCGACGGTAGCCCTAGTTGTTCGAGGTTAGAAATCCGAAACCACAAATAACCACGACTTAAAAAGCGTATATAAGTTTTCTCAGGGTAGATAATTCGTATTTCACATCAATCACGCATTTTGCGAGTAAGAGTGAGCTGGGTATTACGAGGTAATTCATCATTGTGAAAATGACCCGCGTTGAGAGATGCGATTAAGCGTCTTCAAGGCTTGTCCAAGCATAAAGCAAAAAATAACAAAACAAAACAAGCAAAGGGGTTATAGTGTTACGTACCGATCATCCTCCTCAGACCACATCTTGATGGTAGCAGTCATGAGGATCTCGCCAAACTTCTTGACCTCCTTGGCGGGCTCGACCTGCAGGGGCAGACCAGGCTGCCACTTGGGCATCTGGCCGGTATCCTCGGCAATGGCGAACAGCATAGCGTAGGAGCGGTGCAGGGTGGAGATGGTGCTCTTACGGACACCCTCGTAAGGGTGCTCAGCAAGCGGCATAACCTGTTCAACGGTCTTCTCGAAGTAGGGGAGGTAGGCGCTCTTGGTGTGGGTGACGAGGTCGCCAATGACCTCGACAGCGATCTCCTTCTCGAGAGACAAGGGAGTGGTGGCGGTGATGTCATCCCAGGCATCCTCATCCTCATCCTCGGGGTCAACGTCTTCGATGGAACCGTCCTCGGCAACCTCGTCGTCGTCGTCAGCGCTAGCGACCTTGACCTTGCGGCCACCGATGGTCACCTCCTGACCGATGAGGTCCTTGCCGGCTTCACCGAGGGAGACGTCAAGGTCGGTCTCGTCCTGCTCAATACAGGCGAACAGACCCTTGACGACACCGTCGAGGAAAGCAGAAAAGTGCTCAACGTAGACCTTGGCCATGGCACCCCAGAAGATGTAGGTGCTCTCCTTGAGACGGGAGTGACCAAGGTGGAGGGCCTCCTCGGTTGCTTGCATGAGGGGTCCGACATAGGGCTGGTAGCGCTCGGGGCCAGCAGAGCCGGCCATCTCACCCATGGCATCAGTGACGCTGGCACGGAGGTCAAGCTCTTCCTCGCTGTCCTTGACGGTAGCGAACTCCTGGAAGAGGTGCATAGACTCGTCGAAGAAGGGCAGGAAAGAGTCACCAGCAGACGAGGCCAGCGAGCCAAGAGCACCGGCGGCCAAGCCCTTGATGCGGAAGTCGGGGTGCTTGAAGAGGTTGTGGAGGATGGGAACCAGCTCGCCCTGGTAGGGGGCGACTTCCTTCTCATCCAGACCGTCAACAACAGAGTCGATGGCGCTGATACCAGCCTTCATGATGTCGACAGTAGGACCGTCCTCCTCACCCTTGTACTCCTGCATGGCGCTGGCAAGGTTCTTGAAGAGCAAGGGCATGAGGCTCTCGTGCTCGGCGCTGAGGTCCTCAGCGAGGTCGTCGGCCAGACGGGCAACGGCGTGCAGAGAGGCCTGACGGACCTTGGGCTCGGGGTCAGCAAGGAGCTGCAGAACCATGGGGAAAATCTCCTTCATCTGAGTGCTGATGAAGTCGGGAGCACCCTCAACACACATGCCCAGGGCCATGATACCGGCACGACGGTAGTTGGGGTCGGTGTTGTTGAAGTACGAGCCAAGAGCGTGGAGCAGAGGAACAACGACCTGGCTGGGAGGCAAGCTCTGAGCGAGCATGTCGAGCAGACCAAGGGCGGAGCGAGCGGGGGTGATGTCGTCTTCGAGAGAGGGCGAGTCACTGAGCTCGGTGACAATCTCCATAGCGCTGCGGGTGAGCTGCTCACCGAGACGCATGCCCTGGACCTTCATCTTGCGGTACTGAATGGTCTGCATGAGGAAGCTGATGGCCTGGGTACGGGTGTCCTCGTCGACCTCGGTGTTGGTAGCGAGCTCGTTCATGAAGACAACCAGGTCCTTGAGGTGGACGGTCAGGATAGCGGGATCGCAGCCCAAGAGGGTCTGGAAGACCTCGAACGTCTGCATGACGCGGTCCTCTTCCTGCTTGTCGATGGAGTCCTTGAGGACGGCAACCATGGGAGGAACGAACTCCTGGAAAGCCTTGACGGGGGCCTCGTCCTCATCCGAGTCCAAGTTCATGGCAATCTTGCTCAGGGCGAGCAGAGTGTTGATGCGGACTTCCTCGCTCTCAGGGTCACGAATGGTCTTGCTGAACAAGGTGAACAGCTCCTGGTACTTCTCCTCGAAGCCCTCCCCAAGAGTCTCAAGGATGGTGAAGAGAATGTAGGTACCAACAACACGCTCCTCCACATTGCTGCTACCAGAAGCCTGGACGAGGAAGTTGGGCAGGTCAGCCCACTCGCCATCGTTCAGATCGATCTTGGCAATGGCAGAGATGATACGGGCCACCGAGTGACGGACCAGCGAAGAGCTCTCGCCCAGGGTAGAACGGACGAGTTGCTCCCGGATCTGAGGCTTCTGACTGGCATCAACCTTCACCCAGTGTTTTGTGACGAGCGACCGGGCCTCGACGGCGGCCAGCTGTCTCAGGTTGGAGTCCTCATGAGCGGTTGCAACCTGGATAAGGAGAACAAGCGATTGAGGCTGGTTGTAGTACTCGCGCTGCAGAATGCCGGTGGCTTCCTTAACGTTGCCCTGAGTGGCTGCAAAGCATGTCAGCGCAGTTCTTCAGGGCAATCCAACGGTGCAGAAATTTTCTGACGGCCTGGATTCCGGGAATAGGGAAAACTCACGGTTCAGGACAACCTGCAGCTGTTGCAAAAACCGCTGTTGGTCCATGATGAATAGAAATACAGAGAATCAAAGGAGAGAAATATGGTAAAAAGGACAGAATATAAGAAAACTGTCCAGCCCTCGTACACAGAGGGGGATTGTCAGATGAGAGCTGACTGCAGTCACAACTCCCAGGGGTATCACAACAAAAAAAGAAAGCAAAGAAAGAAAAGAGAAAAAGACACAAAAAAGGAAAAGGGAGAATGTGCGAGAGAAGAAAAGAAGAAGAAAAAGAAAGAGAGAAAAGGAAAGTGGGAGAAGAAGAGAAGAAAAAATATACAGAGCGGGGACCAGAAAAAAAAAAAAAAATAAAATAAAACAGCCCACTCTATGAAAATTCAGTTTTTTTCTTCTCACCGCGTTTGCACGTGTTTTTCGCGGTCACGGGACTCCACCTGCCTGTTTTAGTATACTTATAGCCTACACCCATGGATCTAGTTCAAGACCAGCCAACTCAATTGGACCAACTGACTAGATATATCTCTCTCCCACGGAATAAGAGCGACATATTTATTCGCGAAACTGTCCAAACTCCAGTACCCAAACTCCTTTCTCATACATACAAGCAAGACATGAAGACAAAAAAACAAAAAAACCTCATTATCCAATCATTCAGACACAATAGCATAGCAATGGTCTTTTGTCGTGGCCATATGAGGGCACACTAGTATTCTTCCGAGTCGTAATCGTCATCAGCCAGGATAGACCGGTATCCCCTAGACGCAAGGTTTTCTTCCAGACCTCCATCGGATCCAGGATCCGCGTATCCTATATCGTCAGCACATGCAATCGAATTAAAGAAAAGAAGGAAGGAACCGACCATCGCCGCCAAAGTAGCTAAGCGCCACCGGCAGGAAAATAAGTGCATGAATCGCAGCAAAAACCACCAACGCTAACCAAACACGGAAGTAGTAGATCTCGAAAATCTTGCTTCGCGTAAATGCCAACACACAAACACCCAACAACTTGGTCACGGTGATACCGCTGAACACACTACCGCCGACATTGACCAGTGCTGTCCAGGCCCTGGCATCCTTGCCGCGGAATTTGGTAGGGACCTTGGCCATGATGGTTCGCGAAGGAAACATGAATGCACGGGCGATGTGGGCGCAGAATTCCACGCCGATTCCGACGCAAATGACTAGGTTGACCAACGACACGGCGTTGAGTGAGACGCCAGCGATGGCCATGGTGCCGATAATGTCCACCACGATCATGACCACCGTTGTAGTAACAACAACTCCAGTCGCGATTGAACCCAAGATGGTAGAGGTGATGGCGAAGATAATGGCAACGGCAGATCCAAGCAACGTACCAGTCAATTGCACAATGGACACGTACTGGTCGAAGAATATGTACGATTTGGCGTACGGGAACACATCGATATTGTGCTCCCTCGAGATGTCATCTGCGATGCGACGTACAGAAATGTACGACTGGATGTAGTCATCCTGAGACCGCAGAGGGGTGTGGCTAGTCCTGAAATTGGTGGCGCTAGTCGTAATCCGCTTGGGATCAATGACAAGGGCGTTGCTATAAGGCGCCTTTCCTCCCAATGGGCATGAGGCATCTGTAGGCGACTCGATCCATTTCTGCACGTAGTGGACAAACTCATCTCCCTCAGGCATACCATAAAGGGAAATATTCCATGGAATAGCTCGGTCCTCGAAACAAACTTTCCCATTCTCTTTACAGCAATCCTGCTGCGGGTTGAGCCAGTAGAAGAAGTCATCGATCCAGCTGGCAACTGATCCCGCGATGTACGAAACATTCGGCCGCTTCGACTCCTGCTCCAAGACGAATGGCAGCGAGTACTCATCGCACGACGTAAAGCGCCCGCAGAGCTGTTGTTGATGGCTGCGCTCGGTTATGTTGACGTCCCGCGTCACAAAGTACACAGGCTGCCCGGTACCGAAGTAATCATCGAGATCATTAAAGTACTGAATCAGGTAAGAGTCGCTGGGCAACGCGATGCGTTGGTCCAATCCAAGGGGCAGTTTAGGTATCAAAGCCAGACCAGCTGTTAAAAGACCTAAAAACGCAATCACAACAACGGCCTTGACCCGGCGCTCAAGGATAATCGGTGCATACACCTTACGGATAAATTGCTGAAGTCCGCTCTCTGCCTCCTGATCTTCGTACAACGGTTCATCTGGCATGCCGGATGAATTCGCTTTGCGGACGGTGAGACATGGGAGACAGTCCGCGCGCAGACTTTCGACCCGTTTCTGGTTCAGCGCAAGGACGGAGATGAACATAGTAATCTGCAGGATGGCATTGATGAAAACTGCCCCAGCAGCGTAAGCGGCGAAGTTCTTCACGGCTGGCATTCCAACGAAAACACCAAGGGCGAATGCGACGGTCTCCGTGATAGCGGAGAGGAAGATACTGGGGCCAATTCTTCCTACCGCGCGAGCTACCCGCTCGTCAATTTCTTCATCCGGATGACTGACGTTGATTCGCTCGAACTCGTGGACAATCAAGAAGATATTGTCTACACCGACAGCAAGGACAAGGAACGGGATGACCTCTGCGATGATCAGTGTCGCCTTTATGCCAGTCACAGAGAAGAGTCCAACCGACGCTGAGACGGACATCAGAACAATGGCGATTCCGACAATTCCCAGAGTAAACTTCGACTGGACCAAAGCGTTGGCAGGGTTACTGAACAGAGACCTCCAGGTGACCGTGACCGAGCCCAACGCAAGCGACGCATAGATAAACATGATGATGTAGCTGATCACCACAATCTTCGCGTCTGTATTGGTGGACTTGTTCAATTCCTGTTCCAGACTGATCTCAGCGTTAAAAGAAACTCGTAGTCCACGTTCATTGGCCTCTTCCTGCACGACCTCGAAGATGCGCTTGAAGCTGTCTTCCCAATCCATGGCCTTGGCTTCTCCTTCACTACCTTGAGCGTGGTTGTTTACGACCCATGTGGCAACCAATGCTTGAGCGTCAAACGGGTCTCCGGTGTGTTCATATCCACCCAGAATCATCTCCGGCTTAAGAGGCTGGCTGAAGTCAGGTAGACAGCTCACATCACCGGGCGAATCCAGACAGTGCCTAAGCCGTTCCTCCCAAGTGTCAGGGTCAAGATTCCATACGGTACCGCCAAAGTAACCAGTCACGGATTGAATGACACATGCATCACCGGTAGGCTTGAAGCAGACGTCGTCCAAGATCAGTTCGCGGTCCAACGAAATCATCCGCCGAACACGAGACTCGACATCAAACCACCAGCTCAATGTATCGTAATCCAGAACCCGCCCGTGTCCATCGGGAGCACTGTCGTTCACAAGGAAGGCTTGCTCGGCCCGGTAGAAAGGTCCAAAGTTCTCATCGAAATACACCTTCTCCTGCGCAGCCGGTGAGCTAGGACTAACCCACAAGCGTACCGGATCCGTTTCGACGGTGAATCCCAGCCAACCCAAGCTCATCAGACCGACCACAATGATACTGGTGACGATCGTGATTGCCGGGAAGCGGGCGCAAGCACCTCCAATCCGGCTGAAAAGCGCGCCCAAAGCAGAGTTCAATTTGTACACACCGCGCGGCTGCTCGAGATATCCGCCAGCATGAACAATATCACCCTCATCCTCGTCGTCACTTGGTGCAGGGTCCTGAAGCAATCGAACGCGTTCAGGCTTGCGGTAGCGGTGTTCTCTGTACGTGAAGTAGCTCGATACCGCCACGATCAACAGCAGGAAGATGGAGTAAACGAGGATGACAGAGAAAGACAGGCACGGAAGCAGACCAACGTGGCAGTAGTGAACCGTGTCAACCTCAGGCAACGGCTTGCAAACCTCCGGACAATCCACGCAGGAGCAGCGGAAGGCCTCGTCGGGATCATTGCAAGACTTTGGCTTCATGGGCAAAGCCTTCATGCCCTGGTCATCATCACTAGGCTCTGTTCTGTAGTTGATCTGGAACGGGCTACCCAGCAATTTCTTGTCTCCAAGGAATTTGAGGAACTGAGCGTAGTTTTTGGCGCCACCACCGATGAAATCGATGGCCTTGCCGCCAGATGCACCGTTCTTCACATTCTTGCAGCTGTCGTAGAATCCACTCTGATATTCCTCCGACCAGACGTTCTCTATTTCGGTCACAAGGTATTTCCCAGAACTAGCCTTTTCCGTCTCGGTGATGTTCACGAAAAGCGACTGGTCGGGCGAGCAGGTAAAGGTACAGAAGATGTCGTAGAAGTTCTCCCTACACGCAGGACACGATGCGATGATTGATTCGGCGAGCTTCAGGTTACTCGCCAGCGCGTCGACCTGCCATTATTAGTCCATAGTCCTCCTCCTTCCACTTAAAGGATGACGTACCTGCTCCCCAAGACAACAAACCGGCCCCTCTTCCCATTTACTTCCGCACAGATCGACCAGCTTCTTCCTAACCGGAGCCTCCGGTTTCTCCGCAAGACCATTATCAGGACATGGCAGCTCTCCACCAAAGAACGATTGTTTCCCGCAATGACCACGGATAGCACAGCGACCCTCCTCATGTATCTTTGTTTCTCCTTCAGCGAGGACCGGTGATGACGATGACAAGAGGGCGCCGACGATGGGGATGAAGCGGAGTCCCCGCATCTTTGGGGGTTGGTTCGTGACGAGATCCGGCTCGACAAGAATCGGTAATTGGCTCGTGAGGTTCCTAGAGGAAATAAATAGTAGATTCCGTATCCAAATCCCAGCTCAGCGCCGTCGACGTCGAGAAATGTTCGTGAGACCGTGGATGATCCGAAAGCGGTTGCAGCGCTCAGGAACGCCAGCTGAGGTGATCTGCTTCGGACGGAGGAATCCGGAGCGTGTCGCAATTATATCCAAAACACGCTAAAAAAAGACCAGGAGTGCATGAGTTGTTTGGCTGAGCATCAGCCCGGGGAAAGATAGAATGGATGAATATAGGAGAGTTGGAGAGCTTGGGCGATGACGATGACGGATAGACTGCAAGGGCGGTCACTACGTAAGCGGAGCCCAGACTGGGGATGCTAGTACAACTACATCAAGGTCGGAGAACCTGGTCTTATGTACTATGGGACCTGGTATAAATGCTGATTCTCTACTGGACCAGAACAATGAATTGACTGGCTCACATTCACACACGCTTACCAGGGGTAATTGATGCCGTATAATATATCGCGAAAAGGATGGCAAAGGAGCACACAGCTGTTCTACTTCATTACTTTGCTTGAACACAACACCTGCATGCTCTGTCGTGGCTCGAATCAGAAGACTTCAATCTGCACAGTCGATCCACGCCTCACTTGTGGAAATCAGGTGTCAAGGCCACAACATATGCCCGATCATTCCTGGTCTTTTTGAGGATATAGGGAGCATCGACAGTTGTGCATTCGTTTAAAAGACCAATCCACCTCCTGATAATATCGTCAGCATTGGAGCTATCAACCGGATCAATGAACCTACCATCAACAACCAAACCCGTCCCATTCACATAGCTCCCCCCAATATCACTACAAAGAAAAACAACCGGCCCAGTCATCTCCTGCGGCGACCCCATCCTGCGCATCGGATTGCGATCCGCCCAGATCGCTCGCCAAGGCGCAAGATCCTCACCCTCATTGAGAACAGTATCCATGTATCCGGGTGAGATGGAGTTGACGCGGATGCCATACCGAGTCCATTCCGCAGCGAGACTGTCGCGCATGTGCAGGACGGCGGATTTGGAGACGTTGTAGACGATTTGGGGCTGGGGGTAGTTGACGCGGTGGCCGCTGATGGAGGAGATTAGGACGACTTTTCCACCGCGGCCGCTGGATATCATGTGTCTGCTTGTGTTAGCTTATGTTGCAGGACAGTGGGATATGAAAACTCACTTCCCAACAGTTTGCGCAGCAATCCATGAACCAGTCGTGTTGACATCGATCACCCGTCTCCACTGCTCGATGGACAGGTTCTCTGCCGCAACGCAATTGACCATACCAGCAAAACAACAGAGGATAGTGAGATCTCCTAGCTGATCTCTGACCTTCTGTATAGTCTCGCGCATTCCATCCGCATCCGTGACATCGCATGGTTCCGCCAGGATTTTCGCGCCGGGGAAGTCTTTTCGAAGAGTCTCGACAGCTAATTGTCCTTTTTCTATGGCAGTGGGTAGATCAAGTAGGGCGATTCCAGAGAGACCGTGTTCGAGGAGGGCTCGGGCTGAAGCGAGAGCTAGCATGCCTGTGCCGCCAGTAACTGGCATAGGATGGCTCGTTAGTATACAACATAGTAGTTTGTTCGAGTCACATACACACTGCATTCCCATTAACACCAAACCTCATCGCTGCCCTCTGCTGAGCCGTGGTGTTTTCCGGGAACAAAGCCGGTGGGGGCGTCAACGTAGAAGCTGGATCGAGCTCTCCCAGCTGAATCCATGGCATCTTCGGGAGGGGGACGGACATCTTGAAGCTGGATATAGAAGTACCGACCTTCAACTGTATGGTAAGAAAAAGGATAATTCAGATACGAAGAAATGAACCCGGTTCTCCGTCAGTGAATTGAAGACCACCCCGCGTTGGCTATATATATTCCGCCCTGCTTTCTCCGCATCGATTACCCCAGACTGTAACACGATGTGGCTTCGGGCCGCAGTGCCCCGGACTCTTCGCAAGTACTATAAAAGTGACAATGGTAGTATTAAGCTATTTTAACCAAACAAAAGTAAGCAGACATACACCAAGTACCATTGCCTATCCCACCCGACAGTATACTCCGATTATTTCCCATCAACCTTCCTCCTCTTCGCCCCCTTCCTATTCGGCGTAAACTCCTCTCCGTAAATCTTAAAGAACTCATGCGGCTTCTGCGGCTCCTCGCCCATTGTGACATCGCGGAACGCAGTGGTAGCCACGTAGTTCGTCTTGCCCTCGCGGACGAGCGAGTAGTATTCGACTAGGAACTGGATCTCCGTGTCGTCGGTGTCGGTGTGCTTGCGGAGGACTTGTTTTGCTTCGCGTCTGTGTTTGTTAGTTCCGCACTATTGTAAAAGGGGAAGGGAGGAAGTGTACTCGGAAATGTCCTCGAATTCCATATCGGCTTTCAGGGCTTCGCTGGCTGCTTTGGCGAGTTCTTGGCCGTTTAGGAGGGTTGGGCCTGGCTCGTTAGCCCTAGCTATGTTTATTTTGTAGGTATGAATACTAGTAATGGTCATCAATTGACCACGATGCTTATCATCCAATCCATGAGAGCCCTTTCCTGCTAATACATGGGCAGCCAGGAGTGCAACGTCCTGCATTGTCAGCTATGCTCATACATAAAGAAGGTAGATTCACGCCTAACGCAACCGGAGCAAACTTATGTTGCTGCCCAATAGGCAAAGGGAGGGCACCTTCTTCTTTGGCTTGATGAGCATACGAAAGCAGATTCTCAGCATAGAAACCGGCCCTAACCATTAACAACCAACCAAATCAACCAGTACGAGGGGGAAAATACCGAATAATAACTGGACACTCCCCCGTCCTCGACGACGCATCCCCCTTAACCCCCATAAACAACGCCTCCAAATCCACAAATTCCCTCAACCGGGGCTGCCTATCCCTCTCCGCCAGATCACACCCGGCAGCACTAAGAAACACAATATTCGGAACATCCGCCATCTTCGCCGCCTCAATCAACTCCGCCGTAACATCGATCTTATGCTTCGACACCGGCGGAATCACGCACACCGTGTCCGCGTCCGTGCCCTTGATGCTGGCCGCGACATTCTTGACGCGGCCGGGCTGGTGCGGGACGATGGTGGCGCCGAGCTGGGTTAGGTCTTTACAGCGTTCGGCGGTGGGGTTGAGGGTTAGGCCTGAGACGGAGGTGACGAACTTGGAGAAGTTTTCGTCGCTGAGGAGGAGTTCGGCGATTACGAAGCCGGTGTTGCCTTCGACGGAGGTGATGCAGACATTGCGGGACATGGCGGGTGGACAGGCTGATGTGATCTTTCGTTGGAGTCGAGTGAGGATGGGGGAATCAAAGGATTAGCCCCTGGGGAAGATGTATTTATCTTAGAATATACCACGTCATGATAAGCTAATGTTAACAAATGAAGTCAGATTTGGAACACTCGAGGCATGGATCGGTTCTGCCCTAGTAGGGTATCAAGTGGGAGGTCAACAATCGAAGGCAATGTTATATAGAGATAAGAGATATGACTGTATGTTAGACGAGCTCATAGGCAGCTGCAATAAGCATAGAGCTTGCTCGCGAGTTCAGTCAATCATACAGTCGATCTCGTTGTCGGGAGAATTACCATTCGTTCATGATGACTTACCTCACTGTAATAAAGACAAAATGCATAGCCAACGCGGAAATATTAACCTCTCCTCACTCATTGTACAATCCATCAAGGGCAGACTTGAAATGTCAGACCTTGCCGTAACCCTTCATTTGTCTAGACGCTGGAGTTTCGCGTTCACATCTTGTTTGACGCTCAGAGCAGCTTGAGCATATTGGCCTCGCCACACTGTAGAAACTAGCATTTGTCGTTGCATCTAGCACAAAATATAAAATAACTTGAAACATTGGCTCATTCTCAATTCTTCACTATGCGCCTTAGTTGCTATCCTGCTCAGATTGTGTGCTGCTCGCCAACCCTAAGGTATCCGTACTCCGATATACGCGCCTATTACTCCGTACGCATTACTGACACACCAAAACATAACCAACAAAGAAAAGAATTTGCATTGTAAATTCGCTTATTCTGCCCCTGTTTGCGTTCACCAAAATAAACCAGCCCTAGTCAATTAGTACACACGTACATCCCAGCTTGCAATCACACACTACGAATAAATCCAATCGATAACCATTACTCAACCCAACTCCAATCCCTGAACCTAATGACGTGCCCATGTAGACATATCTCACCGACATCCATGTTCCTGCAGTATGACTGCGGACTGCAGACGTCAACAAAACTGCTCATTGGCCAAGAAACACCCTGACAGCTATTCACCTTGTTTACCCTATTCCTGATTTATTTTAAGCATACTATCCTCTTTGTCTGTCGCACCATGCATTGTGATAGTGACGTTACCTGGGCAGGGGTATTGGTTTGGCTTGGAAATTGTAGGGGGCGATTGGTTCTGATGTAGATTAAAAGACAAACAATAATATAATAGCTTGCCAGGCCGAGCTATAAAGCTCTCAAGACCAATCCACAGAATCAGTTTCCTCGATTCAAGAATCGTTGCTACGCCAGAAAACAATACCAAGTAAGACTCCTATCTCCCAAGATCCAATTCAATTGATTTAACCTCTGCAAGCCACAATGCCCGACCTCGAAACCCTATACCAAAAAGCCGAGGCAGGCGACCTCAAAAGCCTCTACAACTACTGCAAACACTACCTCAACAACCTAAGCACCACAATTGAACCCTCCACCGAAGTATTCGTCCGCTCCGACAAGACATTCATCATGCGAGACAAAACCACACGTACACTCCTGCGCGGCGAAGTCTCAGACATAGAGGACCTCGAGACCATGAAGGAAAGCCTGTCGCGGGTGCTTTTCAAAGATATTGGGGCTCGGGAGGAGACTTGTACTGCGTTTGCTTTTGCGGCGACGATGGTCGGGGGTTTGAAGGGTGCTTTTGTTGAGGTGGTGAGGTATCCGGATGGGGGTGTTTGGATTGGGGTGGAGGGGCCGTTGAGTCTTAAGAGGAGGGATGTTGGTGTCCAGGGTGCTTTGGGGCAGGTTTTGGAGAGGTGTTCGTTTCGTGAGGAGTAAAGCAAACCTGCTAGCGAGATTTGAGGATCTGGTGGTGTGTTGTGGCTATTGTCTGTATTAGACATTTTATTTAGAGATTATTGGCTTATACATACGTGGAGTAAATGTAGGTGAGAAGAGTCCCAGCTTAACAGAACAATAATGAGACTGAAACTCCGATTCAGCTAGAGCATTTACGTAGGTCTATCTGAGAAGTATATTCTTGCAATCCGACTGCATCCATTAGGCAAGCAAGTTTCTCATTTGTCCTCGAAAAGCCCTACTTTTCTTCTGGACATCCTGACCTATCAGACTTCTGCTTCTAAGAACCTCTAGCTTCCTGTCACACGTACTATGGACACGGTACTACCTGACAGCTGCGCCTGGCCCAATTTGAAATGGCAGCTTACGATTGGCCGCGACAAAGAATTATTCAGACGCTGACCAGCCTGCGCCTATCAGAAACCGACCAAAACCGTTCAAAACCAGGACTGATTACTACAGTTGGCATCCAGAATCAAAAGAGTTGATGAAAACAAACAGGCAAGCCAACGAGTCCTACCTTTCAGAGATCTCATCGTAACCAACCAGCCTGCAGAAAGCCATGAACAACGCCGAGATTTTCAGAGCCCTCGAGGACTTTAACCAAAAATCAATAGGTGCCGATTTAGAAGGCTTTGACTCTTACTGCACCAAATATCTCCACCAGTTGTTGAGAAAAGTCGATTCCTCTGTTAGAGGACCCATGGATGTATTCCAGCCGTCTTGAGAACCCCCAAGGACATACAAGGAGCTTATGATTGAAAAAAAAAATATGGCTGGACAATTTTGACGGGATATGTTTCTGTTTCCGAAGACATTGAGACTTTTGAGAGCTCGGTTGGTGCCGGAGGTTCAGAAGATTGTTGCGGCCCGACAGCAAGAGCCTGTCAGTATTTGGAATATGTTTGCGCTTGCAGCCTCGGCTGTTGGTGGTATAAAGTGTGAATTTTCCCATACGAAGCCGGATGGCGAGGTGAAGATTCTGGACGGGCCGTTGAGCTTCAAGAGAGATCAGGATGCTATTGAGAATCACCTGAGGGATTGTTTGAGAATAGCAGCCGAGGATTCGGTTATTGCACGTCAAGAGCTTCGAGACATGATGTCAAGTCAACGAGCAGGGACATGGTGCCTCTCCAGATCTGTGTTCTGACATGCATGGCTTCGTTGCTGTCTGTTTGGGAAACCACGGTCACTGTCTTCCTCGATGATCTTCTATTGCTTCCATGTTTTCAATATTGCATTTGACCACTTCCGTTTCTCTCTCAAGTAACCCATATCTCGTGCGGTGTTGTAGTTATTCATTGTCGGTTCGATGACAAATAAAAGAAGTCGTTAAAGCCGTACCAAGCCCTGTCGAATAGAAGCTATCAACTCGAATGGCATCTTCAGACTATGAAGAAGACACGACTCCAGTATCTCCCTCTGTCCTATTACAAGCCTACCGCAATATCGCTGGCGATAAAGTTGTAGAAACCCAGAAAATTCAGGATCTTCTCCCAAGGATTCCATCCGCTCTGCCGCCTCCTTGCATAGGTTCTTCGCATCACCGGGTAGGTAATCGCTGCTTTTGTGGGACATCGACTGAACGAAGCGTGGGACGAAGGTGCGCATCATTTTGTAAAGATAAAGACGGTCGTTCTGGTGGCATAATTCGAGGTCACTTCTTCCGGTCACCATTAGTGCTCTGGGCATCGATCGTTAGCGAATGAGTGAATTAAGAGTGCACTGGAGTGACGGACATGTATACATATCGGTCTTGGACATAGGGAGATATTTCAGATTGATCACTGTTTATCGATCAGTGACCCGTCAAAACCGGGGGAGTCGAGTACTAGTGTTGAAACGCACATTGGAACTTCAGCCACTATCAGAGTGGGTATGCTAACATTCTTCAAAAGTGTTTGGACAAATTGGCTTGCGGGGATGGATATATCGCCCTGCCCATTGACATGCGTACAAACTCCGTCGACGAACCGATACCGCGAGGCGCTATTCTCATCAGTGCTACCGAATATCCTAATGATGAACAACTACTTGTTAACACTGGCGCTTTCAACCGGGTAGAGGAAGAGGTGATGCGACTCACAAATCGCCTCGTTGGCTCAGGACAGCGACGTTTGCTTCCACTACCACTTGGTCTGAACATGAAGCTTTCTCGTGGCTCCCATGAAGGAAGAAATAGCGCATTGATCCCTGGCCGCCGGTCCTGTAGAGCATGTCGGGCCGAAAGCAGCACCGGTCATCGGTAGACAACATCCGCGGGGTTCTGACGAGGGGCCGATTTCACTGATAAACAAGAACCAGAGGGGCAAGCCGTATGGTGGGGGTCAGCTCATTGCATAAGAAGAATAAGTAGTTGTTCATAAATAAGTAGTCGTCAATAAAAGGCAGGCGTGGGGAGAAAAAGAAGAAGCTCTGTTGCGGTCCAACATGCGAAAACGACCGTGCTCCTGCAGCTGCTAGTTAGTGTTTCTATTTTGATCTTTCTGGCGGACTTGTGCATGTTATAACATCAAACTGCCATAATGCGCATTAAATACCGGACCAGATCCCGAGTCCTCCGAGTCCCCCGAGTCCCGAATCCCGAGAAGCTTGAGCAATTAGTAGTACATAGTATGGAAATACAGAACTCCCTTTATTGGCTACAATGACATGGATTGAAAATGAAAGCCCGCTTGTTGTTGCTCTTATCCTGAGGAAACAGGATGTGGCTTGCGCTTCAATTTCCAATTGATTTGCTATAGGAGATCATTTGTACACACCTAATATGTGATCTCAATCCGAATTCCATAGGTACAATACCACACACTCTAGAAATAGCCTGTCATTCTAGCAGACTCAAAAACAATATCCCAATGTCGCCAATCCATGTAACCAATTATACGCCTTACATCCAACCCAAAGAAACAAACACCATACCCCTCAAATCCCGCATAAACACCAAAAACACTCCACCAAACCCGTCCTTTATCACCAATTCAATCCAAATCAAACAACCCCATCTCCCTCCCCCTTCCCCATCTCCTTCTCCGCAGGCTCATACGCCGGCAACCCATCCCCAATCGAAACATCTGGCCTGGCCCACGCAAACTCCGTCTTCCTCGGTAACCCCAGCATCTTCTCGCGCACGGCATTCTCCAGCGCAGTTTGTCGTTCTTGCTCTTCCTGTGGTGAGAGGAAGCGCGGGGAACCGTCCCAGTCGACTATCACGGCGCCGCTGATATCGTTGTAGCGGGGTGGGTGTTGTGCGGTGCGTTCTTGTTTTGTTGCTGTTGTTGTTGTGGATTGATCTTGTGCGATGGAAGGGGGTTCTGGAGATGGTGTGTTCGTGAACTGGGTGGAGGGGGACATTGGGGGGTTGATGTTTTCCCAGGTTGATGGAGGTTCGGTATCTGATGATGGTTGGTTGTGTAGCTGCGTATATCCCGGTGCGGGCGTTGAACTGAAGAAAGGATTCATTGTGTATTCCGTATGTTGTGTATTTCGTATCTCGAGAGTAGTAATCTGTTTGTTTGTCTGGTGCCAGAAAAGAATGCGCCCCAAATATGTACCTGTACTCCTGACAAACACGTGAATTCTAACCGTACCTGGGGTAGGCCCCACTGATGACGTACTCCGCAGTATGTGAGAGATGCCCCCCTATTAATGCTGACTGCATACGTATGCCATTAATATATTGACTATTAAAAGCCCACTCAGGATCTCTCCAGATCCAACAGCAGGGTTAGTGTTTGCATGGCATTCCTTGGTTTCCTTGGTGCGGTGCGCATCGCAATCAAAGAGCCTTGGTGGAGGTTGGCAAACAATAGGCTATTACCCTTTGCGGCTACTCGTGTTCTATGGGTCAAGGTCGGTTCAGGCTAGATGCTCAGAAATGTGCAATAGCACAATAGTACATTGTAAACAATCTGATATACAACCCTCCCAACAAAACACTATACAATGCTGAACCCAACCGACCATGCATACAGGATAAATTCCCGATATTCACCGTATACAAATTATCAAACAAACAAGACCTATACTGAGAGAAGATTAAGACCTCGAACATATCAATCGTAACACAACATCGAATCGCGGGAGTGGCAAAAGACGCGAATCATAAGAACATTATACAGAACGCTGTGGTTTATTTGACGCGTCCCATGATATCGGTCACATCCCTCTCGTTGACCACGACGCCGCCTTCTGAGCATCGGGCCTTGGTGCGCAATTCCGAACAAAGATTGTCGACATCGATTTCGCCATTTCGGAATTTCTCCATCGATTGCAGACGGTCCCTGTTGGGAGTTAGCATTGAAGTCACATATCTCCAACAAGGAGGAATAGCATACCAAATCTTGTTACACGACATCATTTGCGACTGATCCTCACCAGGAACCACTTCGTCCTCATCCAGCTTGTCAAGTCCCGCAACGGGATTCTTCTTGTGCGCCGATGGATCCATAAGCTCGTTGAAGTTGTGAGACGGGCTACCCAGATCCGGCAGCGGGAAGGCATCATCGAAGAAGGTACCGAAATCCTGCGACAGGACGGCATCTTGTGGCTCGCGCCAGTCGCCAAAAAGCACAGGGTCGAATTGTCCCCCATTCTGTTGGGCCATGAGATCGAGACCAGCATCTTCCGACTGACCCGGTTGCTCCTGAGGCGTACTCGTAGCACTGACGGATGGAATTCTCACAGCGGGAATAGGATTGTTGATATTCCCACACGCAAGGCCGAGTTGTGCACAGAAAGAGCTCTCGCCATCGATGCCACACGAATGCACATGGTTAGAGTCAGGCTTTTCCGCGGCGGGGGAGGGTTCCGGCGAGGTTCCCTTGGAAGAGGGACCCCGGCTGTGATGCGAATCCGACGAGGAGCATGGGGAGTCCGAATTGGAGGTGTCGTGCGTAGTCGATTTTTTGACATGGTGAGTCGAGCCGGGCTTGGCTGCGGTTTGATCATGGACACTACCCTTGGGGGTTCCACTGTCTGATCTCGGAGTGTGTTGAGAAGCCGGTGACTGATGACCACCGTTGGCTCTCGGCATATCCAAAGCATCACGATTTAGGACACCAGGTGCTGAGGGAAGACTGCGTCCTGACATAGATTGGGCGTCGTTCGGTTTGGACTGGCCGTTATTAAAAATGTGCGAACCGGGCAAATCTCCAAACTTGGGGAAGTCGAAGAGGAACTCGTTGTTCAATCCTTGCATATTCTTTGAATAGGCACCCGGAATGGCACTCATTGCTGAGATTCCATTGCCTCTGGTAAGCAATGAGAGACGCTTGCGATACTCTTTGAGTTCGACCTGCATACGTTCCATCTGCGCACGCAAGAGACCATTCTCCTGGGTCGTATTATCAGATGATTTTTGCAGTTCATCCACCTTGATCTCCAAGTCCTTGAGATGCTTTTCCTTGCGTTCACGGAATGCCCGCTGTGCGGCTCGATTTTGGGCTTTGCGCTTCTACAGGACACCAGGTTAGTAAAACATAACCATGGAAAACCGACATGGATCTTACTGAAGTCGGCTCCGAAGTCAATGGCTTCCGGCCTGGCTTCTTGGCCTGTGAATCACTCTCTCTTCGCTTTTTACCTCCCGATTCCTCGTTCTCGTTTTCGGACTTTCCGTCCATGTCCTTCCTCTTATCACCAGGCTCATAATCATCTGAGGGTGGAACGCTCCCGGGGATATCTCCAATCAAACTTTCGGACCCTTGAAAGTCGAAATCCGCATCGGGGTTGAAGTCGAGGAACGGACTGTCGTCATCGCCATATCCCAGCCCGCCGGACTGATTTCCAAACGGGTCATTGCCTGCAGATGGAGAGACGTTGACGCTACCCGCAGGTGTGTGCTTCGGTGTGCCATTTGACTCTGTCTTTGTTTGCGGGCTTTTATTTTGCTGTTTCTGCGACGAATTGTTCGAAGAGAGGGCGGCAAGGAGGAGATCTTGTTGATCAGGGGAGAGGTAGAGACCTTGTTGGTAAAGGGAATTGTAGTCTGTCATGGTGAAATTATTGGTGTATGGGGTATCTTTGTTGGGTTGAATCGTTAAATTAGAAGAGTGGCCGGGCCTCCTGCCCGTTTGTCGTATCGATGGAAGGTGTCGCAGCTGGCGCGACGACGAAAGAAATGAACGTTGTGTGGTCGCCTCTCAACACGCATTAACCGAACAATCCAACCTCTTTGATGACAACGAGATGCAGTCCGATGGTAAGGTAGCGTGCAAACCTTCAACGTTTCGGATAGAAATTCGACGTATGGCCCGAGAATTCACAAAGGAATAAACCGGGGAAAGAGGACACGAAGGATCGGTCAGGCGATGATGTCACGAATAATAAGATTGATATGAGCACAGAAATTCAGTATAAAAGACGGCGAAGTGCCCCGAAGAAATTCTTGTCAGGAGCGCGAATGAGTACAATGAGGGGCTTCAAGGCGGCTGGATGCGGTGAGAAAGCGAAATTGAGCAGGCGTCCAATGATCGGAGGGGTTCCAGAACGAATTGGGACCTTTGTCAAGCGAGGGGAACAGGTAATCCGGGTAACGGAGACAAGCAGAAATGAAGCAGGATTTGATGATGACTGGAAGGAGTTGTCGCAGGTGTGGATAGCCTGAAAGAAAGTGTAGAGCGGAGGGGAGACTGGACTACGAGGCGGTGGCCAAAGGCGGCATCGACTTTTGCTGGTCGTGATTGGCCGATATCGTGGATGGTAGCCAATCATCGGACTGATCGGAGGGTGCCGCCCTAAACGGGGCAAAAACGGCAGTGCTTATAAATCGGCGTGCGGATCATTCTGCGCAATTCCATCATATAAATACTACTTGAAACTTAAAGAGGGGAATGTCCCAGGAGAGCTAGAAGATATTCTGCAACTACTTTGTATAGCTCCCTGAATATTTGCATAGTGAACATGCTACGAAGTACAGAGCAGTGGTGATTCATGATATGATTCGGTTGGGATCATCCGTCCTTAAATCCGCTAATTCCAGATGATGTATGCCTCCGACTTTCGGGGCGATATATCTCCGGCTACCCTCGGGTCTTCAGTGAAAGAGTACTCTGTATCTGTACTCTGTACCTCAGATGAATTGGATTCTGCTGAACAGTGGGATCGTTTTAGCTTTCTATAGAATATCTGTATTGTACTCTGTACTTTGTACTTTGTTATCGCTCTCGGTCGAGTCTTCGGAGGCTGTTCGATTCGGCAATTCATCGTTGTTGCAGATCTCCGATCTCGATGGAGTAACTGCAGCCACCGAGTCTTGTACGAAGTAGATAAAAGAGCTCTAAGCATAGGAGGACAGCGAAAGATAGTACTGCAAAGTACGGGATTTCGCAAGACAGTAGTAGTGTGGTCTAGACCAATGTACTTGTATGCACCATAGTACATATATCCGCGCGGCTGCGCTTCTCTCCAGTAGTACCATTGCTTCGCTTTTACTCCTAGGAAATGGGAATGAGAGAGAAAAGAGAATCAAACCAGGCAAGATCGTCTCTTCTTCCCCTTACTACCCCGTATTTTCTCTTTATTCAATTTTATTTTAATGTCCGAGGCAGATATCACGTGATAACATCCCGAAAACGGTATCGGGGCCGCACGTCACCTCTTGAATTCTATCGGCAGACCCATCAACATTAACGCGTCCTCCACATTATTCTGTGTCCTGCATGTGCGTGTAGTGCCTCTTGTCATTCTGCACAGTATTTACGACGTATTTATTGCTATATAACCCTACTCTTCATAACACTGATCACCATGGCCGACGTGGCGTCCCTCGAAGCAGAAGTCAAAGAATTCAAGCTGCAGGTATATTGAACAAGATCCCTTAACATTAGAGTGAGGGCATCGCTAACCGCTGATTTCACAGCTTGAAACGATCCAATCGAGCTTGCAGGTAGACCCAGACAACTCGGAACTTCAGAGTCTCAAAGCTGAGCTAGAAGAACTCATAAACCTCACCGAAACCTCCATCGCCGAACTCAAACCATCCGCACCTCCAGCGCCAGCAGCAAAGCATCCCTCGTCACCTCCGAGAAAAGAAAAATGGTCGAAAGAAGATCACCCGGCATACCAGGCTGGCTACCGTAAACCCACAATCGAACAAGCAGAAGAACCACCGGCCCCGGCGTCGTTTTCAGTCAACGAGAATGTTTTGGCTCGCTGGGTGTCGGGTGACAATTCTTTTTACCCTGCGCGTATTACTTCTATTACAGGCTCTACTAGCAACCCCGTCTACATCGTTTCCTTCAAGACCTACGCCACAGTGGAATCCCTAAGCGCCAAAGACCTTAAACCCATCTCCAACAATGACTCGCGAAAGCGCAAGGCTGATGCAAGCTCAGGAAATCTCTCCTCACAGTCGCCAGTGTTACAACCAGCAAACTCGAGCGTGATCTCCGCTGCGGCAGACATCAACCCCGCGCTGGCCAACCAGGCTCGCAAAGAACCGAGTAAGGTCGGCGATGGGCCTGCCCGTCCCGCCAAGGTGCCCCGAAAGGTCAAGGCGACTCGTGAGCTAGAGGAAGGGAAAAACAAATGGAAGGACTTTGCCAACAAGAGCAAGATTGGGAAGAAGGACAGTATGTTCCGAACCGGCGAAAGTGTGAACGCGCGAGGTATGTTGCATATGCCCCAGATTTCTATTAGTTTGATCCAAGATTCTGACGTTTCCACAGTGGGATTCACCGGGTCCGGCCAGTCAATGCGCAAGGAGCCTGGCAGATCGCGGCATGTCTACAGACAGCTTGAGGACGAGGGATATTGATTGAGGGGCTGGCCCTTTGGATACCAAAACTTCTAAGTTGCATTTGTTATGATTTTATTATCCAGACCGGTTTTCTTTTTTTCTTGTTATATGACTCGTCAATGTCCTTCTGGTCTCCTTGCTAACTGGGATTTTGGAGGCGCAGACAGAAAGGTTTCTTCCCTCTTCAGGTCCAAAGCAGGAGGTATCTCATACATAGAACACGGTGTAATGTGGTAACATCTTATTCTAATGTGACTGATTTCTGAATACTCGTTCAGTGGTTGTTCTAACCGTCATTTGTTGTCTCCTAGTCATCTGATTTGGCCTCGTTACGTTGGACTCAAGAACAGGCCGCATGTTGTGGACATTGAATGCGGGCCACACATCTGAACAAGGTTCGTAAATGTAAGAAGTCGACTGCGTCAAACATGGCACTGGCACTACAAGAGAACAGACAGATACTCTCGTCAAAGAGTTGACTTTCCCGGTGGCAAGCGGTGCTGGCCAAGATGGAAAACATTGTCAGGTGTGTAGATGACATGTATTGTCGAGCTGGTCGCCTTCGAGACGGAAGACTAGCTCGTCTACCCCCTGCAAAAACGCAGACGCAAACGATAGAAATCCTCACAGCTACCCAGCACCTGCCATGCAACGTGATATCTCATCCTACATCATCCCATGTCTTAACACCGTCTTGGAACATCGCGAATTACAGCCGTATATTGCTACACGTATAGTCACACATGACCACCATCTTTCCTTTCGTCGCTGAACCGAATCTCCTTCCATTTTCTCTGATAATTCGGATCAAAAGGGTGACAGGTTCATGAGCATGGACAACCAACAACCAGTGACCAATCAACATATTGTATTCGTATATTATTTATATCTGGACCAGGAATAAGCAGTCTTCATAAGCACCCGATGACCGCGGTGAAAGGGCCATCTTTCCAAATTTACACCAAGAGATTCTCCACTGACATTACCAGAACGTCCAAATGTCGGAAAGGGAACATTTCAGCCATACATGCCCACTATGCCTAGATATGGTCGACGCCACTCAACCAACTTGCTACCGTGTGCTACCGCTGGATGCAGAATATGCCGGAATCGTCAACGAGATGCCCCAGTGGCGTCCGAAAGTCACTTTCTCCTTGGAAAACACTTCAGTGGGGAATTCCATCTTCCGTCAGTTAAATTACCCAAATGGCAGAAGTGCTTGGTTTCTACATACAAGATGCCTGGACCTTGTCAGAGGAATTGCTATGCCCGAACTGTATTTTCTGATACGCTTGGTCGAAGCTACGTTTTTCTTGGAAGCATGCGAACCTGCAAGTCAACATGGCGCTTTCTACTCGGCCCAAGAATTTCCGACCTCAAAGCCAAAGCGCGTGAGGTTCGTTGAATGCACTATACCGGTTATCGGACATCGGTATCCAAGGCTGCAGGTGAGAATCAGTGACGTGACAGGAAGATTCAACGCCGTTTTCTAAGAACTTGCGTAGTTTGAAGTCAACAAGAAATGGGAGCCTCCGATTGACTATGCGCCTGGCCAATTCGATTCTCGCGTGAGCATAGTAGACAACGTGGTGGGGATTTGGTAGGGGAAATCTTCCAGTATTGTTTATGGGGCTGTTGTGTCTGAGTGTGAGAATATGGTGAATATCGTGGTCTTCGATTAAGATCTTTCAGTTAGATATAGTGATTAGTGTACTACCTGCGGGGGAATAATGGATGCCGTGGGAGAGCAATATCTTGGTAGGCCTGAATGGAACACAAGGAAATCCTATTCTGGAGCTGGTCCTTCGACTCTGAAGTGGTTATCTTGGATCTGTTACTTTCTTACCTTGCTATGACTTTGAAAATAGACAGTTTCGTTGCTACCCATGAACTATCCGTCGATGTGTTTATGCTATACGAACTTGACGAGTTCAATTCAAACGTCAAACAGACTGTCACAAGATATATAGCTATTTATACTATGGGTCCCTACTGTGCGGTGACTATTCATGGTTTACCCCCCAAGGACGGAGTTACAGAGTATACGTGGTATAGCTCAAGGTAAAACAAGTCTCTTCCAATTTAACTATCTCATACCACTGACAAACACCTTCCACCTCCAAATTGCCACTCCATCCCTACCTCAGTAGGTAATCGTCCAGAGCTCCGCAATATGCTTAACAGCCCCCCTCAATAGCAGCCTGATCCGTCTTAAAACTCAAAGCCCCTCCCCCCAACGTCTTCAACCCCCCAACCGTCGACGCTGCAAAACCAAACAAAGTCCGATTATACCCCCTCTTCGCATCAACCACCTCGACCACCTTTTTCTTCACAGTCTGAAGGTCCTCCGTAACAGACACCCGTCCGCCGCCAATGTACCGGTCTCTTTCATGCAGGATGGTGAAGTATTTGTAGTCGTCCGGTCGTGGAATTGTGTAGGCCAGTTCCATATCGCCTGTTTTGTCGTGCTTTTTGATTAGGTCGTTGAGGTAGCGCTGGCAGTACCAGTCTAGGTCGGCGAGGTTGCCGGATGAGGCGCTTTGGTAGAGGGTGTCCATGTCTGTCATGTTGACTGATTTGTTGGAGGATGAAGCTAAATGATTAGTATGTTTGAGTCTTTGGAGGAGGCTAGAATTCTGTTGCGACTTAATTTGTTGGTAGGTGTGATGGTTTTGTTCTGGGATGAGATTGAGTGAGTGATTCTTGGAATTGAAGACTGATTTCGAGTACTTTGATGAGCTTCTTATAGACTAGCTGGCAGGCTACTCGTTATTACTTCTCTGACCAGTGAAACCTATCCCAGCCATTTCCGAGCAGATAAACGCCTTGAGGTTTGACATGGGCCAATCAATCCCGAAATGAATCCGAGTATGGACTACGTAGATAGGATCATCACAGCACACAGTGCAACATTTAAAAATTTGAAGTAGATGTTTATGAGAATGGTGATTTGAAGTCTGTGATTTGTGTTAGGGTTGACATAGTTAAGAGGTACAAGTAGGAGAATAGTGTTACGAGGTTCGGTTCTCGCAGGTAAGCAAGCTATATTATCCAAATATCGAGCATGAGGAGAGAAAGGAGTGTAGTGGATGAATCTAATGCAATCGCATAACCAAAGCAAAGCCTCATTCGCGAAAGCAGTGTGTGAATAACAGGACTCAGACCGGTAGTATACGATAGCGCCAAGCGAGCAAACAATAAAGATACCAAGCTACAGGGACGCCGGTATAACTAGGAGTGTTAATTCCCTGCCATACAAACATTGACTGGTCATAGAAACGATACAGTTTATCTACCGACGGAACTTATGGCCTATCCCTAGTTCAGCCCATACTAGATGTAACGAAGCACAAATATCAATGATCAGAATCTTCATCATTCCACTGTTCTCGCAATGTCTGAATTAGCCCAGTCATGTTCCAACCGGTCGTCATTTCCATGTCCCGCAGAAGAGTCTCTGCGGCTTCTTGGTCGAGTTTGTTACGTAGGACCCAGCCCCCTGATTCGTCAGTAAAACCGAGAAGTGGAAGTTCATCGAGTAATAGAGGGCGTTAATTGACTTACAGGCTACCAAGCTATGTCGAGCAGTGAAGAGAGCATTTTCTGCTTTGGTATTTGATCTCGCCAGGCCAAGGACGACGAGAAGGTGATTCCGAATGGTCCTCTGGTCATACATATTAAGCAAACAAAACACCGGGAATTGTGAAATGGACGACAAACCTCAATGTTCCGCAAGTGCTTCAAATTCTCATATCCCACAGCAGGACTTGGGCTACTCGAAACAGCAAGCACAATCTTGGCGACGTGATAGTACTGCAGACCGATTACTGAGACCACGGTCAACAAGATGTAAATGCAACACAACCAGTCCAGTGATACATACCATGAATCGGCAACAGCATCCAAATATTTGGGAACCGCTGGCCCCGCTGCTGTGTACGCGGAATAAGCCGGATTGGATTAAACGTATTCGGTTTGGCATTAAACCATCTCTCCACTTCTTGCTCGACGTCATGAAGAAGCGCCAAACATTCCGTAGAAGCTTCATAGGTGAATGCGCACTTGAGAACCTTGCACAAGAGGAAGACCATGCGGCTGCCCCAGGCAAAATCGTCATCTCTTTGGAATATGTCTGAGTGGATGAAATTTTGCAAGTTTGTTCGAAGCGGCTTTTGCGCGGTTAGCGAGACGTAAATGTCTTCGCGGAGACAAAGCCATGCAGCGGCCTCTCCTAAGCCGCCGGACGAGCCAAACGATGAGACGGAGTTGAGGATGTGTGTTGTTCCGGTGAGGTGGAACTGGTTGTCTTCCCCTGTGATATTGTCAACATTTCATTCCAGAGCAAGGGGCCAAGACCGTACAGTCCATTTCTTCATGTTCGCGGAGAATTGCCACTGCAGCCAGAATCACATCTGTGATTTTCTCCTGAGCGCCAGATAGAGCTGGAATCAACATTTGAAGACAATGATTGTGGTATTGCAATGCCTCCGCCGTGTCCCCTGCTCTTTGTCTGTCGATATGCCGCGATGAGAATGCAAAGATGGCAGATCGCAAAACTGGTTCCTCGACAGCTATTACAGGTACGTGGACCTCAAAATGTCGTTGCGAATCAGTGATGTCCGCCTTTCCGTGTTAGTTGTATCTGTATCACCTGCCGCTCTGGGGCGATATTACGTACCCATAGAGCCATGTGTTCGATATAATTTCGCATTAGGACCGCCTCTCTTTCAGTGAACGCAGGGACTGGGTGCTGCAAGCTTGAAAGCTCTCCTGACGGGCGCCTTGCACCTGCCGAAGGATCGTGGAGAGTATGGAGTATGTCGGAAGAGAGGTTTGCTTTTCGAGACTCAGCAACCCCAGATGGATATGGCTGATACTCTGGTGATCTAGGGCTCTCATGTCTTTCTATTGTCCGGCTTGCATTGATCTCGCGCGAATAACTGGTGATCTCTTCCTGTTCCCATGCTGTCTCAGAATCCTCGTCCGTATACAGCCGTTGGATCTCGAACGTCTCGTCATGGAAGTGGAATGCATACTACTCAGCTTGGCCCGAGGAAACGAAACAAAATGAAACCTACTGGATCCCGTCAAACGCGGCCAAATCCTACTCTCCGGAAACGCGACATCATGATCCTCTCCCAAATCCAACCCATTGCGGAATCGGACATTAACTCCTCTCACACATTTAGTCCCGGAATCTTTGCAAGGAGCGCAAGCCGGGAGATCGGTGTCGCCTGCGAGGCCTTGTGAGATCGGATTCGACACGGAATCTGACATCCGTACGTATACGTACACTTGAAATGACGAACTATCGGGGAAAATAAACCTGAGTATAATCCTTGTGGGAGAAGATGGTGTTCGGTGTAGAGGTGTTGGCTGACTTACCTCTACATCGCTGGCTGGATTGCCGATTAACTAACCGTTTCATGCGATAATAGAGAGGGGAATGCGACTCTTACCAGCCGGTGATCAGCCGAGTTCTCTTTTTTACCGTCGACGGAGGCATTAGCGATGCGTTGCTAAGCGATATAGCAGTTGTGGTGGATGAAGGCGGACGGAAAGAGTTTCCTTGCAGCGGTGGGAAAGAGGACAACAGTGTACCCCGCAAAAATTCCCCGTGGGGAAGTCGACCAGGGAAAGTCTCTCCATCCCGACTTTCTTGATATGTTCCCGCCGGCAACTCTCTCCATGCTGCTATACAATAGCTTACACAGTGATCCACGACGATGCAGATAAAGCTACAGATTCCGCGATCTAGCCCGCAGTATGAATGGAGAGCCTTACCTTCAACTCAATTCAAAGAGGTACAATGTCTACAAGGGATGAAACCCCGCGGTGTCTTCGAGCTATAAAGCTCTCGAGATATCCTCTCTAGAGACATCCAGATCCATCAATCCATCCTATTTTCTTACTCTACTTTTGTTTCTCCTTCAATTGACCAAGTCTACATAATCACAATGGCAATTCAAAAGCTCAAGGTCGGAATGGCAGGCTTAGGCCGTGTCGGAAAGCTCCATGCCACCAACTTCTTGCACCGCACTCCTCGAGCTGACCTGGTTGCTGCTTTCACTCCAGACCAGTCAGAGCTTGCTTGGGGTAAGGAGAATCTGGAGCCTTACGGAGTTACCTTGTACAACAACTACCTGAAGATGCTTGAGCACCCCGGGTTGCAAGCAGTGGCTATTGGAACCGCGACGTCGGTGCATGCAGAGGAGACGATTCAGGCTATTGACAAGGACTTGCATGTTCTGTGTGAGAAGCCGTTGTCTACCGATGTTGAAGTGGTATGTCTCCTGCCTACCCAATTGGATGACTGATGTTGACTATTTTACTTGTATAGTGCAGACAAGTTGTCCGGAAGGCACAATCAAAGCCTCACCTGAAGGTGATGTGTGGCTTTTCTCGACGCTTCGATGAATCCTACCGCGACGCATATGAAAAAGCCAGCAAAGGCCTCATCGGCCGCCCAGCCATCGTCCGCAGTCAGACCTGTGACAAGCTAGACCCTTCCGGATTCTACGTGGAATACGCCGCCTGGTCTGGAGGTGTCTTCGTCGACATGTCCGTCCACGACATTGACCTGACCCTCTGGTTCTTCGGCGACGACTCCATCCCCAAGAGCATCTCCGCCCACGGTCTCCGCGCCGTGCAGCCCGAGTTGGCCAAATACAACGACTTTGACAACGCAGTTGGTATTATTGAGTTTCACAATGGCAAGATCGCCTACTACTACTGCACGCGGATGATGGCGCATGGTCAGGAAGACACGACCGAGGTCATCGGCACGGAGGGCAAGCTCACGATTAACGGCAACCCGCAAAAGAACTTTGTCAACCTCTACCACAACGCTGGTATTACGCGCGAGGTGCCTCCCAACTTCATGGGACGGTTTGGGCCTGCGTTCGTGCAGGAGTCGAACGAGTTCACTGCTTCTTGCTTATATAACACACCGCTGCCGATTAACTTGAACAATGCAGTTAAGGCGGTTGAGATTGGTGCGTATTTGCAGGAGGCATTGGTTACGGGCAGGCAGATTCGATTTGATGAGGGTGGGAAGCGGATTGAACAGTCGCAGCTGTGATTCAGTCATGGGTATAGATCTTGTCTATAAATAACACCGGAGTAGTATAGGCAATGTTGATAGACTTTTAAAACGTTCTGGTCTCCGCTCCTCAAAACTCAACTCTCCATAAGCTCTCCATTGAGACATTGTTATTTCTATAAGCTCCCTTCTGTATAGATGGTACAGGTGCTGCTAGTACAGTAGTATTTAGTATGGAGCTTTGGGTCACTCCGCATCCCCGCATTCCCCGGACAATAACAAGACACTATCAGGTACGGAGTACTAATACTCAGTATGATACTAAATTCTCTTAATTTATATCAATCGAGACTTATTTAGAAGCATCGATCAACTAAAGGCCCGCCTAAGCGACACGCGTCCGTAGACCATGCTGTCTGATCCTCTGCCTATGACGCCATGGCCGATCGACCGTTTACCGTTTCTCTACGGCATCGTTTCATCGCGATTGCCAATCCATTATTTATCTTCATCCCTGATCGCAGCATACTCGCTTTTATCCATACATGAGTATCTGCATGGTTGAAAATGCAGCTCAAACTACCAGATACCCTGGGCCTGGGCTCCCTATTCACAATGGCCCTTTCACTCTTCTCCGGTAGTGAACAGCGCCGTCTAGTCACCCACCAACCAGCCCAACCTCCCTCCTATCCCCTCGCTGTCCGGAGTCCATATCTATCAGCATGGATGCCCAGTGATCAAGTTCAAACGCTACCATACGCAGAGCCGCAGTTCTGGGCCGGTCAGAGTCTCACTTGGTCCGTGATGGCCCGTGTCGACGGCCAGGCATACAGCTTGATGAGTGTGAAGAACCCGGGGGATACCAATATTCGTCCGGCGGTTGTGCGGAGCGCGGAATATACGGCGACTCATTCGGTATTTAAACTTTCCGCTGGGAAGGTAGTTTTTACGTTGGACTTTTTCTCGCCGGTGTCGCCGTCGGATTATTTGCGGCAGTCACTTCCGTTTAGTATGCATCCTTGGTCCCTTTATCTATTTCACAGACACTGACTGGGAGAACTGTAGGTTATTTGACCGTGTCAGTGTCGGAGGCTTCCTCGAATGATATCCAGATCTACTCGAGTATCGATGGGAGATGGACAGGAAAACAAAGCGATACGGTACGAAGCTTCGAACAATCAGGATCAACGGCCATATACTCTCTAGCTGTGGAAAATGCTTCCCTGTATGCAGAGGATAGCGACATGGCTACTTGGGGCCAAGCGATCCTGGCCTCACTCCCGACTTCCTCATCGACACTTTCCGCCGGCTCAGGTAAACCGGGTAAACTGCGCTCCCAGTTTGTGAAAAACGGCAAGCTGGCTGGAAATGACGGTTCATGGTTTCGCGGGGGCATCGTTGCTTTGGCCCATGATCTGGGGAAGGTTACAGGGCAGCAGTCGGTGAACTTTGCAGTCGGTTACGTGCGAGAACAAGCAATCAGCTACTTGGACAAGGATTATACAGGATACTACCGAGCTAAGTATCCGCAGACGTCCCGGGCTGTATCGTATTTCTTGGACGATTATTCGAGTGCACTGGCAGAATCACAAATCCTAGATTCGGCGATGACTGCGCAGGCTAAGAAGGCGGCTGGTCAGAAATACGCAGACATCGTCACTTTATCCACTCGTCAGGCATATGGAGCGATCGATGTCACCATCCCGGACGACACAAAGGATCCTAATGATGTGCTGGCTTTCATCAAGGAGCTCTCTAGCAATGGAAACCTCAACACGGTGGATATTATTATGCCCGCTTTCCCCATCTACTACGTTCTGGACCCGGACTATATACGATTGTTGCTCGAGCCGATGATGCGGTACCTTGCTGCTGGTCGCTGGCGTTGGCCGTATACCATCCATGACATGGGCGCGCACTATCCGAATGCGACAGGCCACGATGACCAAAAAGCGGAGCCAATGCCCATCGAAGAGTGTGGCAACCTAATGGTTCTTGCTCTCGCTTATGTGCAAGCGACAGGCGATACGAACTGGACCAGTCGATACCAGAACGTGATCCGGCCGTTTGCGGACTATCTCGTCGATAACAGCGTCAACATCGCGGAGCAGCTGTCTTCGAACGATGCAGCCGGGCCTCTTGCAAATGAGACCAACCTTGCCATTAAAGCTGCAGTGGGCCTGAAGGCTTTTGGGGAATTGACTGGGCTCAAGGAATATTCTATCATTGGCGACGAGCGCGCCGCACTATTCTTCAATCAGGGCCTTGGGACAGACGACGAGAAGACTCATTTCGTCCTACAATACCCGGAACAGCCTCACTCCTGGAAGACCCCATATAACATCTACCCCGACGTGCTGTTCAATCTTGGAACCTTCCCCAAAGCCGCATACGGGATGTCAAACACGTTCTTCAAGTCCGTCCGCTCCGAATACGGCGTACCCCTGGACAACCGGCAGGATTGGGCCAAATCTGACTGGAACATGTGGCTGGCGGGTACGTTTGACAAGAGTACGCGTGATGAGTTCATCGATGATTTGTGGGCATTCATGACAAACGGTCAGCACAACTGGCCTTTTTCGGATCGGTATATTGCCACCTCTGCCCTGGGGAATACCCCCGGTGTCCCAGTTCTATGTCGAGCTCGTCCGACAGTCGGTGGACACTTTGCGTTGATGGCATTGCAGGGTCCGAAGTCTTTGCAACAAGCCATGTTGAGCGCTGAAAGGGAGGAACATAATGGCCAGTATTTCTTTGAGGTCAAAGGAGAGGAGCTGTGAATGTCTTCATCAAAGGCTTAAGCATTGTTTTTATTTTATCATTAACAAAATAGACCAAAGGCAGTCACTGTATATAGCATTTTTATACCCTTGGCAATGCTTGGGGTCAGTGAATAGCAATACCACCACTTCTTGAATGGCAATTGAATCAACGAAGAGAAAGCCATTTCCTCTTGCTGTCTCCTTGTCTCTGTTTTTTATAGAGAAATAACTGGTGGTGAACTGCCCCTGTGGTGCTGACTAAGCCGTGACAGCAACGTCGACGTCGCCGGCGAGACTCTTCAGATCTCATCAACCAAACCGCCTTTTGCTGTTTTTGCTGTCCATCTCTCTTTCCTTCTTTTCCCTCTCTTTTTTCTCCTTTTCTCTTCTTCATCCTCATCTCCGACTAGACCTTCTTCTTGAACCGCTTAATTACTTCCTACTCATGGCTTCTGTATGTTGTCCTCACCACCATCACTCTGTCCCCTGGAGACACGCGTCTACGCGCAACTGAGAAAACGAGAAAGATCACAAGCTGACCATCTCTCCCTCCGTCTTTTTCGGGAGATTTGCTTACTTTAGCCCCGTCCTCCGCACGCTTTCGGTCCTCAAGGCTATCCTCTCCCTAACGGTGCCGCCGTGCCTACTCCTAATCCTGCCCCCGGGGCCGCCCCTCTTCTTCCGAACAACGGCAGGGTTATCCAGAATGGTCCTGTGAGGATATTGTGTATTGCGGATGTCAGAGGTAGGTTACAGCTGGCGGGTTGATGGTCTTTTTTTCGTTTTTTCCTTTTTTTTTTTGGTTTTGTTTTTGCGTTTGGGGGGTATGACACAATCGGGCTGTTGCTGATTTGGTTTTTTTCTTCTTCGATCAGGAAATCTGAGGTCTTTGAATGAATTGGCCAAGCAGGCCCGCGCAGATCATATCATTCATACTGGTGACTTTGGTTTCTACGATGACACTTCGCTGGATCGGATTGCAGACAAGTAAGTGGAGCGATCGATCGACCTGCTCCGTCGGAGGATTGTCTAACACCGCGGCTTAACCACAGGACCCTGAAACATGTGGCGCAGTACTCGCCTCTGTTGCCAGAGAATGTTAAGCGGTCGATCGCCCAGGCTCCCCACCAGCAGTCCATTAAGCAACGATTTTCGCAAGAACAGCTCCCGCTCTCCGAGCTTTCGATGCTGCTCGACAAGCGGCTCACTCTCGATGTTCCTGTTTACACTGTGTGGGGTGCGTGTGAGGATGTGCGCGTGCTGGAGAAGTTCCGCTCCGGGGAGTACAAGGTGGACAAGCTGCACATTATCGATGAGGCCAACTCGAGATTGTTGGATATCGGCGGTGTGAAGCTGCGGTTGCTGGGTCTGGGTGGTGCCGTGGTGATGCACAAGCTGTTTGATAATGGCGAGGGGAAGACTACGATTGCTGGTGGTCAAGGTACCATGTGGACAACTTTGCTCCAGATGGGCGAATTGATAGATACGGCCAATCGTGTATACGACCCGTCAGAAACTCGAATCTTCGTTACACATGCCTCGCCGGCCCGTGAAGGAATGTTGAACCAGCTCTCCGTCACCCTCAAGGCTGACTTTTCCGTCTCCGCCGGTCTGCACTTCCGTTACGGTTCGTCCTACAATGAGTTCTCCGTCAACCCCTCCCTCGACCACTACCGTGGGAAGCTGGCCGCTTCGAAGGCTTCCTTCAACGACGTGTGGGAGACTGTTCGCGGCGAGGTCGAGACCGCCATTTCCTCCAACGAAGCTCAGAAGACACTCCTGGATAACGCTCTCGACGTGGTGCAGAGAATGCCTACGATCGCCAACGGTGGCAACCCGTTCGGTGGTCCTAGCGCTGCAGGTGCGGCGGCAGGTCAAGTCGACGAGAGCGCTTTTAAGAACATGTGGAACTTCAACCTTGCTGACGCAGCGTTTGGTTTCCTGGTTCTCGAGATCGAAAGTGGACGTATTGCTACGGAGATGCGTGCTCAGGGATTCAACTTTGCACACCGTGCCGGCAAACCCGTTCCTGCTGCTCAGCTTCCCGCCGGCGCAGCTCCCGCCAACGTTGCCCGTGGACCTGGCGGTCCTCCCCAGTTTGGACAAGTTCCTCGTCCCGGTGGACCTGCCCAATCACAGGCCTCTGCGGCGCAGCCCCTGCCCCAGCAACCGCCGCAACAGCCACAGCCGCAGGGTCCAGCCAAGGGTCAACCTGTTCCTGTTATCCCCAAGCCGGCAACTCCCCAGCCCCCTGCTGCACCCGCCGCTGCACCATCGGAGAAACCTGCTGGCGAAGCTAACGGTACCGCACAGCCAGAGAAGCCATCTGAATCGCCAGTTGCCAAGGGTGAGAAGAAGCTGAGCAACGGTCTTTTTGTATCGAACGTGGAAAATGAGCAAGCGGTCCGTGATCTCTTCTCCGAGGAGGACAAGGCGAAGATATTGAAGATTGAGAAATGGGGCAAGTATAACAATCACGTCGTGACTTTCACGAATGTCGAAGAGGCCAAGGCTGCGCTGGATCGCCAACCCACGGAGCACAGGAAACCTACCCCGTCGGGCCAACCCCGCAAGCCCAACATCAAGTTCTTCGAGGACCGTAGCCACCGTGGTGGTGCCGGTCAATGGCAAGGAAGCAACAGAGGTACAAACTCCCAACGGGGATACCAGAGTGGAGGTGCCAGTGATAGCGAAGGAGGAAGAGGCCGTGGAGGATTCGGACGTGGACGTGGTCGTGGAGGTGACCGCGGTGGACGGGGTGGACGTGGACGTGGAGGCTTCAACAAGGGAGGTGTCCCATCGTCAGAGTCCCCTGCACCGACATCGACGCCATCCGGCGACAAAGGCGACGCGTGAAGGTGCTATTTCTGATGAATTTCCTTTGTCTTCTTGTGTCATTTTTACCCCTTTTTCCTTTTTCCGCTTACGTGCATCGAGATTCCACTCGGCCATCTCTTGTGTTTTATTTCCCGTTTTCTATTAATGTCATTGACACATGAATCTTTTTCGACGATCGATATTCTAATATTCTTGTGATATGTTTTCAAAAACCAATGTTGTTATGTTGAGCGAGATGTCCGTGGAATTTCGTTGTCTTAAAGACTTTTTTTTTTTTTTTTTTTTTTTTTCTCTACGCTTTCTCTGTGTATGCCTGTGCGTCGGTTTTTAGGATATGGATCTCCAGCGAGCTGCTGTACCGGTACAGGCTCGACGGAGGAACATGCTGGAGATGAAGATGACGAAGAATTGGGAGGGCTGCGTTGGTTTGATTGGGATGATAGACAACTGCTATGCTATTCAGCCCCTGAAGCAACCTGCCTTTTCTTTTTGTACTTTTAAGACTTCGCTTGATTGTGGGAGGAGGCGTCAATATCGATACCCTGTAGTTTCAACTTGTTCTCGTAGTTTTTACACTAGTACACGTTTATATTGAACTGGCGTATTCTTCAGATTTCAACAAGTTTGATGCTAATTATCATCTGCCATGCACATGCGCGCTAGTCTTTATCCCGGACTAAGGAACGATACGGAAGTAAAAATTGGCCGTATGCCCCGTTTCCCCCAGGCCAATATAATCCACCATGCTGGTGGCGTGAGCCAATCCAGCCCAATAACTACCAATGGCAGTGGTCATCAACTCTCGTTCTTCCCTGCTTAGTGCTGATTTGCCGTGGGTAGTGAACGATACCCCGAAACCGTGATGACTGTCCCTCTTATTTAAGCCGGTTATCACAGTATTATCCACCCCGGCTCCCTGCAAAGGAAGATGAAAGACCGTAGCTCCACCGCTATAGTGGTAGACATCGTGCGAGGTATTGCTGGTAGGTCCCACCAAACCCTTGATAAGGAACCGCTCCAGGAGCACAGGCTCGTCATCATTTTGTTTCTGGATCTGGCCTGGGACCATGGCGGGCTGGATGTTGGTGTATTTGATTCCGTGGCAGGACATGGTGTTGATGAGCTTGTCTTTATATTTGACGGCGCTATAGGTTGGCATCTCAGGCTCACTCACAGCAACTGCTGTGAAGATTATGGTCATGTTTCATTGCAGACATCGCAGTGGACAAGCTTGCAGATGCTTCTTGCTAGGACACTTAACGCTGTGATGTATCTGATTCTAACGAAGATTTAGCCCCCCGGTTACACAAAACAGATTTGGATGGTTTACTTGTTCATGCTGTTTCCCACTTTCCGAACTACAGCGTTGGATGCCTGAAGGCTTTTACCAGCACAGCGAGGTTCCGGTTTTGAAGGAGGAAAAATTCTGTAATGTTGCTCAAGCAGCACATGTTTATAATATCCCCCGTACAACACTTCGACGACAACTTGATGGCCATGGATATCAGGCTGAGAAACTCGTAAATTCTCATAAATTAACAGAAAGTGAAGAGGATTCAATTGTACAATGGATATTGTTATTACAGCAGCGCGGAGCAGCTCCATGGCCAGCTCTTATCCAAGATATTGCCAACATTCTGCTTTCCAAACGCGGAGATACCAATACCCGGACTGTCAGTATCAATTGGGCCACAAACTTCATCAAACGACGCGATGAATTGAAAACACGCTTCTCTTGATGATATAATCACCAGCGTGCCAAGTGTGAAGACCATCCGGCAGTGGTTCAACTGCGTACAAATTATTATCATGTAGTAGTATGAGATTACATCTGAAGATGTGTAAATTTTGATGAGATTGGCTTTGCAATTGGCCCTCTGAAAAAGCGGTGGATCGTACATCCCTCGGTAAAGTCGGTTATAGCCGGAGTATAGGGGCAACATAACTAGCTCTGCACTATTCTTGGTCATGATTTCGTATTTGGTGTGGCGAATGGCACTGCCCGAGATGCCCCTGGGAATATAAAGCCATTGTTTGTCCACTGTTCCCGATACTCTCAATCTTAGCAACAACATCGATATCAAAACAAAACATACTCATCCACCATGAAGCTGTACCCCTCCCTTCTCCTGGCCTTTTCCGCCATCAATGCTGCTCTTGGCAACGAGGCCACTTGCTCCGGAGATGCCGAGCTAGTCAACCAACATCAGGGACAGAAATACACGCAGGAAATTGTACGCCAACCCTTCTGCCCTTTCGTAACTCTTCCTAGACACTGACTATTGGACTCCAGGCCAGCCAAACCAATTCGGAGACGGTTCGCGTGTTGCACCCGGGTGATGCTGCTACTATGGATCTCCGGCCCGGAAGGTATGTATTTGCCTATAGTAAGATATTTGAGCGTATTGTTTCTGACAAATCGCGTGTATAGGTTGAATGTCCATGTTGATGAAAATGATGTTGTTCAAAATGCTACTTGTGGTTAACCGAGTTTCATGATGCTGGTGTGAGATTGGAAAATAATTTTATTGTTTCTTCATATACATATTTCAGTACATTTTTGGGGTGGTCATGTCAGCAGCACACAGATGCAGTGGGATAATTGTAATGGTTGAAGAAAGTCAAGACATATTCTCACTCTCCGAACCCTTTCTAATTTATAAGGTTTAGATAAATAGAAAGTATGGATCGATTGTTGGCCAAAATCTCATCGGTTTCATCTCCCGCGCCATACACGAAGACACGACGACGAAAGCCACGATGTAAGAAGTCAACATATCGTACCAACGCCAATGATCGCTGACAGTCAATGCCTCAGAGAACGCCTGATATTGGAGCTCGACCAGAAGGGCCGCATGACAGCTCTGGAAGACCGTCTCAGGAGCTTGTGGATAAACCCATTTGATTTGCCTCAGGAGAACCGATCAGCATGGATGGCATTTGGAATAAAGCACATGGCAAAATCTGGAAAGAGAATGAAGAAATGCTTGAGGCTTGTGAGAGATTCTTATTGCAGTCACCAGGGGGATACACTGCACACCCATAGAAAATCCAAGCAAAGAAAAGGCAGCTGCATGAAGTGGCACAGCAGCAGCTTGACAGCCTAGAATCAAAGTGGCCGTGGTTCTACAAAGACAGTAAACAGGTGGTTGTTTGTGAACAGACCCAAAGGGTTGTCAAGACAATTCTTTCAGTCAAGGATGTTGTCAGTGCTGTGATTGCAGCAGAGCCCCATGCTTCCATTTTATGGGCTGGAGTCTTGGTCATTTTGCTGGTAAGAAGTCAAGTCAGACTATCTGTTCCACTGCTCACATATTGATAGATCCCTGTTTATTTCACAGTTCAAGAGACATTTCCATGCAGAAGTGGTATTCAAAGGGTAATATCTATGTGCTATTGACAAAAAAAAAAAAAAAAAAAAAAAAAAAACAAAAATTAATATGTACTTTACACAGGCCAGTGTGAGGAAGATTATTAGTTGATGACGGTCCTCCCTCCTCCCTGCCCTAAATGTTCACTAGTGACAGACGCAAGCACCTAAACAAGAGAAATCCATTTTTCAATTTCCCAACCAAACCAAACAAGACATCATCATAACTCATAATCAACTCATTTCCGACTATCAGAATCCAACTCAACCGGCGGCGGCGGCGGCGGCGGCGGGTACTGCTGTTGCTGCTGATGCGCCGTCATATCCCAACTCCAATGACTGGCAACGGGCATACTCTGCTGCGGAGGCGGCGACCCATGTCTCGCATACGGGTACGGAGGCGACGCCGTAGCAGCATGGGTCATATCCGGACTTGCGATAAACATTCCCGATTGATGATCGGCCGTCATCGGCTGGAACGTGGGTTCATGTTCGCTCTTGCGTGCGTCCGAAGGTGCGGTTCCGGGTGCGTTGTTGAAGAAGGCCCAGCGGGCGGTGCGTTCGGAGCGACCGTCTTGTGAGGACATCCATTTCTTGTAGACGCGGTTGCGACCGAGGACGAAGAAGAGCGCCACGAGGACTGCGATGAAGGCGACTGCGCCGACCACGATGCCGGCGATGGCGCCACCGCTGAGTTTTGATGATGAGTTGTCGGATGACGAGTTGTCGTCGCCTTCTGCTGGGACTGGTTCGCCGGGGACGAGCTGAATGGGGGAGTCTAATGCGCTTTTGTTCTGTTCGTCCCAGGTCATAGTTTCGTTCTGTTTGCTGTCAGCACCGCAGATGACATGGGGCTATAGGGATATAATACCGGATTGATGGCTCCCACCATCCCATTTACGTTGCATGAGTCTATCGCGGTACAATAAAAGAACGTCGGCTATAGATCTCATCAGCACTACATCTTGAACAGCTCGATAGGAAATCTTACCTCCGTATCATTGACCCTCAAAGTCCATGTCGGTGCCTGTATCCAACTCGTTAGATACCGCGTAGAGCAAAAAAACACAAACAACTACTCACCAGTCCGTCTAGAAACCCGCCATCCTCGTTAAATTCATTGAAAGGCCCAGAGTAGAAAATGTCCTTCGCCGCCGGCACACACGGCTCCAGGTACTTTGCCTGCACAACCGAATGGTTTCTTGGATAGAACTCGAAGACGATTGTATCCCCGACACTGGCGTTGACAGTGTTAGGAACATATTGATGCGGGTTTCCCCTGGGGCCGACTTTAATCGTATGAGGTCCACCGGTTGATGATGTTGTTTTTGTTGAAGTCTGAGTTGATAATGTTGTTCTTGTCGAATCTGTTGTGGGCACTGCTGTTGTGTGCGTTGTCGACGGCGTCCCCATCACAGCCGGCCCAACCCCAGATGGACTATCCTCGGCCACGACGAGAGCCACCAAGGCCAGTAATAACACCAGCGACCTGACCATTGTAGGAAAATTCATAGATACCCTCTGAACACCGTGACCGCCAGAGTGCGAGAAAAGTTAAGAAGGAAAAAGTACCCCAGACGAGCGACACGACAGCGAGGTTAAAGAAAACCCACCACCAGCTTCTCTCGTATTCCTTTGTCTGAGGGCACCAACGATATGGAACGCCATTCCTTCGTGCCATACCGGAAACAGCAAGAGACAGCCAACAAGTCTTGGCCCACGCAGTCTTGTGTATCCCGAGATGCGTTCCTTTATCCCTCATGCAACACGCCGCAGGCCCCGCATAATCGGGCAGTAAATCGAAGGCAGGTCTGCCCGAACGTGCATAGATCGTATTTGGAATACGAGTTTCTCTGTTGGAGTCTGTCAGAGATCGCGACAGCCTTGCAGGATAGATCTTCCCCTCTTCAATATATGTTTAATGCTTTTCCGGTGTCATTGATTTGGTTCTGTGTACTGCCGAAACAAGGTTGGCATGTCTTTGTCCGCATCGGTTACCATGAAAAACGGCCTCGGTCAGCCATTGTAAGACCCTTGAAGCTCAGGAGTACCAAGTACCACGTGTCAATCCTTGTGCTTTGTACAACTGTTCCTGGCATGTTCTGAGGACAAATCTTATGATTCATGCCGGATTGGGAGGAAAGGAGTGGTCTGCAACACCGTTAGCCTGGATTAACAACAGCGGGACAATCAACAAATCCTTAAAGAGATACCTGAATGAGAGACTCAAGGGATATTCGCTTTTTCTGTGTCACTGAATGATTCAGACGTTATATCCGACTCCTTTGTCGGGACGTTGTCGGGACTGGTCTCAGCCACTGAAAGAGAAGTAAGCGATAAGACTTTGGCGATGGATCACTGCCCTAATGAGTATACGGTCCAAATCCTATACATTTTGATGCTATACAATAATACAATATGCTATGCTGATCCCAATTAAGCCTAATTCCGGAATAATCTCAATCCACCCTCCTCACGATCCTCGTCGCTCTCCTCAGCACTGACATCATCCTCATCCCCTTCACCAAGCATGCCGCTAGCCGTCCGACCAAGCAGCGAGGCAAAGAACTCATCCCGCGCACGGGTAGTCCAAGTACCCCGGTCCTCCGGTGCCATGAAGTTCTGGAGTTTCTCATGCACGTCGAATCGCATCTTGCGGCCCTTGGAGGCGCGGGTGTCGACGTTTGCTTTGCGGTTCTTGTCGTTGCGCATGCCCGTTACGGGGTGGATGGAGAGCTTGGAGGGGAGTTGAATGTGAAGGGTGTCGAGGCCGTTGGTGATGGAATCGGATGAAATGCGCTGCTCGACTAGCTCGCGGAGCAGAGTCTGGTAGAAGATGCTATCGTCGTAGATTGGCTCGTCTCCAGTTGTAGCATTTCCGTTGGCATTTCGTGCGCGCTTCGCCGATCGCTCGCCGGCTTCGGATGCAAGTTGCGCATCTAGGACCGCGGTGATGGTCTGCTGACCAGAAGCGCCAGAGCCAAGCAGCTTTCCACGGGCATTAGGGAGAGAGGCGCTAGACCCGCGGACCTTCACAGACCACTTATCGAGAACAGTGCGGCGGTGGGCGACGGCGTCGGATTCGAGGTCGGCCATACGCTGCCACAACGAGGCTGAGGATGTCGTAGGTGACACAGGGGAGGGTCGTTTGCGTTTCTTCGATTCGCCAGATTGTGCGTCGGCTAGTGCATATCGCAGATCTTCGAGCGTAGACCAGAGTGCCAGGGCGGCCGATTCAGCGGATTTGATAGCTTCGGTGTCGACATCTTCGGCATCCTTCGCGGCAACGGAAAGCTGGTTGACTGCCGTCAGCCCCTTTTGTAGCTTGATCCGAGTGTTCAGAAGAGCATCGAAGGTCTTGCGCTGTTGCTTGACAGCCTTTCCTTTGACTGCGTCTGCCTTGGCTGCCTGTGAGATACTGGCCGCAATCGATTTTTGGTCCGTGGCCATCAGCTGGCGCAGCTCTTCTCGGTCGTCTCCTTTGGGCTTGCGATCGTCTTCATCTTCATCCTCATCCTCATCCTCGTCGTCGTCGTCTTCCTCATCTTCGGACCCATCCTCACTATCCTCGTCCTCAAGACCATCCTCGCCTTCAATGTCCTCCGAGCCATCGGTTTCCATGCCGTCCTCATCCTCATCCTCATCCTCATCCTCCGACTCTAGCTCTTGTTTTTGCTTCGTCTTCTTAGGTGCCTTTGCCTTTGGCTTCTCCACCTCCTCCTCAGACTCCCCTTCGCTGTCATCCTCGTCATCCTCCGCATCTTCTAAACCAACATCCTCCTCGTCATCATCATCCTCACCCTCATCACTCGACCGCGCCTTGAACGGATCATCATCGCTATCCTCCTCAAGCGCATCTCTGCTAACCTTCGATCCGGCGTATTGTTTCCCAAGGTTAATCGGTTCTGGTTTGCGGAGTTTCGATTTTCTGCCGCGCAAGAGTTAGATATATTCTCAATCGTAAGTTAATTCCAGTGTTGTAAAATGAAACTCACCCTACAGCCTGATAATGCTCCCTCCCCGCATCGCCATCCTCACTCTCCCCCGATTCCTCATCATCGCTCTGGCCATCTTTCGCAGTGTCCAGATCCTCGGGGTCGAAGTCTGTCGCATCGAGATTAGTCGCGCATTCAAACGATCACTTCAATGAGAAAATCGGGATAAAATGCATACCCTTAGGAGTCGGATCATCCAGCTCGGCAAATTGCTCAGCCAGCGACTTCGATTTCGATTTCGGTGCCATTTTATCTCGCTTTGCTGTATTGTAGAGAAATCGCAAATGGAAGAAATTATTTTATTTTTTTCTCGGCGGAGAACAAAAAAATCGGGATGCGGTATCGGATAAACTACTTTAATGTGGTAATTCTATATCTAGTTTGGGGTAGTTGTTCCAGGCGGTGAGATTTTCACAGGCAGTATTTTATAACATCATCTCCAATCATCGTCTTAACAACCCTCAACACAAGTAGAGAAAAAAGAGAAATGGGCATGATGCAGCGGAGACTTTTTTCGATGTGCAGAGTGCTTCAGCATGATAATCCACTAGTGAGTATCTCTTGTTCTAAGAAAGTAATGCGAATGTTAACGCTATTAGGGCCTACCTCGCTCCGGCACCCCGCCGTCACTCCGGAGCCGGCGCGGATTACCGGAGAAGCGCAAGATTCGAGATGTGAAGAAGGTTATTGCAGTTTCGTCTGCGAAGGGTGGTGTCGGGAAGTCGACGGTAGCAAGTACGTACATCGTCACAAAACCAACACACTGGTGTGGAATTTGGTTCCGAGATGCATCACCGTTTTATACAATGCAATGCAAGCTAATACACGACAGCAAATCTCGCCCTCTCCTTCGCCCGCCGCGGAATCCGCACCGGCATCCTAGACACCGATATCTTCGGCCCCTCGATCCCGACACTCCTCAATCTCTCCGGCCAGCCGCGGCTCGACGAAAGTGCGTCCCCTCCGTTCAAACCTCAACCTCAATCCTACATCTAGATACTAACGGGTACAGACGACCGCCTCCTCCCCCTAACAAACTACGGCCTCAAATCCATGTCCATGGGCTACCTCCTCCCATCCCCAGAACAAGATCCCGCAGCAGACATAAACACCAACCAAACGCCAATGGATACGACGCCGATCTCCTGGCGTGGATTGATGGTTACGAAGGCGATGCATCAGCTGCTACATTCTGTATCGTGGGGTCCACTGGACGTGCTTTTTCTGGATCTTCCGCCGGGGACGGGAGACGTCCAGCTCACCATAAACCAAGAGATCATCCTCGACGGCGCGGTGATCGTAACCACACCACAAGATATCGCGCTGCGAGACGCAGTTCGCGGATTCGGGTTGTTTAGTAAAATGGACGTTCCTGTGTTGGGTATGGTGAGAAATATGGCCTTCTTCGCATGTCCGAACTGCGGACATCAAACGCGGATTTTCTCGCACGGTGAACATCACCATCACGGCGACGACCCTGAAGACTCGGGTGTCGTGGCGCAGTGTAAACGGCTCGGTGTGCAGTTCCTCGGTGATATCCCGCTTGATGCGAAGGTGTGCGAGGATGCGGATAGGGGTGTGCCGACTATGGTGAGCGAGGAGAGTGAGGAGAGGAGTGTTAGGAGGAAGGCGTTTTTGGATGTTGCGGAAAAGGTTGCGGGGAAAGTTGGTTTAAACTGGTAGATGGGATGGAATTGAGATAGACGGTTAGATTGTATTTGTAGTGTATATATACCCAAGATGATTTCTAGTATCGTGACAGATTGACGTTCTAAATACAATGCAGTATGCAAGATTTCCAAGAGAACAAATGGTATCTAAACAATGAAACAAAAAAAGTCAGGACCAGCCTGAAATATACAAGATAACAAAAGTGAAGGCAATTCAGAGCCTTAACCTGTCATGCAGAAAAACTAGAACTCATCCGCAGTCCTAAAAACATCCCTCTCCGGCATCTTCGGACGCCCATTAGCAGCTTCATCCGCACCACCCACAAACGACACAGCATCGATATCACTCGCCGTACGGGAGAGCGCATCGATGGACCGGCGCGCATCAATCGATTGCCGAGCAGAGCTAGTGCCAGATGCAAGAGGAATAGCCCCGACAACGCCGGTGGAATTCAGCAATGCCCTCGTGCTTGCGTTATCGAAAGTTGCACCTCCGCCGGTATTGTTGGTGACAGCGAGGGACCTTTCATCCGCGATGGTACTATTTGCGTCTTCGGTTGGTGCGATTGAGCCGGTGTATGAGGAAGTGGGACGGTGGGACTTCGATATCCTTGATAGGGAGGTATCAGAGGCAGAGGCCGGGAGAGTTCCCGCTGCGTGGAAGAGAGCGCGCGTGCTTGCGTTTTCTTCAGTGGGGGTGTTTTTCTTGTTGTCGTAGTCTGGGAGGACTAGGAGTGGGCTACCCAGTGGTCTGTCGAGGGAGGATTTGTAGGTCATCGGGGAGCCTGGTTGGCTTAATCCGGATTCGTCTCTGTTAAGCTCGTTTGTTGGGCGTTTGCGCTGCTCGGCGAGGGTTTTGTTCGCTGTGTCGGCGTCGATTTTGATGCCTTTGGGGCCGGTGTTAACCGTAGGCTGAACATCAGAGGCAGGTTTAGTGGACTTCTCCGGTGGAACAGGTTTCGCACCCTCATCTGAAGATGAACTCGCCCTAGAAGCACGAATCTGTCCCGTATCGACAACACTCTTCGTATTACCACCACCTTCCTTCCCAGCCTTTCCGACGAGCCGCTTATCATGCTTACTAGCCCAAGAACTCCACATCGTCATCAGATAACTCTTCCTCTCCCGTCTCGGCGGCAGAACACCAGGCGCTTCCCGTCTCGCGGCCAACGAGCTTGGTGGCGGCGTCTCATCCTTGAAGTTCTGGAATTGATGATACAATTCTCTCATCCGCTGTTTCTGCACGCGCAGCTTCTCTTTGGCGAATTTGTCGTCCCATTCTTGCTTTGCGGCTATCCAGCGCTTCACGAGTACCGGGTTGAATGCGCCGACTTGGGATGCTGGAATTTGCAATGCTTCGAACGAGGATGGCGGGTCAAGGGGGTAGACGTGACCACGTTTGTCGACTCGTTGGCGGATCATATGGTTTTCGAAGTCGGGTAGGGGGTCGCCAGCTTTGCCAATGGAGCCTACGGCGTGTCGCGGTGCATGTTTCTCTGTATCTCCGGATGTCGAGGATGCGGATGAAGACGAGGTGTGGTCGTCAGGGGACGAAATCGCAGGGTCATTGTCGGCCAGAATTTCAATCTCCGTATTCTGCGCATGAGCAAACGCCCACGCGCCAAACTGTGAAATTGAACGGAACATGTACTTTGCTGGACGGGAGAAACTGAGAGTCGGCGCGACATGGCAAAGATTATCCCAAACTTGCAGCTGGACACATGTAGGCGGGTACTTGCTCAAGGTCTCCCCATTCGGATCATACTCGTCGAGGTAAACATCGCCAGGTGGGTATGCGGTAGGATGCGCAGCCTTGTGGGCAAAATAGATCTGCTCATCGCGCAGCATCTCACCTCCTCCAGTGAGGACCAGCAGCGGTGGTAGACCGCCAAGAGACGGCTGTAAAGCCGGAGAAACGAGAGGATGAGACAGAAGCTGGTTCGTCGTGTACATGTGGATTTGGTCCTTGATTTCGATAGTTTTGCCATCCACGTTGATGGAGACACTGCCGGCTACTTCCTTCTCGGCGCCTTCTTCATCTTTCTGCTGGCCCGGATACGCATGTCCCTGACCACCAGTGCTGTCCCGCGACGTGTAGCCTTTCTTCGCAGTATCTTGTGCTTGGCTATCCTGCTTTGGCATTGCTTCTTCTGTTCCGCTTTTCGCATCGGTATCTTTGCGAACTTCCTTCTTCATGGTGAGGATTTCGTCAGAGTTGGGCGGCGGCCATGCTTGGGACGGTTTATGTCTGAAGCCGTATGGAGGGATATAGTCGAATGGGTTATTTGCGATGATACTAGGGAAGGAGTGGGTAAGATCAACCCAGGGAGAAATCAGAATTCCACCGGCTGGGAGAGGCAAGCCCTGGTCGCGAATAGTGACAAGCAGGCTGAATGGTTAGCATGGTATTTGGTCTCTCATAGTAGCTGACTTACGAGAGCGCCATTCCTCCACCCGCAGAATCACCGGCAAAGATGATTTCCTTTGGCTCGTATATGCTCAAAAGCCAAAGATACGACGCCAAACAGTCCTGTAAACTGCAAGGGAACGGATATTGTGGAGAGAGACGATATTGCGCTGTAAACTTAGCTTGACACTCAACAACGGTACAGCCATGGACGGTCACTCACTACCACAGTTAGCAAAACTCAAATCAAACAACCGGGTAAAGCATACCGTGCAAAAACTCTCCCCTTCAACTTCCTCGCATGCCTCTGCATCTGATACCGATGCGTATCCACACTTCCGAAAAAGTATGCACCCCCATGCACATACAGAATAATGCGATTCCTCCCCTTAAGTTTCTCCTCCCCAACCTTCTTCCTTTCATTATAATCATCCCGCATCTCAATCCACTCCCCTCTCAGATCCTCAGCCGGCCCACGCCATTGCCACCACTCCTCTCCACCGATATCTTTTATCCCCTTCGGCCCGAGTTGCGCAATTAACGTTTTCGCCGCGGAATCGAGGTACTTATCGGAGATGCTGGCAGGCTCGGTCCTCACCCAGTGCGGACTGGGAACCCATTGGCGGGAGAATTCTTGGAGGTCTTCGACGGGGTATTTCGACGCGAAGACGAGGAATTCGCGCATGACATGAATGCCTTCATCGTAGGAGATGTGGACGGAGGGAGTGTTGTGCAGGGATTTGCGGTGGAAGTACTGTTTTTGTCAGTGCCATTGATATAGGCTCGGCCAGAATGAGGAACTCACGTGGGAAAACCAAGTGGAAATGACAGTAGGAGTCAAGGCCGCACTCAATGCAACGGTCTTGAATGGCATTATGTACTCGTCAGTACTATATACAAGGTACCAGGGATGGACCGGGATGCAACGGCCAAGGAACGACAGTAGTGAAAAGACAGATATATATCCAAAGAGCGACAGGCAATAAACAAATAGACACGTATAAGGGCAAAGAGAGGAAAGAAATGGTTATAAGAATCGGCAGGAAAAAGAAATACAGGGGACCGATGCAATGATGTCATACACGCAGGGGGCGCACTAAGCCTGATTGGGATACCCAGGGGGATGCACAATTGGCGAGATCCGAATAGAGTAGGATAAGCTAGATTACTACAGTACGGAGTAGATCGATTGAGCTGAACATCTGCAAGACAACTCATCAGTGTGTACGTGGCAGCGAGCAGTATTGTGTGAAGTATGTACGCATTTGTAGTCAAGATCGACTGACAGATCCACTGTGGACATTGCGACTGACGTTTAATTTCGCGTGTGTCAATCTGGACTTAATTTATGCCACTATCTTTACCCAGGGGTAACTACTCTGTACTACTTGTAGGTAGACATGGAGGTAAATGTAACTATAACTTTTGAGGCTGGATAAGCTAATGTACAAGTATTTATGCAGTGCATAATTACGTCGCCGTCGCCGCCACCAACCACTACAAATACACCTCACATCTCGTCAATCCTTCACTAACATCACAACTGCAATCAAACATCAAACTACAACCACAATGGCAGAACCATCCACAATGAAAGCCTGGCTCTACACCACCACCACCAACGGCCTCGAGAAAAACCTCACCCTCCACCCCTCCGCCCGCACCCCAGCAACCCCCGGACCCTCACAACTCCTCATCCGCGTCCTCTCCGCCTCCATCAACCCAGCGGACTACAAAGTTCCGGAGATGCCAATAGTCTCTCGCGTTTTAGTCTCCAAACCTGCATCGCCGGGGATGGATTTCGCAGGACGGGTTGTTTCTACCGGGCCGGAGGTTAGTGGGTTCGAGAGCGGACAGTTGGTGTATGGGACGACTATACCCACGCAATTCGGGTCGTTGGGGGAGTATATGGTTGTCGGGAAGGATAATATTGCTGTGTTACCGGAAGGAGTTGAGCCTGATCAAGCGTCTACGGTGGGGGTTGCGGCGCAGACGGCGTATCAGTCTCTCGTGCCGTATGTTTCGAAGGGGCATAGGGTGTTTGTCAACGGTGGTTCTGGGGGATGTGGGATTTTTGCGATTCAGTTTGCCAAGGTTGTTGGATGCCATGTTACCACTACGTGCTCGTCGCGGAATGTGCAGTTTTGTAAGGATTTGGGCGCGGATGAGGTTATTGACTACACAACGGAAGATGTCGTGGGAGTCTTGAAAGGACAAGGCCAAGTATACGACCATGTCATCGACCACATTGGTCTCCCTGAGAATCTCTACAATGAGAGTGACTCGTTTCTACGTCCTGGAAAGGCGTTTGTGCAGGTTGGTGCGGCGTCGATGTCCGTTTTTGCCAACAGACTTGTCTGGCCTGGTTTCTTGGGCGGAGGGAAGCGGAAGTATGTCATTTTCATGATGAAGCATAAGAAGGAGGATATCGCGCAGATTGGAGAATGGATGGGCCAGGGGAAGGTCAGGGCTGTGATTGACAGCACCTACGAGTTTGAGGACGCTGTCAAGGCGTTTGAGAAGCTTCGTACCCAACGGTCTAAGGGGAAGATCGTTATTCATGTTTCTGAGTAAACGAAATGCTTTTATGATAGTATACATCAATTCTTGCGCCTCAAAAACGTCAATGCGCCAATAGCCATCGCATCTACTCCCGTACGCAGTGTTGGCTGCAGTGCCGGAGCAAAATACGGCGAATGGTTACCAGGCAACTCATTCAGAGTCCCATTCGCCTCAGCCTCATCCCACTTCTTCTCATCAATACCACCAAACGTCCACATAACATAAGGTGCACCAACAGCTGTCGCAAGAAGACTGAAATCCTCACTAGCAGTAGCAGGCTCCGGCTCAACCATATTCTCTTCGAAATAACTTCCAAACGTCCCCTTGAGCTGCTCAACCATCTCATCATCGTTGATCGTAGCAGGCGACGAAATAGAACACTCGACCCGCGCGTCCTTAACCGCTCGTCCAGCATGACACTCAGCCTCGATAATCCTCTTAATCGACGCGATGACGTTCTTCCGCACTTTTTTATCGTAGGTCCGAACATTAAGCTTCAAATCCAACACGCTGGGGATAATATTCGACGCATGCCCCGACTGAATACTCCCACAGCTAACAACCGCCGTCTCCCCAGGCGCCACCTCCCGACTCACAATCCCCTGCAACCGCGTCACAATCGACGCCCCAATCAAAATTGGATCAACAGTCGTATGCGGCGCAGACCCATGCCCACCACGCCCATAGATCCTCACATCAAACGCATCCGCGGCCGTCAACAACCGCCCGGACTTCACACTCACACTCCCCGCCCTCATCTTAAGCACATGCTGCGCAAGCACAACATCGGGCTTCGGAATCTTCCCGTAAAGCCCATCGTCAATCATCCCCTTCGCCCCATTCAATTCCTCCTCCGACGGCTGGAATACAACAACCAGTGTCCCACCCCACTCCTCCTTCGCAGAATGCAAAAGCGACGTCGCGGCAACCATAGCAGTAACATGGAAATCATGCCCGCACGCATGCGCAACAGGTCGCTCAACACCGTTCCTATCCTTCATCACGCGAGTACTCGCATACGGAACGCCCGTCTCCTCCTCCATAGGCAGCGCGTCCATATCCGCGCGTAGCAGGACGGTCGGTCCATCGCCGTTCCGGAATACACCAGCGACACCGTATCCGCCAATATGCGTGTGGACTTCAAAATCAAGGCTGTTGAGGTATTCGGCGGCGGTGGTGGAGGTGCGTTCTTCCTGCCCGGAGAGTTCGGGGAAGCTGTGGAGGTTGCGGTAGAAGCCTTCGAAGGTTCTCATTTCGGGGCGGTATTTTTCGATGAGGGCGCGGAGGGCGCCGTCGTTGGGGTCTGCTCGTTAGCTGGGTTTACACGAGGATGCGTAGTATAGCTTACCTTTTAGTGGCATGGTGGGCAATTGGTTGGCAATATGTACAACGATGGCTTTACACAATGGCTCAATAGCTGAGGAAAACAGGAGGACACTTGTTACTATATAGACTGCAAAAAATGCGGGGAGAGAACGCCTGCTCGTTATCGCTAGAATCGTCGGCTATTTGCCCAATGACGCATTCATCGTTATCGGCTCGGCAAGGGTCCACTACGAGTAGTAGCGAGCAAGAATAGCTCGGCTAGTCGTATATACAGTGTACGGAGTAATTATCGGAAAGAATAAGATAGGAAATATGTCAAACGACAACGGGGTGGAAAAGATCGCGATGAAATGTAGATCGAGATCGGATCTGATATCGTCATAGCGCGTCCGGCCGAAATGGTAATCCGGACCGTCCCCGTAACTACAATTAACTATGTTTACATATCCACTGCAACAAGGATCCACCAGCGTTGAATGGAAACCCTAGGAGCCATATATATTCTATCTACGGCCTATTTATAGTGGTACCATTATAATGATTCTCTTAAGTAAATGAATGCCAATTTGGTATATGCAGACATCTACTTCGTTGAGCACCATACTCCTGCTCCTTAGTCCTACAACCTTTGGGGAAGCTGGTCAGCACCAATTCAAATGACCCAGATTCTTCTCATCCAGCCGGACTCAATAGATAGTCTATCACCATTTCCTGGTGCTGGCTAGTTTCATATTTAAGAGCACACTGGCCACCTCCGCCGCACTTTGCACCGAAGCCCATTCGTTGTGTGATGAGAGAAGCTCCTTCGGAATCCCAATTCAGACGAAAGAATAACCAACTAGACCTTGAGGGTCTATTTCTCGAGCCAGTCAGCGAATTCCGAAGGGAAGTGCTTCAAGATAGCTTTCCCCACGCTGACAATTGAAATGCTTGCACATGCCTCCATTCTGATTGGCGACGTCGGACTATCACTGAATACAACTCGGTCTACAGCAGCAAGTTTGGAATCTACTCGCCTGGTTGTGGATTGGAGAATGTGATGCTGTGCTGGGGCCATGATGAGTATCTCTACCACATTGTCAAAGATCAATCCACTATCCCTGCTGAGGGGTTGGCTATGATCCGATACCACTCGTTTTACCCATGGCACCGCGAGGGCGCTTACCATGAGTTGATGAATGAACACGACGAGAAAATGCTCGAGGCTGTGCGGGCGTTCAACCCCTACGACTTGTACAGTAAGAGTGACGAGGTTCCGGATCCTGAGAAGCTGAAGGTTAGTCTTCCCTTGTTATATCTCGATTGGAGCCGCTGACACGCAGTTTTTCAATAGCCTTACTACAAGGAGCTCATTGATGAGTACTTCCCAAAGAAGGTCCTTAGATGGTAAACGGGACGTTACATAGCTCAGCGCAAATTGGTTATTAAGTTTTGTGTATTCCTGTATTTCTCGCCTTCTAAGTTTGAAAATTTTCCTCTCCAATTGGGTTTCACTCGGAGTATTACCGGGAAAGTCCATGGCCTTTTTTGTAGTACGTTTAAAGAGAGTAACTCTGTCGCGAAGATATTGAGGAGGATCGGCGTACTGTCCTATGCCCGCATGATAGATAAGTGATTACTTCACTAGCTCGTCCCTATCAGATAGAGCATTCTCTTCAACGGAAAACGACACCGACCTAGATTAAAGTGTAAGGATCATTGACTGGTCTCGGAGAATGAAGCCCGAGTACTTATTCCTTTCTCGTGGCGCAGAGCTCAACGGAATTATCACCGGAAGAACATCACTTAATCGGCGTCCTTGTCAATGGTTGTTGGCAACCTTCTTATAATAGAAAAGAAGTGGATAGATTATGGGTGAAGAATCCCACGGCGACATGAGTTGCTCTCCGAGTCATTGTGGGGGTATAGGAATTATGCTATCATTATTTGACTACGTATGGGTGGATGACACAAGCAGTGACATGTTTTGAGGGCTTTTCTTGACAAACCGGACTCCATAAATGTTCATTTCGAGTACCTAGCTAAAGAGTTCTAGCAAGCATCAACAAACACCAACTCTATCTATTCTACAACCCCCTCCTCATTAAAAACCAATTTCTCACCAGTAACCAAGCTCCGCTGCAACGCCTGTCCAACAGTCACAGCCTTAACCGAGCTTTGAAGGGTAATCGGCGTCGGCTTATTATCCAAACAACATGCCGTAAACTCCAGCGCCTCAGTGACAAAAGCTTCCCTGAACCGCTCATAGTAATGCTGCGGAAGCTCGCGCCTTGCGCCCATCGAGTCATGGATCTCAACATGATTCTTCCGGCCTTCCATATTAACTCTCAAAGACCCCTTTGTGCAAATGATCTCCGTGGTGTCTTCCTGACCAGCTGCCATCATGCGCGAGCAATACAGAGAGGCAATCCTCCCACCGACAAACTCAATTGTCGCGAGTGCATTGTCTCGGTCATTGCTGATTTCCAGTCCCGGATGGACAGCTGCGACTCCGACGGCTTGCAAACTCTTGATTTGGCGATCTTCTCCAAAGAACCAGAGCATGAGATCGATGTCGTGGATCGAACAGTCGACGAAGATGCCGCCGCTGGTTTTGGCATACTCTACAAAAAAGCCGGACGAGTCGAGGAGATCGGCGGTTTGCGAACGAAATACCACTGGCTGGCCATAGTCTCCTTGTGCGATTCTCGCGAAGGCCTCGCGGTAAGACGCGTCGAAGCGTCTTGAAAAGCCACACATTACTTTCTGGTCGGGATGGGTTTGAAGTGATTTATTATAGGCGTCGACCACAGATTGCGCCCATCCAGAGGTCAGTATAAACGCACGTAGTGGTCACGACTGGGACACTCACAATGCCAACATCAATGCTGAGCGGCTTTTCGCAAAGAACATGCAGCCCCTTTTCAATAGCCTTCAACGTTTGCTCCGCATGGACAGCAGTAACACTCGCGACCACCACCGCTTGCAGGTCTTCTTTCTCAAGCATTTCTTCATAGTCGTGGTAGGTCTTTACGCCTTCGAGGTTCTCCGCTGCCCATTCGCGTTCCCTTTCATCGGGGGTACTGGCTGCCACGACAGTCACCCGGGGCGTGAGGGCAAAATTAGCAGCGTGACGCTTGCCTGTTGTTTGTTAGAATACGCAATTTTTGGATTCTGTGAGCGTGATTCGTACCCATTCGGCCAAGGCCGGCGATGGCAACTCGGAGCTTTTGGTTCGGCATGTTGAATATATGTTAAAGGAGGAAGTACGAAGGGTTCGTTGATGCATACCAAATAACAGTAAGTCCTTTATTAAATAGGAGGTCCTGATCTGCGATTTCCGAAAATGGTGGGGTTGTGTGGTCGGAACTGGAAATCCGAGTTGAATGTTGAGGGTATGCTTACTCTCAGGGCGTCATCGAGGCGGAGTACTAACTTGAGAGAAAATTCATAGCAACAATGGCCACTAGTATTAACAAGGACGGAGAAGGGTGGATAGAAGCAAAGCCCGAGTGCTCGAAACGACAAACTGGGATTGCCCTATTTCACCCGAGGTAACTATCTCCCAACCTGGATAGTAAGCTCAGATCCGGGTATGAGAATCCGTTTTTTGACCGTCGAATCTGGCGAACAAACAGCGTAAGTTTTGGTTATGGGATGCATTGGATATTTTCAAGTAAATCGTGTGTGCTTCGGGCATGGACATCTCCTTCGGCCCCTTTGAACTTGGTTCCAAATCTAGACTGAGGATAATGTCGTGAAAGTGAATATGGAGGATATGGATTTAACGAGGTTGAGTTATTGAGCTCTGCAAGGCTAAGAGAATATTGCCAAACGTGTCCGTAGCTAGCGCATCTACTAACTCGCATGTTCTGGCAAAAGAATGCCCGAATTCGGAAGCAAAGAATAAAGACCTCCTTCACAATTCTCCGGCAACAACTGCCCATCCGCCATAAGCATCCAATCCAAATCACCATCCAACTCGAGGTCAGTATGTCGTGTACCATGGACTTGTCCTTTATCTATGCCAGAGAAAACAGCACCGGACCAATCCGAGGTACGTGCCTGCTTCTGAGAAGCACACATGATTCCACCATTCGATCTTCCTGAGAATCTACAGCTAGACCGGGTCCTCATTTCCCACTGCTGCTGTAACCGTATCAAAATATCCTTTGCGCGCCTTGCACTCTGCCAGGACAGAGCGAATTCATCAAGGGCCCGGAAGCAGGTGCTTAGGTGGATTGCGATGTCGTTATCTTCGTGAGTGGGGTATTTGCATACTGCAGCGAAGAGGAGAAAGAGAACGGCGGAGGAGGTGGTCGAGACGGCTGAGAAGTTGATTCGTCGAAGGGTATATCTTGTCTCGTATAGGATTAAGATCTTGGCGATGGCAATGGCGGATTGGATGCACATTTCTCGCGCGTGCAGGTATCCGGGGCCCTTTGGGGGTTGGGGCTGGAGGTGGCCTTTTGACATCCAGGGTCGGTGGGCGTAGATGATATTTTGGTAATATTGCATGCTGCGTGGATGCGGTCAGAAATTTGAGTTAGTTTGATAGGATGATGCAGGCTTACTGGAGCAGCAATACATGTGGAAGATAAAGTGAAGTGTGGTCGCTGAGATTGATCTGTAAAGTTGATGGGAGACTGGCTTTCCAAATTCGAAGCTTTGCTACAATATTTGCATTGAGCTCCTGCAGAACTGCCTTGGAAATACGTGACGTTCCATAGCTGAGAATAAAATATTAGCCATGCAATTCTCATTCGAGAGGCCAAGATCTTACAGGATGTATCCACACGGGGTCATCAGCTCGCAGAGTGTGACCTGTTGTTGAATCACAGCCTCCATACAATCCAACAAGCCGGCATTGGGATTGACGGGGCTGGGGGATACGTAGGGGGTCCATTTGCCGGTTCCCCAGTGATTTGCTTGGTTATCAGGCTTGCCAACAGTCACGTCCTCCATGTTTGTGCGGCAAGGCCTGCCAAGGTAGAACCCCAAAAGACTACATGCACTGTTAGAAAATAAAGCATGCAAGTTGGATTATGGGCTACTAACTGGTCAACCGTGTATGCAGCCCAGAAGACCGTTCGACGAAGGTCTGCGTCAGTTGCAGTGATGGCTCCGCTAGAAACATAAGCAGACATATCGAGATGTAACGCGAGGTCGAAGGCAAGCCGTGTTGCCATTCCTAGGAAATGTCAGATGGTCCAAGAACGAAGAAGCAGACAAGAGATACCGCTATAGAGCCATCCCCGAGCATCTTTTCCATTTCCAATCTCATGGCTGCTCAAGATCACCATTGCCTGGATGGTGGCAACGCACGGACAATCCAATTCAATCTCGAGCAGGGACTTGGCTCGATCTCCGAAAAAGTCGACCAGAGATTTAGGGAATGTGACAAATGTTGGATGATAGCGAGGCTCAAACGCAGCACCAAGTGCACACCTGTCAAAATCGATAAGACATAGTTCACTGCCACTTACAGGTAAAGCAAGGCACTCACATTGCGTTTCGAAGTGCCTCCGAATAGAATGGGGTGTCTCCCATTCCAAGCCATTTGGCCTTCGCCTCTTCATAGACCCTTCGATTAACCACATGGACAAAAGGATCTTGCCAGCTAAAATAGAGATTGATTAAATGGTCCTCCAAGGAAGCAGGAATTTCTGCGCTAGTCCCCAATTGATCTAGACATCGCGAAACATTATTATGTACGTTACGATGCACCTCCATTGTTTCTGAAACTGGCATATCCGCCAGGTTGAAATTAGATGTCGGGCCGCAGAAATGTGTCTGCCCTCCGGGCCCAATTCGCAGGGTCCCAACTCTATTGGAGAGCTCGTCAATGAGGCCTTCAATGTCTTCTGTGTGGCTATTTTCCTCCACGAGCGTATTGTTTCCGCTGAGTACAGGGCTAAATGCCTCAGGGACATCCTCAATTGCTGCAAGAAGTGTTCCACTCGGAGAAGCAGACCCAAAAAAGTGCTGCGCTTCCGAAGAATTTGGCAATTCTCCCAGACCGATATCCCAATCCCAAGCACCCAAGATATTTCCCGGGCTATTGTCCTCCGCGTCCTGGTGTTCTGGAAGCGGTGCTGTCGAAGCCTGACTGTGGGCTGTGGACTTGGACGGCACTTCCTCCACGGACCCCGGCTTAGGCGACGGCTCAGATGGCTGGAGCTCGGTTCCCTCCGATTGATCTGTTGCAGCGGCAGTGATAGGAACCGGCGACGACCCTTGTGAATGCGACTCCGCCTCGTTGGTCGCAAGCGAAGGCCTCCTACTCCCGGCTACATGCTGTGTTAGCGTCGAGTTCACTTCGACCAGTCCAAGTATCTTCAAAATCCTCGTCAACGCTAAATCCTTCTCTTCCGACATGGGTGGTGGCTGAAACCCATTGTCGCGGATGAAGTGGCATAGCTGATCCACTCTACTCGACAGCAATTCGATAGCGACGCGAAGAGGAAGCCTGAAACTGTTAATTAATGGACCTCTTCCTTGAACTTTGCACTTACTTTCTCTTGTCGACATGTTGATAGTGACAGTCCCGATTCCTGTTTGCGCAATTGGAGCACGCTGGGTCACCACCATCACACTGTGAGTGCTAGTCAGTTAGTAGGACCTCGGCACTAGACCCTATGGATCAAAAGTGGCTAACCTTGATTTTGCTCTCGCGACAAGCGAGGCAAGCCATGGTGACATGTCTCCTTTTCGAGGCTTTGACAGGCGGCATTGTTGTACATTTCCTTGACAAGATGCATTTCTGAAAATAATCAAGATCAATCTTAATGAGGGATACTGACGAGATGCGGGGGAAAGAGCGGGGATGTCAAGACTCAAGAGTGATAGGGGACATCTAGCTAACCAGGGCTCTCCCAGCTGAACTAACGAGATGATCAGCGGGTTGATCTCGGAGAATGAAAGCCGAACATTTTCTTTCATCAGTATGTATGGATTTTAAGTTAATACCCCGGGCTTACCCCAGACTGAATCGTCCCCCTATCACAGTGTAGAAATTATACATCCGATGTATCGGCCATATCGGGCTTGCAAGAGTTATATTATGTCTCATTTATATCCATTTCTTCCTGCGTTTAGCAGCTTTGAAGAATGTTGTTTCAAGAGTCTCAAGGCAAGCCTCTCCAATTCGGAGTCACCGCCGCTTGTGGTTCTGGATTCCTCCTTTTTGGCTATGACCAGGGAGTCTTCGGTGGCTTACTCGACAATGAACCTTTCCTCAAGACCTTCGGGTACCCTGGTGCCACGATCCAGGGCCAGATTGTGGCTACTTACGATATTGGCTGCATCATTGGCACCTTGGTGTCCATGTTCTTCGGCGATAGACTAGGGCGCAGACGATGCATTCTCGTCGGGTGCTGTATCCTGATTGTCGGGGCCGTGTTGCAAACTGCTTCTTACTCCCTGGCTCAAATGATTGCTGGCCGTGTGGTGGCTGGTGTAGGGAACGGCATGAACACAGTTGCCATTCCCGTCTGGCAATCGGAAACCGCACGAGCAGATAACCGTGGGAGGCTTATTGTTGCTCAGCTGGTGACGAATATATTTGGTGTCGTGATCACAAATGTATGCCCTCCTGCCCTGCCCCCTACCACAAGAATGAAACTGACCTTTTCCACAGTGGATGAACTATGGTTTCACCTTCATCCCGCACTCCGATGTGAGCTGGCGGTTCCCTCTTGGCTTCCAATGCTTCTTTGCAATCATCACCATCTCCCTGGTTCTCATCACCCCAGAGTCTCCTCGTTGGCTGGTGATGAGAGGTCGTGTCAGCGAGGCGCATAATATCCTCGCACGACTCCTGGCCAAGCCAGAGGACGACCCTGCGGTGCTCGATGAAGTCCAAAGCCTGGATGCTACGGTGCACCACGAGGCAGAAGTGCAGCAATCCAGTATCCTCAAAGAAATCTTCGCCAGTAGCAACAAACAACAAACACTCCGCCGAATGCTCCTCGGAGCAGGAACCGCCTTCTTCCAACAAATGGGAGGAACAAACGTGATTACATATTACTTACCTGTTGTTTTGACGCGAAGCGTCGGGCTCAGCAACCGCATGGCCTTGATCCTGTCGGCGGTCGACTCGATGTCGTTAATGTTCTGGGGCTCGCTCGCCAGCTTGGTCATCGACCGAGTTGGTCGAAAACGCCTGATGCTGATGGGAGTCACTGGGAGCAGTATCTGCTTCGCACTAGTCGCCGTAGGACTGCGCTATGGCGGAACAGACAACAAAGGCATGTCGATCCTCGCTGTCGTGTTCATTTTCGTGTACTACGTTTTCTACGGCCTGTCACTCCTCTCGATCCCATACATGTACCCGGCGGAAATCAACTCGCAGAAGATGCGGAACATCGGTACCTCACTTGCCACGACGGTGAACTGGGTCTTTGTTTACCTGGTTGTTGTGGTCACGCCCACAGCCATCGAAAGCATCCACTGGAAGTATTACATGCTCTTTGCCATTTTTAACGTCTGCTTTGTCCCGATTATCTGGCGGTTCTATGTTGAGACTGCCAATCTTTCTTTGGAACAGGTCGACCGTCTGTTTGAGATCAAACACGAGGTTGGGAAAGATATGAGCTGGTCTGAGGTGACGAGGATTGCCCGCACGGAGACACCGGTTGGGCTTAGGGATGTGAAAGCTGCCGAGGCTGAACATTGTGAGAATGTGGCTTAAATATTGAATAAGATAGGGTAGCGTTATAGGTACTGGTTTTGCGACAGAGTATCGCAGAGCTATCTGGTGAAATTTGTGCATGTTCATGTCGATATCGTGTCGTTGTGACTTTAATGATCTCACAGTTATTTCTGTATATATTTTTTTTCTTGACTTAAATTCCCCTCGTAGGCCTGTCCAGAGTAACACCAGTTTCTATATCTAGGTTCCTCATCTAACTCAGAGCCTGAATGTCATTGTTGAAGGATTACAATAGACGTTGAGCAGAAGGAAAGGGGCATGAGTCATATTATAACAGTGTATTTACATCACTCAGTAATCCTAAAGCGACGTCTTCTCTAATTCCACCTTAAGCTTCCCCCACGACTCAATCCCCCTCCTCGCAGCAGTTTCCACCGAAAACCCCTCCTCCCTCATCCTCCGATCAAACACCTCCAACGACACCCACCCCTCAAACCCAGCGTCAACAATCCACGTCCTAGCAACATCCACGACAGGCATATACCCACCCAATTCCGACTCCAACGGAAACGGCCGAGCATGTTTAGACCAGGTGAATTCCGGCGCCTCGCCTTGTAGATACCACGGATGTTTGTTGGAAAAAGGTGGATCGAAGCGTTCTCCGTCGGAGAATTGTAGGTAGAAGATTTTGTCGAGTGGGCAGTGGTCTTTGAATCGACGGAGAGATTGTGCCAGGTCATTATCAGCGTTGGGGAGTTTGCCGGATGCTTCAAACGGACTGGCCCATAGCTTCGTGATGACGTGGAAATTGTCCAGACACAGGCCGAAGTTTGAGCGGCTTACCTGTTCCACTACATATAGCGAGTCTTCCCATGTGGAATAATATGTTCCCCAGGACAATGCTTCGTAGGCGATTGACACGACGGGCTGCTCCGCGCTGCCAATATCTGCGAGTTTCTGCAAATCCGAAATACGCAGTGCCTCGTCGCCGGCCGATTCCTCAGCCTTGTAGTGTGATGGAATCTGGAGATAAAGAGCACCGAGCTTTCTAGCAATGCCGACCCAGTGCTTTGCGGTCTCGAGCCGCTTCTCCAGCGGCGTGGAGGAGCCCTCGAAGTTCTCGAAGGGCGCGAGTGAGACGATTGCCAGTTTGTGGTTGGCGCAGAGTTCTTTGATGGTCTCTGCGGCTGTAGATATGGACAGATTGTTTGTCTCGGCATAGGCGCTCAGATCAGGATATACGAGCTCGATACCGGCGAAGCCATGCTGTGCTGCGGCAAGGATCTTTTGGTCGAGGGTGTGGGTGGCATGTTGGCCTAGGGATACGGTGGCGATGGCGATCTTGTTGGATACCATTTTGACAATAGGCCTCTGGAACAATTCTGGATTGGTCATTCCAGATGAGTTGAATCTCCTGTTATATCATTTTGCTTTCGGGGTATGAATCCCGATTTTCTTCTTCCAGTGCACCGCGGAATATCACCCGGACATATTCTTCCGATTTTCTCTTTCCAGTGGGCAGAATCCCGGGGATGGGTCTAGAAGGTCTCAAAGCTGCACGGTCTTGCTGTCCTGACGCCTCTGAATATAGGACCACGCCTGGGATCTCTGGGTCAATGGTCTCTTCATTGTCTCTACGAGTGGGATTCGACTTGTATACAGTAACATCTTCCCCTAGGTCCTTTGCCTCCGGGGAAAGCAGAGGGCATCGTCGCTGGGGTCTGCTGCGTTAATAGTAAATGCAAATTTAAATATCAGAAAGAGTAATATAAGAGATATATCAAATGAGAGGGGGAGGGAATATATCACGATTGCTTCGAACTGTAGATCGAGATCGGATCTGACATTTTCATAGCGCATCCGCCCGAAATGGTAATCCGGTCTACTCCGTACAGCTACAGTATGTTTACATATTCCCTCTGGAGACCCTTCGAACACCCCTACTATCAATTACTTAGTATCAAGCACGGAGTAAATCTCACTGACAGCTCAAATCCAACGACCCCTAAACTCGGCACCCCCGAACCCGCTCAGCTCAACGCAGGGGCAAAAACAACCAGGATCAGACAAAGAAAACAAGGCCCCGTTTCAAAGAGCTGTCAAAAACATATTCACTGACAGAGCAGATGATTGGTTGCTTCATGGTGTATCCAAAGTTAATGCTGGTAGATTCTTTGATATGGAGGCTGTGAATGCATGTTTTCTTTTGAGTGATATTGGAGTGAATGTGATGGACTTTCCTATATATAGGAGGTGTCTCTTCTTCCTTGATTTTCTTTTGCAACCTTTCTTCTCTCTTACCTAACTGTAAATCCTCCTCAATCTCGATACTCATACTCATACTCAATCCACCAACAAAACCAACATGCACCTCAAATCCCTCCTCGTCGCCTTCACGACCCTCACCACCGTCACCGCCAGCGCCATCCCTGACTCCCTGCGCACCCTCAAGACCCTCGAAAAGCAGGACGATGGCAATTGTGGCCAGATATGCAATGGACCCGGCAGTTGCTTGGTCGAGTGCACCGTGTGCGATATCGACACGTTTACTTGCGTTAGTGAGTATCCCCTTGCGTCGAGGCGATGGATTGAAGCTAATGTTGAGTAGAGGAGTAGGTGATAGTATTTGATATGTGGAATACGACGTGATATGTCTATTGGGAGGGTTATATGGTTGGGTATTGGTTAGTTTTGACATATTCGGTTGTTAGTCGGGTATACTAACCGGAGCAGGTGATTTTGGATACAACAATTGAGTCAGGCTCAGGTGGAAAGTACATGAAATGGATTAGGAAAATAATACGAATAATTGGATATTCTTTGGACCACCAACACTCTGTATTCCGTACTTCTGTCCCGCATACCAAGCATCATGCTGTACCTGGCATGCTAAGCAATGCACTACGTACGCGGACCGGAACGAATACCATCTTGCATTGTAATACTCCGTGGCATGTCGATGTAGGCCTACAAAATCATCCGGTACCTGACATGAGGTTACTCAATGTAACAATCCGGCATTCAAGTAGCACTTCAACGTCTCCCCACGTGGCTCTCGTCATGTATCGTAACTGACATTGACATCTAATTGATGGTCGGCGTTTAGATCGCCGACCTGTTCACGCCATACCCTAGAAAATATATACCATCAAGGTCCTCAATCCTACTATAAAACCGGTCGATCTCCAGATCTACATCTATCTCTGTACACTGTAGCTCTACCAATTTTTTCCACGTCAAATAGTATCAGTACCGATATCAAAATGCTACAGAATGAAATCCCATCGGCGATGCACAATCCGGACCTCCGCATTACCCCGCCAGCATCGCTACTTATAAATGACTGACCTGGTCACTTCCGTCACTACTCCTCTCTGTATATATCAACGTACATATCAACAAAAAAACAATTCAACCCTGAAAATCAATCCGAAAATGCCTCTAACAGGATCCTGCATGTGCGGTTCTATCGGCTATGCTGCTAAGTGTATGCTGCCTTGACAAGCTACCTCGCATATAACCCGATGCCATAGTAGATGCTGATACAATGCTAGCGGAACCTCTCGTCACGGCTCTCTGCCACTGCACTGATTGCCAGAAGGTAGTCTCTTCTTTTCCGCTACTATGTATGAATAGCTAATAGCAACACAGTGGACCGGCGGCCCCTGCACTTCCAATGTCGTTGTACCACGCGACTCGTTCAGTATCACGAAGGGTATTTCCTATCCCCCGGTGTCATCTCAAGACAATAATCCCTTGACTTATTCAATTCATATAAAGGGAACCCCAAACACTGCGATGTAACCGGCAAGTCAGGTAAAAACAACCGCCACTTTTTCTGCCCCGAGTGCGGATCAAGTCTCTACACCGAGCTCGAGATCATGGCCGACAAGACTATTATCAAGGCTGGGACGCTGGATAATGGGGAGACTGGTCTTCAGGGCCATGTGGACGTTGAGTTCTATGTTAAGGATCGGGTGGGTTTTGTGCCTGCTATTGAGGGGGCCAAGCAGGAGACAACTATGTAGTAATTATGCTACACTGATCAATCAGAAATAGATGCCATCAAGGTCCTCGGTTAAACTAAGCTACTGGATTAGCTACTATAAAAGCAGCATATCTCTTTCTAACCCTCTACCCCCGAAAAAAAAAAAAAAAAACACTGTAGCACTGATATATCGAACCATCAAGAAAGTACGAGATGGCGATGGAACAATCACTCCCGTGCGTTCATATTACCCCGCCATCATGCAAGATACACTACACGGCTATAAATAATAGATGACCTGGTCACTTTTCTGCTGCGCTACACTAATCACCGGTTTCAATCAGCCTGGAAGAATAGTACGACAGAATGACTTTGTCCGGATCTTGCATGTGTGGTGGTATCGCCTATGCTGCTGAGTGTATGTCTCGACTCGATAGTGCGGAGTTATTCGATACTGAACTAAACTGATGGTACCAGCGGAGCCCCTCATCACGGCTCTCTGCCACTGTATCGACTGCCAAAAGGTACTCTCCGTCATAGCTTGTATACGAAATCAATGTCGACTCTAACAGCACCAGTGGACCGGCAGCGCCTTCACCTCCAACCTCATGGTCCCCCGCGACTCTTTCAGTATCACAAAGGGTACTTTACCTACTTTCCCATCTCCCAGTGTGTCATTCCAAGACAATAATAGTCTAATCGATACATATAGGAAACCCCAAACACTGCGACATAACCGGAAACTCGGGCAAAAACAACCGCCACTTCTTCTGTCCTGACTGCGGCTCAAGTCTCTACAGCCAGCCTGATATCATGCCTGATATTACTACTATTAAGGCCGGGACGCTGGATAATGGGGAGAATGGACTGAGGGGGCGTGTAAATGTGGAGGTTTTTGTTAAGGATCGGGTGGGGTTTGTGTCGGGTGTTGAGGGGGCAAGGCAGGAGAGGACTATGTGAGCTGTACGGAGTAGTACTATTCGGACTGCGTGATGTTGGATAAATATGTCAAGTCAGACACTGTCAAACATGTGTCAAGATGTCTTTCCGTGCAGCATTCCATTGCATGTGGGTCTACCCATACATACATACATACCCACAGTGGACCGAACCACAAAAAAATCTGAACCACCGTTTGAACCGTTTCCATTCCAAACCAGACAACGATTCAACCACAGCAAAAAGAGCAAAAATGAAAGCCGAACGCGGGGGTCGAACCCGCAACCTTGAGATTAAGAGTCTCACGCTCTACCGATTGAGCTAGCCCGGCTAGTTCTTGTTATGGTGTTTGGGTTGCGCGGTTGACATGCGGCAACAGTCGGTTCGCTCTCTCGACACTCGGCATTGAGTTAACGCCGGGTCGATAAACTTGTCGCTGAACGTGGTGCGTGGAAGGACGTCGTGGTCAAAGTGTTTCATGATGCGCCAGCTGTATTCTTCGTCCCGCGCGCGTAGGTAAACGTTTCGAATTCGATAGCGGTCGAGACAAGAGGCCAGTGCTATCAGAATATATATCCGGATGCCACGTTATCAACACATCGACGGGCGCTGTTCTAGAACAAAACATCAACATGCCCATAGTCTAGACCAGAACAGTCAACATCACATGCATCAGTAGAGCCGCAAACAAACCGACAACAGTCTGGACCAAGTCGAGCAAGCCACAGTACACCGTACAAAAGACCGTCTAGATCAGAATCCATAATTCATAATCCAGGATTCGAGATGACTGCATCGGCCCCTGCATGCAACCGTAGAGTGTGGCTTCAATGGCAAATGAAGACACAGCCCTGGTGATCCCACACGAGCTGTGGCTGAGCCGAGCGCTATGAGATGACCAGTCTGCCTGAGCGGGTGGACGAGGCTGAAAGGTGTTCATGACCGGCGCTTTTTCATGGCGGTAGTCACTTGGTTCAGAATGGCTCTTGGTAAATATAGAAGCTTGAATGCATTTTTAGAATGCGCTTGGGGCCGAATGTGTTGGTGATGGATGGGCTTGGATTGGTTCGTTGTTGGCGATGAGTGTATGCACTAAGAGTCCAGGACGGGAACTTGTTGTTGCTGCCTGCAAGAGTAATCATTCAATAATGTTCGTGATTTAGAGTGTTGCAATCTGAAGAAGTGATGACATGGGAGTAAGATAGGAGTAAGAACAGTTGGACTGTACTTGTAGAGAATAGGTGTCTACCCCGTAGATAGGCGTTTGCGGAGGGGGTGGCAGTACACTCCAGCCACAGTTGAATAGCTTCACGATCACCACCACTGCAAGTAATTCAACGTCACCGCGCGATGACTCGAACTCCCCGACTCCCAGACAAGTAAGCGTTTCGCCGATGAGCCGCAGTGACTAACCCAGGCATACACCAGCAACAACGATTCAGGTCCAATCCTAAGAGTCATCCGCCGGCTACCTGCAGGATCGAGGATCGCAACCAGTCCCGATCGAGATGCCACTGGAAGAAGGAACTAATCAGATGCAGGACAATGGCTCTGTCAACAAAGCACTGCCTGAAAATTCTGGGAGTGAATCACTGCGATTTTCTGACTTCCGCAGGCATCAGTGGAAATGCGCCGTTTGGCCCGTGGAAACAGTAGCATCTATAGAAAGCAGTGTCAAATGCGCCTCGGGGATCATCTGCCTACCGGCTCTGAATTCTATAAATTCACCGGTCCCCTCTCTTTGCTTCTCATTCACTTCACTTACATTTACTGCATTCACGTCCAGTCCAGCGTGCTCAAGCGAGCCATAAATCAACCTGCATTCATACATCTCTACTCCATACGCGCATCCAACCGCAACTATGCCGGCTCCTATCCAGATGCTTGAGCCCGTCGTGCGCCGTCTCGAGCACGACGAGGACTACGTGGTGAACGCCTTCGAGCGCCATGCCACCCACTGCCCCCGATGCGAAGACCCCATCAAGACTTTTGACGAGAACAACACCCTCTGCGATCGCGGAAACCAATACGCCATCGACGTCGACAAGTACATCTACGCCATCAACGACATGGCGCACTCCGTCGTCGACCGCGAACTAAACCAGGCCACCCTGGTCCAAATCCCCATGAACTGCGAATCCACCCGCCGACTCCTCCTAGCAGTCCAATACGGCCTCCCACTACGCCGCAAGGAGGTCCGCTTCGAGGACCAGAAGCAGAAGGAGAAGAAGGAGAAGGACAACCAGAGCCAACGGAGCGAGTCGCCGGCTCGTCCCGTTATCAGCTACGACCCTACATACCCCGTTGCCCCTCGACGGCCGGCATCGCAGACCCCGTCCCTCAGCACTGAAGTCATCGAGCGGTCGCCGCAGCGCAACATGAAGCACCGGGTCATTGTCTACCCCTCTTCTTCCTCATCAGTCCGTTCCTCGTCGTCGACCAGGGGTTCGCTGTATGAAGAAGACGTTGTAGACCGAGTGGACCGGAGGAGACCATCTCCTCGTCGCAACTGGCCAATCGACTACCACCTTTGATTTTCATTTGTTTCACCATTCCACCTTGACACTCCTATTGTGTTACACATACCCGAACAATCCCAGTCTGCCATGAGGGAATAAGCACCGGTTTCTGCCCCCGGTGTATATCCAAGATTCCATGAGATCTGATTAGGACAATCCACTTCGGACCACAGGATTGAACCTTACCGGCTTATTTCCAGGACAGACGGGGCCATGCTTTCATTTGTAACGATTTCCTTTTGTTTCGTGATACCCATACCCAACGCCACCAAAACAGAAAAAAAGAGAGAGAGAGAGAGAGAAAAAAAAAAATAAAAAAAAAGACCCCGCAGGACGACTACTGCATGTCCTACGGCGCGTCATCCCGAGTCTATTTCGCTGCGTGCATGTTTGCAACTAGTGATTTGTGACTCACTGTACAGTTATTTTATGTATTTTAGATAGTTAGATTAATGATACCGATACCCATACCACAGTATTTACCTTCCACCTATATCCGTAGAACACACATAGCACGATCAAGAAGACCATCACATGAAATCCACCATCTCACCCCACCTCCATCAACACAACACCCACAAATCAATAACAACACCCCAACCTGCACAACCTGCATCTCCTCCTCCCGCTCACTTCAAACTGCACTCTAACTGGCCGGATATCTCGGCGACATGTAAGTCCCTGTCCCTAGTGTTTTCGGAGTGGTGGATTTGTACTAGTTCTGCAGAATCGTCGTTTCTCCGCATGTATGGCGGAGTGTTATTTGTTGGCGGGGATTATCATAATTAATGGTTTATACTACGGGGAGGATTCCGGTGTGTGAGAGAGGATGGGTGGGACTATAAGCAGGAGGTACTATTGTGTGGATATCGGTAGATGTTATTTCCATGGGTTTATGGCGTAGCCCTTATTTTTACGTTTTAAGGAGATACATACGAGATTATTCTTCGTAGCAGATGTATCTATGGACTTCTTACTCAAGGTGCTTTGATTGAGGTTAGACTTGACGGCGAGTAGTTGGTTATCTCATTAAGGCCGGGTTATCTCAGACATGTAATCCAAACGGCGGCTCATAAAGTTCGAAGTACTGAAAAGCTCAATATCAATAGAGAATTTTAATAGTAAGCCCAAGGAAACGCTCGACACTCATTATAATGATCTATTCTGAAAAGGGCCAGAACAGGTCCCGAGCCTCAACAGGAAGACATTCACTACAAACCACCACCCACTCTCACCCACTCTCACCCAACACAAACACAAACAACCACTCACTCAATCCCCCAAAATGACCACCATACTCACCCACCTCTACAACTTCCCCATTTATCGACTTCAACCTCCTCGACCTAATCACCCCCACCAAGCCCTTAAATCAAACCAACAATGCTCAACGCAGCCGACCTCACCCTCCGCCTGCACCGCCTAACAAAACACACAAACATCTCAGCAGACCTCGACAAACGCTTCTCAGACCCCGGCCCTGAATTTGATCCGAGAATCCATGTTCTCCCGAAATGGGAGGAACTTAGTATGGATACCGTTGATGTGGAGTTGGAGTTTGTGAGGGAGAAGTGGAATGGGCGGTTGGAGCAGTGGGATTGGGAGAGGGTTAGGGAGTGGAGTGTGGATGTTGGGAGGGCGTTGGAGGAGGTTTGGTGAGTTGACAGGCAGGATTTTTGAATGGTGAGATATGCTGACTATAGCAGTGACGATGGATCTACGGAGACGCGGAATACCGGCGAGGGGGATACCCAGCAGACTGATAGCACGACAGAGCAGCACGGCGCCGATGAAACGAACAAACAGTCTCTGCCAAAAGTTGACACCACGAACAAGCATGACCGATCAGAATCAGATGGCGACGTGCCTGTCAAACGTCGTCGTAGCGAGCCTCAAGCTGCTACTGAGCATTGAATGTACCCTATTGAATAGACTTCTCTCGCGCATTTCTATTATCCCGTTGACAGCCGAACGAAGACGAACATCGAGAACGCAAATACCTGTCATTTTCGATTGAGGTATATACCACCATTTGCACGCGACGCTCTGGGATAAAAATGACAACTCACGATACTCCTCATACCAATCTTCCAACCGCACTAAACCAGACACCCCTGCTCAACCCTAACGAACCAACCCGACATACCCCAAACTACAAAAAACCGAACATGAATCGCATCGCGATCGTGGAAATACCAAACACTCGTGGTTGAAGATCATCAACATCCATTGTATCCGCCGATCCTGCACGATCCCAAATCATTTGCATTGGAAGTCTTGGTCGCCTGACTATCCTAACCTTGTTTTCCACACACCGTATCAAATCATAGGGACTACGAATACGTACCACGGCAACAGAGTTCTACGATTCACAATTCTCCTCTTTAATTTAGATTCGATTAATATCGATATGCATCTGCGACGACCCCTCTTTCGACGTTGGAGTGCACGGCCGTACTTTTACCACATTCTGAGATAGAGTTGGCAACGGCGAGCATTGACCATCCGATCGAGTATGAAATCGTTCAACGGCCGTTTGGATCGAATTATCGCAATATTCATGTTACCAGTTGAGAAACCTTTTTTCTGAATACAAACGGAGGAATGAAATGTGATCTACCATCGGATATCCAGCAACGAGTGGCAGCGAGACCCTTTGGCACCACGGATGGAATCAAATAACGGTCTAATTACATGAAGTTGCAACCGGAATCTCCCATTGCATATCCGTCGAACGAAACCCGGCACGCCATCGTTGAGAAGCGAAGGAATTGGGTCTTTTTTGCAGAGTTCTGCATCATACCGGATCTAGACCATCACCTACTATCTATGCTATCCGATGAACGGTCTAGATTTACTGAACGTATGCCGAAATGCATTTCTCTGCGAGTGCATTCCTGTCAATTGTTGGCTAGGAGAATGATAGTAATCGATCTAGCCAGACCATTTCATTGATCGGGAATTCAAGATAGCGTAGTGTCCTATTTACGATTCCCGTACCAAATAAAGCCCTTGATCCCTGTATACCTGTCAAAACACCTAGATAATAGATAAACCGACAGAAGTACTTCGTAAATGCATACATGTACTTGCAGCAGCTGTAGAGCACTTCCATAACACCCCGCAACCGAGGTGCAAGAATCAAACATAGACATGCTGATACATACATACACATACCCCATCGGCTAATCAACCAACCAAAGCAATCAAACATAATTCATCTTCAACCCCCGAAAACAAGAAAAAAAAAAAAAAAAAAACTCGCCTTATTCCAATTCCAAGCGATTCCGATGCTCCGCATTGGAGAAAATACGCTAAACCCCTTTAGGTAACATCACGTGCACCTATCCGAACTTATCGCAACGGCCAAAATCTCACCATCTCCGACGGCCCCTCGACTCGAAACCAGCGAATTCCGGATCTCTCCCTGCTGTCCTTGTTGGAATTGCCAAAATGGCGAAGAAAGGTGCGTCTGCTTCTACACCCAGTTCACTGTTGTGTCTTTTACCTGCCGGGTTTATGGAAATCGAGAACCCACCCGAGGTCGAAGAATGCTAACCACCCATTCAATAGCGAAATCGCGTACCGTCCCTGTCCGGCTCATCTCGATGGCCATGACTGGCTTCTACCGCACGATGATCAGACCCCGTACCCACCGGCCGCTCAGCATGCTCAAGTATGACCCAGTCGTGAAGAAGAAGGTGCTGTTCCTGGAGGCGACCAAGGGTGGACGAGCGAGATAAACCGCGGACTACGATTACGATTCCCTTTTACTCCTATTTTTGCGATTTGCGACTTATACGATGGAATGGCGCTGCTTGGAGGAAAAAAGAGTTGCTGTTGAATACCCTGTGCGGAGTGGTGCCGGAAGACGGTCATGTACATTAGACGGAATACAGCGGTGGCTGTACTGGGAAGGGGAATTCTTTCAGTTCTGCTAGCTGTGTATTCTGGGTTTGCATTCTGGCGTTTTGTGCAATACAATCTGGATGTGTTTGATATAGCCATGATCCTTTCTCGAATTACATATCCCGATATTGCCCTATTCCGATCCGTCACATTCTCAACCGTTATTAAATCCCCGACGCTCGATACTCACGTCTCATAATATATACTTCCATATAATTGATGTTGCAGATTTAGATTCACTTCAGTTCAGATTCGTCGAACATTTTCCATACTTAGCGAGCGCCACCGTTTCCGCTGAATCGGGCACTGTATCTTTCACCTGCAAAGGTTAGCATCCGAGTTCCGACAAATATGCAATAGCTTACCTCGCGTCTTGCGTCCAGGCCGCTTCTGATTCCGTCCCGCCCACCGTTTATTGGCAGGATCTTCATTCGCAGTATTCTGTCTGCTGTTTCCAGAAGCCAGACTTGTAGGGCTTAATCTGCGTTCAACGGGTTCCGCGGCACCTTGCGCCTGCATTTGCGATCTAGGATAGTTAGACGCCGTGGACACTCGCGCTCTCTTGTTTCCGTTGTACGGGAGCTCCCCATCAGCACGCATATCCTTTGGTCCACCTCGCTCTCGCGCCGGGGACGTCTGCCGGTGTCTGCTATACGTGCGCCGGTTCTGACGTACTGGTCGTCTCTCGAAATTTTCAGTGGATCTATCCGGCATCTCTCGATGCGAAGACTCTGGCGTTCGACGTTTGGATCCGGTGTTGGCAATTTTCTGGTCTTCGAAAGTGACAGCCTTCTGTTTGTCGCCAGTATTATTGATACCCCGGGCATCATTAGCGCTGTTCTTGAACTTCGGACCGGTTACTGGCGTTCGAACTTCTGAGGTCTTCTGGTTGCCATTGTTCGTTCCCGTGCGCTTCCAAGGGGACAATAAATTTGCGCCTTTCTCTGTGGTTGAACTAGATGATCGTTCGCTTCGATCGTTGACAGGATCGTGACATTCCTTTGCAGGGCGCTCTCTTTGAGGAATTTGCGTCAGAATATCTGCCAACTCATTTGCATCGTGGTCATCGTGGTTAAGCGAACAATGCATAGGCGACAATTGCGTCTGGAAGCTCGAAAATGGAACTATATTGGTCGACATCTGCGAGTCTGGCACAGTCTCAATCGTACCATTGCCTCCTCCAGACTGACAAGAATCACGGCCTGCTGGGGAGCAATACGCGCTCCTTGGAATGTTATGGGTCCGATATATCACTTCAGTAGTCTGAACGAACCTCTCGTCTGGACTTTCGTCCCCCTTCTGAGGTGTCGAAGCAACAGCAGGCATGCAGCTGACCTGTTGCAAAGAGACATTCGAACTAGGATCCGGGAAACCACTGGCGATAGCCGATTGCAGCAACGTCTCCAGCTTACTCCAAGTCTCCGGAAATGATTCTGTCGATGTTGAAACGCCGTAATTTTCCAGCTTTTCTTTGATAGCTTTCGTCCATCGCTCCGAGTCCTGAACCCTTAGAAGGAGCGCGTGGATTTCTCCTTTCGCCTTCGCTTTACCGGACTCGAGGGCCGACTTCGCTGTATCGGCAGCCATCAAATCTTTCTGGATAGACAAATGCTCTTCTTCTTTGCGTGAGAGCTCAGATTGGAGTTCATCGAATTTCTTTTCGAGCTCTTGCAAGGCCAACTGATCGACTTTGCTCAGGGCGGTTTCAGCTTCAAGAGTTGATATCTTTTGGTTGGCTTCATCGATTTCCTGTCGCAACAAATCTTTTTGGCTCGTATAGAAACTCTCTAGCTCACGAAGTCTCGTCAACTCGGTCTCTTGTGCCGTGGATTTGGAATCGCTCTCATTGGTGCTATTTCGAAGAGTCTCTACTTCTTGCTCCTTAGCCAAAAGCTACCGACGTTAGCTATTTCCCATTACCAGGGCCAGGACACGCTTACCAAAGATTCCAACTCCTTCTGGTGCTGCTCCGTCAAAGCATCGGTTTGAAGCTTATCATTGTCAGTAAAAGCCAAACACGAGTGCATATATGCTCTTACCTGCGCTTGCTGAGCTGTGGCAAGAAGCTCTTTTGTCTTTTCCAAGTCTTTCTCGACTGCTTCCTTCTCCTTCAAAATTCCGTGCAGCCGTTGTTCGAATTTTGCTCTGTTCTGGTCCCGAGCTATGACGCTTGCCCTGCTCAATTCTTCTCGAATTTTGCTCTCGACCGATTGAGCCTGTTGTTGCAGTGTTCCAACTTTGGCTTCATATGATGCGACTCTGGTTTCTGCCTCCTGGAGTGCTTCAGTAGTCTCCAGAAACGAATGCTTCACATGCTCATTCTCCGTATCTTTGATCTGAAGGGTCTCCTGGGCTACTCTCAGTTCTTCGGAAACTTTCTCCAGTTGAGACATGATTTCCGCCGTCACTGAACAGTTTTCCTTTTCCGGAACTGGAGGAGGTTGCCTCGCAAGATCGCGAGCTTCGGTCAAACTTTGTTCGAACTCTTCGATCTGTCGCACCAGTCCGCTTTCTTTCTCTTCAACCCCTTGGATTGTTGCATTGAGAGTGCAAACGCCTGGTCCCATTATTTCAAGCTTTTCGTGGAGGCTTCCGCATGCTTCCTTAATTGCAGAAAACTGCTTGTGAAGGTCGCAATCGGTGCCGAATTGGTTCTCGATGCTCTGGAGCTGTTCTTTGAAGAACGTTCTGACACAGTCGTTTGCTTCGGAATTTTTCTCAAAATCCTTGGTCAATTGGGGTACGACCGTATCCATTCTGACAAAATGATCAGTCCAGTTCTCCGTGGTAAGTAGGGTACAGAGACACAAGCATACCGTGATATGAATCCATTGATGGCATCCGCGAATTTCTGGATCTCCACGTTATCCAGTGATTCTTTCTCGCTTAAAGAGTTGATAGCGAGCAAGCACCTTTCCATTGTTGGACTCATGATCGACCGGATGGAGGTTTGGGAGGATTCCCATAGCTTTGCCATTGCCTCAAATGCCGAATCCATTTTTTTGTTCATTCCAAGGTGATCGGCCCTAATAAGCCCAAGCTGTTTCTCTTGAGCAAGAGAGTGGTACTGGATATATGACTCGAGCGTCATAACCCTTTTCCTTTCCTCGTGTAGTTGATTTTCGACGGACCTAGCCTTCTCATTGGAATGCTTCAGATCGTTCCTCAGTGTATTGATCATGGTTTCGGACTCCAGGATATGATTCTTTTTCTCGCCAACGCTGGTAGTGACTTTGGAGATTTGCGCTCGGATGCCGTCAATACTGCCCCTTATCTCCTTGCTCTCTTTGTCCAAAGCACTCCTGGTTGCTTTGAGATGGATTGACTCCCCTCGGAGATTCTGATAGTCGGTTCCCAAGACGTTAAGAACGTGCTTGAACTTCCCAAGCTTTGTCTTCCAGGTGTTCATCTGCGCTTTGTACGTCTTCGACTCAAGTGTTTTCTTCTGTAGCTGAGCGCCGTAAGCCTCGAGCTCCGCCCTCAAAGCTTCGTTCTCCTCCGCTAGCTGTGAAGCAGTAGCCTCTAATTGCTTACGCAAATTTGCCGCAGCAACATTATCCTCTTCACGTTGCCGGACCCGCATTATCAGAATTTGGAAGAGGTCGTCTTCTGTCAACTGCGGGTTTTCGTTATCAACAGGACGAGGCGCCGAGGGCTTGCGGCCGGTGGACTTTCGAGAATGCGTACGGCGACGCTTTGAAACGCGCAACCCGTCTTTCAGAGGGGTATGCGAAGAGGATGGACGCGACATAACTGTCGTCTTGGGGGTATTGGTGCGCGAAATCGACACCCGAGTGTTATATTCGTGCCTTTTGTCTTGCGAATACTCGTTTTGAGGCTGCTATAGGTCAATCTCGTCGCCCATTGAGGTCACTTGACATGGAACTCACCTCCACGAGGATCGATTCAGGATCATGCACTAGTCATGAAATTAGCACGATAGCCATCACTGATAGAAGCGTACTCAATAGTCCTCACCATCCATGAGTGTAGTTTGCATTGGCCCAACAGCTTCTTCAGCTTGGACCTGCGCTTCGTCGGCATGATCACTTGAACCGCTTGTTTGGTCACTAGAGTTGGCTTGCTCGTCCAATCCTCGTACGCTTTGTACTTCTGTTGCAGCAGGGGAGAATGTTCTTGGTGTATTTTGATGGCCCGTATCTCTATGGGGTGAATGCCGCGTTTGAGACTCAACGTGAGCGAAATCTGAGCTATGCCTCGAAGGAAGCGGTCAGTCTGACTTCTTTGGTGGTGGATATCTCAGCAAACTGACTCGTCACTCCTCGCCTTATTCTGCTTAGCGGGACCTTCAGCTGGGCCTGGTTTGCCTTGAACGAGTTCTCGAGCAGGAAGCTTCGTGGTGGAAGGCTTTGAAGACTTGACAGAAAAGTTCCTTCCAGAAGGTTTTGCAAAGCAAAAGGCCGTCACGTCGATACCAGAGCTCTTTGGACGTTCCATGAAGAGAGGCATCGACTGTTGCTGGCCCACCGTGTCGTTGGGGTATTGACTCTTCTCCATCGCTGCTTTTAGGCCTGGCGTAGGAGGTGCGTCGTTGACCTCTGCCATTTGAAGTAAAATCATTTCCTCGTCATTGTCGTATGGGAACGTGTCAGGGTGTCTTTCGGTTTCTGATGAAGCCTGGTTGGCCTCGGGTGAGAACGGGGTAGTATCTTGGTTTTCCATTCTGGTCGTGGAATCTGTGGCCAGAGATGGTGGGTTAGTTAACATATGCAGACCGTGTAGGAAAGATTCTTCTAATGAAACGATACAAAAGAGCAGCTTGGATGTAGGGCTCATTCCAGTGACACTTACGGCGCTAGCTCCCAGCTATTCCATCTGAGATCAGTATCAATCTGAAAGGGTCAAAGACTTGTCATTTGGAAGATGAAGAAACAACCGCTTAGTGCTGTGGTGAATGAAAAGAGGAACTGAGGTGGTGATGGTTTTCTCTTCGTTTACCGGCGAGATTAACCTGCTGCAGTCACTTCCATTTTGGGACTTGCACCAAGAGCCTCCATCCCAAATTGGAAAATACATAACGGACAGCCAGAAATGTATAAACTGTCAACAAGTTTTATATATGTTCCATGCATTATCCTAGTATGCTTGGATCATTGACAATCATTCGATTGTCTGAGGATTTAAATCCGATACTCATCTATGCCGTACCTGTTAGTGGTTTTCTACTCAAAGGCTACACATACTACTATTCGATGAGTAGTGTAGCTACGAAAAGGGTTTTGCATGTCGGGAATGGCATGAAGCTTATCAAATTGGTATTGCTATACTCACACATTCCTATCTATGGACGCCTCCTAGCTCGATATCGGGTAGACAAGATAATGACCCCTCCCGCATTTCCGATCGAAACCATCTGGGCAGGGTCGCAGGAACAGACGCATCTTATGTGGGGGCGAAGCTCGTACCCTGGATATGCCGGATTTGCGAGTCCTGCTTGGCAAAAACGGCCTAGACAGCCAAATTCCGGACTGAAGGCGACGGAATCAACGCCCGTAAATCACTACAACATGAGACAGTCAGAGTATGGGACGTCTGGAAACTAAGGAGGCTGTCGGAAAGCAGTCCCGGAACGTATAATCGGAACCATGGTTCGCAAAGTGTCAGACCCATATCCCTTTGTTGGACTGTGCTCTGACGCAGATAAACTATAGGCAGTGCTTCGTATAACCCAAGCTTCTGTTGTTAGACGCCACCCTGGGCTCTAAAGCCACAGTCCAGTAGGTTTGCATGGCGTCTCTGGTGATAAAAAGCGAGCAATTGTGGTGGCCCAAGCCGCCTGTAACACTACCCGGTTGTTCCGCAAGAGAACCAAAGATCCTGAAACGAGATGCGGACACCTAGAACGGTCGATTGCTTTCCCGACCAAATTCCCAATGCCCCTTCAGAGCAACTACTCTCCGCAGTCGTAAGATTCCAGAGTCATTTGATATAGGTCTCTATGTTGTTTCTTCCCTGTGCGACCGCCTCCGTCGAATCCATATAGACGCCCTATTGCTGAAAAAGGATCGATGACATGCTTGCGTCTTTCGGAAAGCAGCTGCAAAACATAGTTTGGTTGTGAGGGCGTCGTGCCAGCATCATTTCGGTAGTAGCAATCCACGTATGTCCTGTCTATTCAAATCCAATTCGAAGTCAGTACTCTGGGCGGTATCTGATTGATTGCCACACCCTTGGGACCGGCCCTATAGCGGGGCTGCCGTAAATTGTGTCAACTTAGCTCGATTTAGACCGTGGTTGGCCTTTCAGATCCAGAGTCTCGTAGTGAATGCTTCGGTGGCAGTCCCTGGCGAACCGGACAAACGAACCGGCCATCAATTCGTCTCCGCAGGAGCTATTTCCGCCATTTCTCAAACCGTATCAGGAGCGAAACGCCCAAAAGGGAAAAACTGGAACTGTGGAGATGTGCCTCTGGAGGTTCTGTGGGCGGCGAAACAAGACGTTCCAGACAAGGCACCAACGTGACTTCCTTGCGGGAACGCCGCTGCTGTTTCTCTGGCGCAACAGCATACAACTTCCACTGCACGTCGTTTCCTTTTCTTCTGCATACGCCTGTTTGTGTAATATCTGACCTGGTGTCAGGTTTCTTTCAGGAGCATTTATGTGAGGCTATCTCATATTGTTTCTACTGGTGATCTTCATACTTAGGGTTCTGCTGCGCAGACGCTTCCCAGTCAGTACTGCTGCCAATCCTATTCAGTTTCAAAGAGATCTAGAACTGACTTAGTGCCCCTTTTCAGTTTCTTGACCTTTTTAATTATCTCTCGTTTTTAACGGTGCGCTATTGGAGATGGAGTCTTCTGCTGGATCGGATAGACATATGGAAGGTGACAGGACAGGAAACATCGACACGACACCTCCGGTTATGAAGGGCTCGTTGCGAAAGATGCTCTCCATACCCGAATCGCTGCGTATCCTGACAGATCCGGTGCAAGATTTATTCTCGCTACCTATTGCCTTTCCCTCCGGCTTAAAGTTGCCTCAACTGAGTCCTGATACAACCGAAAGAGTCTTTCCCATCCGCTCAGTTGTCTCTGTCGATTCTTCTACGCCATCTTCTACGTTACAAACACCTTCGTTGGAAAGCTCAGAAAGACAGATATCGCCGTTCTCGGAAATTTCGTCGACTTTCTCGATAGGGAGAGACAGATCCAATAACCAACCGATAACCCCAGCGACCGACTATACGAGCTACACGTCGCCTACTACCGAAAATGGAATATCGGGTGACAGGTGGGGATGCGGAATCCTTGCCAGTCCTGAGTCTTCCAACAGGAAAGACTTAAGCCTCGCAAATCTGCAACACATTCAGCAAGTGGACAGAACCATCGAGACGGCACATAAGCTCAGGGACATGCTGCAGGAATCTCGGAATGAAAGGTCTGTCTACCCATTCGGTGCATTGGTGGTATTGAAAGAGTCTGAAGGACGGCTGCTTGTTCATGCTTCGAGCAGAAATACAGGGGAGGTCATTGGCTATACTCCCAAAGAGCTCTTTCTGCTCGAATCTTTTTGCAATATCTTGCGACGAGATCAAAGAACAACATTCCTGAGTCACACGAAGTCTATCGGAGAGAAGTGCTACGACGTTGAGCAACATGGTCCAGATGTCCTTGATTTGACCGTCACCACGCGAAACGGAGAGTCAAAGGACTTCTGGTGCACCATTCATGCCAACAATGACAGTACGGACTACATAATCTGCGAGATCGAGCCACAACAGAGCTTATCAGACAGCATTAGCGACAATGATGATCCAAAATCTCAACGTCCAACGCACAGTAAAGCAAGGATATCCGCAGCACCACACAAAGAGACGGACGACGCGTCTGAGGCTTTCGATGTGTTCAGGACGCTCGGACAGACCAAAAATGGATTCGAATACTCAAATATCCTCAACGCAGTATCGAGAATCATCCAGCTTACTTCGACCGCACAATCTGTTGATATGCTATTCAATCGAGTGGTCAGGGTCCTCAAAGAGCTTACTGGATTTAACCGGGCCACGGTGTACCGATTCGACAGTGATTGGAACGGCATTGCCGTGGCTGACCTTGCAGACCCGGAATTGTCGGGGGAAACTTGCGAGGATATGCACTTCCTTGGCTCTATGTTCTCTGAGGACTTGCAAACACTTCACTCACGAAACAAAGTCCGTCTTTCATACAACCGTAGACAGAATCTGCCTACTGGGCTGGTATACAGAAAACCTGGTTCTGCCTCTCAACTGGACACGAGCTTCTGTTATTTATCAATGGAATCACCAGCCCCTTTGGAGTTTCTTTCCCGCAGGCCTCTGGAGGCATGCGTCTCTATAAGAATCAATGTCTTCGGAAAGCTCTGGGGCTTGGTATCATGCAAATCCTATGCCCAAGGTGCCAGGTTATTGCCTCCGTTGCAAAAGCTCTGCTGGCTTATTAGCGACACTTTGTCAAGCAACATCGAACGCCTATCTTACACGCTACCCTTTCAATTAGTGCAGCAGAACTCCCCTAGGGAAGTCGACAAGAGGGAGACTGTTCCAGGAATTGATATCCTTAGCTTGTTTGGGGCCGACTACGCTGCCTCCTCGATCATGGGCGAAACAAAGATACTCGGCAGGCCGTTTGATTCAGGAGAGGTTCTTGCTATCGTGGAATACATGAGGGCGAGAAAACTCGATACGATTGCTTGGTCAACGGATGTCAACAAAGATTTCCAAGACCTCCATTATCCCCCTGGTTTTCGATATGTGTCTAGTCTCCTTTTTATTCCATTGTCGGCTGATGCTCGCAATTTCATTGTTTTCTTCCGGACCACCCAATGGAGAGAAATGACGTGGGTTGGGTGCTCAAACGGACCAGAGCCAAGCTGTACCCACGAAAAAGGCCATGTCCCATGTAGACCAGATGCATGGTCTGCTGTGGACCAGGGAAAAGCTTCTGTTCTTTCTTTGATATACAAAACATTCGCTGAAGTATGGCAGCAGAAGGAGACCGCCATGCAAAACACGCAGCTCATGAAACTTCTCCTTGCGAATTGTGCTCACGAATTCCGGACGCCCTTGAACGCGATTATCAACTATCTGGAGATTGCCCTGGATGGCTCTTTGAGCCAGGAGACCCGCGATAATCTTTCCCGGTCGCACTCAGCTTCGAAATCGCTCGTCTATATAATCAACGACCTCTTGGATCTAACGAATGCGGAAAATGGGCAAAGCCTGATTAAGGATGAAGTTTTCGATTTATCTGGGACTATCAAAGAAGCGACACATATATTCGGAGAGGAGGCCAAACAGAAGGCCGTTGAGCTGAACATTGTCCAACACACCGACCTTCCCCGTGTTCTTGGAGATCAACGACGAGTACGCCAAGTAATAATGAACCTGATCAGCAACGCTGTGCAACACACAACCAACGGATCAGTAGTTATCGAGACTTGCCTTACTCCTGACACGACAAACTCCGACACCATCGGCGTCGAAGTGGCTGTCCACGATACAGGTTCGGGGATGTCGCAGGAAGCCGTGGAAGCTCTGTTTTGCGAATTGGAGGAGGTATCGAACGAGGACTATTTGCAAGACTCTAAATGCTGCCGGAGTAAGGTTGACGACACCACGGGGGCCAAGAATGTTCTTGGCCTAGGGCTGGCATTGGTTGCCCGTATTGTCCGCACTATGGACGGACGGTTGACTGTGAAGTCGGAGCAGGGAGTCGGAAGTTCCTTTAAGATTAAGCTCAGGTTTCCATTGCCGTCTGAGTTGGCAAGTGACGGTGGCAGAAGCAATGATTCACGTCCAGCAACACTTGAAAGAAGGGATATCAATCCTGCGAGACCTAAATGCGAAAATGAATGCTCGACTCGCTACGGCGAGACTCAAAGTGAAAAACGCGGCGATTCCAATATTGACATTGCAGTGAGCACCGAGTCGTCTGAACTGGTTCACCAATCCGTGAGCCCTACCAAAAATAAACAGCCTGATTCTGCGGGAACAGAATCGTCTATTAGAATCGCATCACCATTACCAAAAGTAAATATAACTCATAAAAACCTATCGAAACCGGATGCCATTCCAGTCGACGGAGTCGCCAAGCCAGACCCAGATTCAGCAGAACAAACCGAGAAACCCTCGAGCACTGCCCATCCCGAACCAAAATCTACTCTACATGTCTTAGTAGCTGAAGATGATCGCATCAACAGCGCGATCGTGCGGAAGAGACTCGAGAAGTTGGGGCATACGGTGCACTTGACTGTGAACGGGAAAGAATGCGCCACAGCGTACCAAGAGTGTCCTGATTCATTCGATGCCGTGTTGATGGACATACAGGTACGTCCCCCGTAACATTGACACAGCAATCACTAACGGTATAGATGCCCATCGTCGACGGCCACGGCGCCACGAAACTTATACGCGAACACGAAGAGTCTTGTGACAGGAAAATTCCCATCTTTGCCGTGTCAGCATCACTGATGGAAAAGGATAAGCAAATGTACATTGATTCTGGATTTGACGGTTGGATTATGAAACCGATTGACTTTCAGCGGTTGAACCATTTGCTCAGCGGGGTGTATACAGATCATATCCGCAATGGCGAGGATAGTATTTATATCCCAGGAAAGTGGGAGAACGGTGGATGGTTTGGGCATGATATAGCATGATGTACGATACGTAGATGGTATACACAACAACAATGAACTATATACAACTGTACACTCTCCTCTGACTAGTAATACTCCGGCAAGTCCCCAAAATCCGGCACATCATCCCCACACCTAAAAGCCGGCTCATAAGCCTTCTTCGGCATAAACCCCCCCTTCCACGCCGTCGAATAACTCCACTGCGCCGCCCTCTCCGTCTTCCAAGTCCAATAAAACCACCCCTGCGCCGTCTCAAACGCACTCATCTGCGCCTCCGCATACGTCTGCAGGAACTTCTTATATCCATCGGAGTACGTGGCTGGGTTTGCGTTTGCATTCGTACACGAGCATTTCTTACTGTCGGCTGTCGGACAGTATTGCGTTGAATCGCCGGAGGAAAAGGTCCCTTCCCAGCGGGTGCCGCGGCCGACGTCGTTGAGGTAGGGCGCGCAGTCGGTGTCGGCTGCGGACCATTCGCCGCAGATTGTAGGTCCCCAGCTATATTATACGATATTAGCATTATTTCAGCAATGGAGAGGGATAGGTATGTTGGGGGACAAGGGGGGACGTACCCAGCATCAGTAGTGTTAATCTCGCGAATCATGTGCCACCAATCATTACAAACGAGATTCACACGATCAGCATGTTTAAGCACGATTTGCCCCGTGTTAAAAATCGTATACTGATGCGTATCAAGCAGCAAGTTATCCGGCACATCATCGCCCTTGAGCATTTTCTTCCATTTACTCAGATTCAGAAACCCGTCGTGGAAGGATATCCATGCTGTTATGTTGTTTCCCTGGACTAGTTTTGTTACCTCGGTCGTCCACTCGAGGACATCCTTTATCGGTAATTCGAGCATGAGCGGTTCGTTTACAAGGCCGTAGATCGTGACGATATTGCGGTATCGGTCTTGCGCGAAGAATTTGGATAGCGAGTCGTGGAGTTCGAGTGAGCGTTTGCGGTTCAATGATCCGTCCGTCCCGTTCAACCACCCGATAGAACCCTCTCGACCACTATGGTTCCAGCCGTTTTGACTGCCGACGAGCCCGTGCAGGTCTAGGTTTACGCGGAGGCCGTATTTGCGACAATACTCGATTGCGCGGAGGAGATAGCGCCATGCGATTTGGGAGACGTAGGGTTCATCGTCCTTGTCGAAGGTCTTGATAGCCCAGTAAGAATACTGGATGCGGACGTGGTCGAGGCCTGCGTCGCGGATATCTGCAAAGTCCTGCTCTGTGATGAATTTCGCGTAGTGTTTCTCCAGCGTTGCGTTTGCGGAGTCACCCAGTCTCTGGGTGAGTGTGTATTCGTCCACGATACCCTCCCAGTCATCATATTTGTCGAAGAAGGATGGTACGATAAAGGGCTCGAGGGAGAGCCAACCGCCTAGGTTTACGCCGCGGATTGGTTGGGTGCCGTAAGGGAAAGATTCGTTTAGTGGTGGGACGTGCTCGTTTGCTTGGGCGGAGTCGTCCCAGGTACTGTTTAGGCCTATTAGGGGCAATCCGCCGACTGTGTGGTTTGTGTAGGTTACGTTGAAGTCGGTTGTGTCGTACCAGGTGAAGGGGTCGAGGATTGTGCCTTTTGCGGAGGAGGGGATGCTGTCGCGGGTGATTCCTTTGAGGTTGAGGTTTGCTGGGGCGTTGTCGTCGGAGTCGCTGTTAGCATCTGAATCTGCTGATGTGGTGTGTTTGTTATTGGTGTGTTTTCTGGTCATCACGACGGCGACTGGGACGGCGATGGCTGCGAGGATGAGGAGGAGGATTGCCATTCCTAGCCACCATCGCTTGCGCTTGTAGAATGGTCGGTCGACTTTGGTTGAGCTCACTGTACTTCCGTTCCAATTGCCTTCTTTGCGCAGTAATTCCTCCCCTGCACCACCACCCCCACCGCCATCACCGCCAGGAACAGGAACAGGAAAAGCCCCAGACCTCTGCCGAACCTGTCCCCGGCCCTCTTCCAAATGCGCACCAGAGACAATCCGTCCCTTTGGTCGATCACGAGTGATATCCTGCGCCGCCGCACCAGCACCAAGACCAAGACCACCCAGTAACGCCTGTTTGCGCTGAGATCGTCGTTTTCCGGCGCGGAGGCTTTCGTCGGGGTTTCCTCTGTCCTCAGTCTGGTACTGCCCGGCTAATAAATGCGCGGCACTGTTGCTCGAATCGGCGCTTTGGTGCTTCGTCGCGCTTTCTTCTGGGCCGACGGATCGTCTTGACTCGTATCCATATCCATTCCCATCGTGTCCAAGTCCATCATTATCATTACCATACACGTCGTGCTCATCATAACCATCCGGATCATTCCAAACAGGCACAAACCCGCGCAAATTAAACGGTAATCGCGAATTAAACCCGAAATTCGGCCTGTAGTCTGTGTCTCGGGTGGGATCTTCGTCGTTGCTGTCGTATTCGTAGTCTTCGTTGTTGTTGTTGTCGTCGTATCTATCGTTATCGTGGTTGTCGTGTCGGTACTGAGGGTCGTGGTATGGTAGATCTGGATCGCTGTCGCGATCTCGGCGGTACTGGCGTGGCATGTGTATGTGTATATATGCACCTATACGTACCTGTTTTTCTAGAGCGACCGTGACTTTCCTCTTCTGGACGCCGCCGCTTTAATGAGGGTACTCAGGGGCTTGCTCAGTGAGCAGTCACGTGGCCTCCGAGCTACTCACCCTCCCCTTTATATTGCGCGGGTAGTTCGACGGCCATGTCTGATGAACAGCCCTCAAAATTGCCCAGGCCGTCTAACCTACCTTACAAGATGACACAAGTAGAAAGTTGATGGAGACTAGCTGAATCCTGAGTGGCGAACTCTAAGCGAAGCATACACTCAGGACAACTGTAAATAAATAAGATGGGTTCCCAACAAAGCTATAAATGCAGGTATTTCCCTCTCTTCAAGATAATCAATTCTGAAACGGATAAACCAATGTAGCGGTTAAACTCCGTATCGGGGAAGTCGGGGAGTCGATTATCCGGACTGCACGAGGCTATAGGCGAGGAATTTAAATTACACTAAAGAGGATGACATTGACATCTATAGACACCATAGACGATAGAATGAGCGCTTAGCTATCTAAACCGAATAGCTATGGTGTCCGTATATGGGGACTCTGTCAGCCTCGGTAATCGGCCCGACTATTAATCCACCTTGACTTTCATCGGCGTGTATGGATGGCGGGCTGGCACCGTGACAATTCGAAAAAAAAAAAAAAAAAAAAAAAAAAAAAAGCTATTAGCGCAGAATGAAAAGCTATTAGAGAATACAGGAAAAGAAAGGTACCCATGTTTTCTCTTTTCCTTTTGCCAGCCCATGTTCCCATCCATTGCTAGTAACTCCCCAGGCAAATTCTCAGTATTTCTTCCACTCATCTCATTACAACTGAACTTTTTGATCGCGATTCGTTTTCCGCAGGGCATTGGCAAACCATCCGAAACCTTCGCGCCTAACAGGCTAGGAGTGCCGGGAGCATAATTTGGAGGTCTGTGCTCCCATCTGAGGCTAAGCACTTGACTTCCGCGGCATCTTCCAGCACACGATCAATGATTTCCGCCATTCCGGATGCATGTAGGATTCGGGCGACCGCGGAATGAGTGCTGAGAAGAGTATGACTAGGCAGCTCCAGCGGACCCTCATGGTGATGAAACGTGACAAGACGCGTGCCATCTCTGTTGGCTGGAGGGAAGTAATGGGCCTCTGATCCTGAGAAGTTGGGGTAGGTTACAATCTTGTATGTTCTGTCGTCATCCTATTTTTTGTAAGTAGATATTCGTCCAAATGCTTTTTTGGCCAGGCACCTACGGTGGGTTCAAGAGCGAGCTCTAGCGCACCGAACTCATCATTGAGCGAGCTGCTCAAGATCATAAGGTTACAACCCGCATTGATCTGCTCGGGCTTGATCATACTCTCCAAACTTGGGAAAAGAGCAAACATCGTGGTCCAGGTATTCGACTTTTTCTTAACCTAAAATATTGCATTAGTAAATTTGAAAGACTAATAAGTAGGCACTAACCTCCATCATTACTCCAGAAACCCAGGGCGAATGGCATTATATGCGAGATATGCGCAGTAAGCATATTCCTACGAATCTCATTGTCGGGGACTGTTGGGTGACGGCCAACAGCTTCCTTCGCGAAGCGACCCGACAGGACACAGCGATAATCGTCTCTTTTGAGACACAGGGCTTTCATATGTCGTAGTGGTGCCCGGGTACTGCTCTCCACCATCTCAGAGGCCATGTCGTCGCGGTTTCCGAAGGGTGAGTCCGATGTAGCTGGCGTCTGTCCCCCACACGCCTTCACTGTTGAAGTACATTGTTAGCTAAGCTACACAAGCGCCCAAGGAAGGGGAGACCAACTGGGTGCTAATATCGCTTTAGCTAGATGATCGCCTAATTTGTAAAGGTCGTCTCGATGATTGTTTTCAAGTATGTACCGACAGAGAATCCGGTTCCCATCAGGTGGTAAATTGTCGATGAAGCTTCCAAGGACCAATTTGGTCAAATCTTTGGCGTTATAAGGAGTGTAATCTGTGATCCTGTCACGAGCAGCCTGTATGTCGACATGTAGTTGCTCGGTGGAGAGCTCCAGGGAAGAGAGTGAGCTGCTCAGGTCGCTCAGGCTTTGGGAGAGTTCTTCATCTTGGTCCATCTTGGTGATGGAGCGCAGAGATCGAGGACGGTGTCAACGCGCCTTGTGCGAAAAGGAAGTCTATATATCGTGAAAGTAATTAGAAGGAGCATAAAATAAGAGGATGATCTATCGGGAAGCGGACGGGGGATGGCTCGAGACATACTTTAGAAACGCATGAGACATAGGGGACAAGTGGAAGCCACAGTGGTAACAAGGGCCTCGTCGTGAACAGTGGCAAGATAAGAGGCGTCTCGTCCCTCGCCCTCGTCCGTCCTGTCCGTGGTTTGAAGGGGTGTCCAACAGTGGTCTGTTGGAGTGGTTGAGTGGCGCCTGGCGAGCAGGAGTAAGGTAAGATCGATCGATTCTGCCTATTCAGACCGCTCTCCACGCCTCCCCTCGTCTTATATCATTGGCTAATTTCAGACCGCTCTAATATTCTGCCGCATTATCAACAACCGCTTACTGCATCGAAACTAGACCCGGACATGGGTACCCATTTGTAGACTGCGACATAGTATCCTCATCCGCGGATACCAGTTTGGTATCCACATCCAAATCCTCATCCGCGCGGATAGGATGCGGATATCCGCATGATATCCACATTTGCACAATCTCGCTAAATTAACTACATTCAGGCTCTCAAGTGATGTATATCTTGCTGATTCCGATTTGTAAATATCGGTTATTTACGCCTGTTCTGGTTGTAACAGTGTCAGTTGGCGCTTTTCCATTATCCTCCTTACGATTACGAAGTTCTAGGAAATGTTTAGGAATATTAGAATCTAGGGGTCGGCACGAATAACGAATATTCGCCGCGAATATTCATAATTTTAGTCACGTGATAATGACGATCAGTGATAGCTGGAGTGATGAGACTTCACTTAATGTCATCACACTCCGCAGCGCCAAAATCGCGACCATCTGCTCGTGATTTCCCAGCCAACTACCGAGTACAAACACTGCTACCACCAATCCTATGTCCGACGTCAATATGGGGGAAGCCCCGGGAGCCCACGCGACCCCGACCGCTTCCCCCTGGGAGCCCACCACCCCGAAGCGACCGCCCAAACGACTGAGACCAGAGACACCGGGAAAAGCTATACAGGCCCCTCCTACCCCCAAGAACTGGCAGCCTGACCGGGATATGCCTCCTGCGTCCCCCTCCTGCGAAACTCCCCAAATTGGCTTAGCTCCAAAGCCATATTGCAGCGGCAGTGGCTTCACGCACAGCACAGCTAAAGACTACAGGAGACGAAGTCTTGGAGATTGTCTCTGTGATGAGCCAGAAAGTCTCCAACTGGGAAGAGAAGAGCCTACAAGGAGCCGTCTCCTTGGGCAAGGATATTAGGGCCCTGGTCCTCAATTTCAGCAGGAACCTGGCAACGGGTGACCCCACCAAAGAGGAAGAGAATCACCAACCCTCCCCGCCCATGCGCAGTAGCTATGCTGGAGCTACAAAGACCACACCCAACGCCCCCCAAACAGAGCCCCAGTGTTAGGCTGAGGTGTGACAGCCATACACAGTGCGCTACTATATATATCGGTTCCCGAGCATGATGAGCATTCGCTCATCATAGTGGTCTTTTTGAACCAACGGTAGAACTTCTTTGCTCGGGCAGTTGCTCCAACACCCAGCAACCCAAGACCTCACACAGGCCACCACAACTGGAGAAGCTCCCCTGAATCTTCCTCTGCCTCCCAAAAGACCATCCAGCCCGCCGAGCTAGCCCGTACGCCAGCATGGATATACTCAGGAAACACTTGGACAAGACCTGTTCTGCAGCTGTGAAAGAGATCCAACAGGTGCCCTCTGGCCTGGCAATATGGCCTAAGGATGGCCTGGGCCTCCAGCTCCTCATGGAGCGTAGGGAGACTCTGGAGGACCTAATAAAGGGAACCGAGGTTGAAGTAGAACAGAAATGGGCCATCTTTGCCCTACCGAACGCGCCACATCAGTATACCAGCTATGACGGGTCCCAAGTGCCCATAAGTGAACAAATGGCCCTGGATGAACTCAAGCTCCAGTCAGGCCTTACCCCTCTGAAGTTCTACCGCTCAAATAAGAACCCACTATCCACCACCTTCATCATGGCAGTACCAGAGACCCAAGCTCAAGCAGTTCACAGATGGATTCCCCTTTTTGACAGAAACATACAAGTCAAGCATAAACCCACCTGAGCCCGCATAGAGCAATGCACACAGTGCTGGGACTATCATAACCCCCGGAACTGCAGCCGCGCACCCAGATGCCGCGTCTGCAGCAAAAGAGATCACACTGAGGAGATGCATTCCTCCTCTGATGATGAGGAAGCATCAGACCCATGTTGCACCAACTGCTGTGGCCCTTTCCCAGTAGACCACCCCAATTGTCCCACCCGGCCTACCATACAACAGGGAGTCATCCAGCAGCTAACCAAGTCACAATTCACTGCAGTCAGGAAAGCAGGCGCACGCCAGCACATGCTAAAAGACCAGACTGGTACAAATGAGCCCTCTGGTAACCTGAGCTCCCCACCTACAGGAGAACAGTCTCTATCATGTTAGATAGGCTATCTCACTTACAAATCCTCCAACTGAATGTTGGCCGAAACTGGGAAGCGCATGAAACCGCGCTCCAACTGGCATTTGAGACCAACTGCCACGCAGTGCTTATTCAGGAGCCCTGGATTTTTACAGACCACTCCTGTCGAATATCTAAACATGTGACGGGCTAGGCCCGAGAAAGCACCTCGAATCATAAATGATTCTCGATTGAGGCTATCCAGAGAAGTCTAATGAAAGTCAAGACGGATTAATAGTTGGCCCGATTACCGAGGCCGACAGATTCCTCATAGGGACACACGCACACATACTTTAGATAGTTAAGCACTCATTCTACCATCTACGTGTCTATAGATATCAATGTCATCCGTGTAATTCAAATATCCTCGCCTATAGCCTCGTACAGTCTGGTAATCGACTCCCCGACTTCCCCGACACGGAGTTTAACCGCTACATTGGTTTATCCGTTTCACATATGAATTCACCGCCGCCAAACTAATGATTCTTTCCTCTTCAACGTGTTCTTTTTGTACATATCTATATATTAGATAGCAAAGGCTTCGGCCCATTACACTTGCTCCTGGGATTTTCCAGACTCCTAGGAGGACTGGACTGGATCTTAGGATGGCTGATCCTGCTCTTGAGAGCTAGAAGCACGCTCCCCAGACATAGGATAATCTCTGGAGCGAATTGAATCGAATCTTCATGGGAGCTTAGTCTTACTATCTCTGGGGAGAATTTGGCATGGTAAGAAGCGGAGCAGAAGGAATGATGACCTCAATTCCCTGTTCCATTGATGGTGCCATCGCTTTGTTGGGTTTGGTCAAAACAAAAGTTCAATTGGCACTAAACATTATTAGTTCTAACAAAACACGGCGCTAATGGTGAGACAACAGAACAACATATGCCAAGACAAGCAGATAAAACCCGACTGAGCAGTTAACAGAGTAGAACATTCCCCTGATTCAAGTCAAATACATATCACCCTCATCTCCTCTACTCTACAAGAGATCATGATCTTCAGGGTCTTGATCTCCAGGGACTTCTCCAGGGTCTCCTCGGCAACGGGCGGTGAACCTCATAAACGGATGCATTAACAGTATGGAGTCGATATTACAATCACATTCATCACTGCACCCAAAAACCTCATGCCTCGCAAAAACCACTACCAACGAGGGTATGTATGTCAACGCCAGAAGAAAGAAAAGAAAAGTAAAGAGAAATCAGCTTAAATACACGCCAAGTAGAAAACTGATTATGTCGTTGTAAGTCGCTTCTCGTCTGAGCGACCCAAAAGAAATGGAGAATAAGAGATTAACAAATGGTGTACGTGTTGAAACGAATTGGGAATCAAGAAATAAAATCATCCAAGATCTGCCAGAAATCACACTGTTCTGATGTCCAGCAAGATGTCACAAGAAAATTTGCCCCGGGTATGATTATGTCGAAGAATGTAATGTACTCCGTAATCCGCGAAGTCGCCAATGAATGAAATGTCGACAGAAATGCAAATGGCTATTAATCGGCATGCCTTGTATTTTTTTTTTTTTTTCTTTGTCCGGTCTTTTTGGCCGGAAAGGGGCCTGGTCGACGCACGAAGTCGAACTTCTTTACCAGCCCATCCTTGCGTAGATGAACATCATCCACTAATAATCTGTCGCGCACCCTCTTTGCCCAGAACACCCGGCTCCTGGGGCTTAGGGCTCCTGTCGCGGCCCTTCTTCCGGCTGAAGAACGACAGCATGCCACTGTTGGCGTTCTTCCCCTTGCCCCCGGCTGGATCGTATCCCTCTGCGGGGAGGGTCGAGCTCGTGTCCGCCAATTGACTCCAGCTACCGGACTCTTCCAGCACCATTTGGACACCACCGCCTTTACTTGTCTTGCGTGTGGCGCCTTGTCCGCGAGCGGACGGAGGAGGGAAGGGACGGTGGAATGCCTGAGGCTGAGCATGAGCGTGGGACTGAGCGGGAACGGAGGAAGGAGGGGTCGAAGTTTGCGGAGGTCCGCCCGGAACAGACTTTTGAGGCTCGAGGGCGTCGCCAATTTGGGATGTGTTATCAGGGTGTGCATTGGTGTGACAGGGTGCGAGTTCGCTCCGGGTTGGCGGCGAGTTTCGAGCGGATTCGGGTTGTGAGTGTTGTCTCGAATGAACCGAGGCGTTGCTTGCAGCGCCAGCACCGGGGGCAGCACCTTGTCCAGCAATAGTCGGTGGAAGGCAGTCTTCTGGGTTTCTATTCCATGTTAGCTCACATACTCTAAATAGAGAGAAGAAAACTTACTGTACTGATGCGATTGCATCGGCGGCATTGCTGTCAAGTGGTTAGTATAAACGATAAAACGGATAAAGTCAAAGAACGCACCCTCTATATGTGACTATCGTGTAATCAAACGGCTCGAACATAGTCTCAATCAGACGGTGTAACTCATCCTCCCGAATCTCCTTGGCCGTCGCATCCCCGCGCAACTCCGCGCGGGGCTTTTGTCGGCGCGCTCTAGCCTCCAGAGGTGCCTCCTCCAACAACAACTCTTCCAGATCGTACGTCGCATCGAAGTTGGTCTTCTCACTCGAGGGCTTGAACACTGGCGGGTATTCTTTCCGTTCTAACATGTCGAAGTCATAATACTCGGCGAAAAAGGGATGCGAGGTGAAACTTTCGAAGCTGACGGCGCCTATCCGCTTTGATCGATCCTTCTCTAAGAACCCTGCCATAGCTCGGAGACATGGTACTGATACTGCCGGGTTGGTAACGTAGTATTTCGGCGAGACCTTTTTGATCGATTCGCTAAGCGCATCTTGAGTACGGCCCTCGAATGGTCGCTGCTGCAGTCAGTACTCGTTCTCCAAATGATGGGGGAGCTGCGAACCTTGCTGTAGACGCATTCGTAAAAGCAAACACCAAGAGACCACCAGTCGACTTCGGCATAGTATCCGCCACCCTCATACACTTCCGGAGCAAGGTATGCCAGCGTGCCCGACTTGCTTGTCAGAGGCTTGCCTGGTCTGAAATCCGATGCGACGTTCTAAAAAGGTCAGCTGTGATCCTTTCCACCAAGAGATGCAGTCACATACGAAATCTGCCAAGTGAACATGCCCCTCCGAGTCCAACAGAACGTTATCCGGTTTGACGTCGCGATGAATGATGCCTTGCGAATGGATATATTTGAGCGCGCAGCCCAACTCTGCAATCCAGAATCGAATAGCATCCTCCGTAAAGCATTTCCTCGAGATATGGAACCGTAGGTCACCACCATTCATCAAATCCACCACAATGTATCTTCGAAAATCAGCATGCGACTCGAGAGGGGAAGGATTCCGAAACGCACATGTATTCGATATCCTGAAAACTGTATCGCAGGTTGCACAGGAACGGATGGTTGAGGTGTTCGAGCATTCGACGTTCACGAATAATATTCCGTACGCTTTCCGATTTGATCACTGAAGTCATGTTATTAGCAACAAAACCGACTCGAAGCATCGAGAGAAAAAAAAAAAAAAAAAAAAAAAAAAACCCACCCTCTTCTTTCCGAATATATTTCAGAGCAAATGTCAAGCCGGTATCTTTCTTCTCGACGATGCGGACCTTTCCAAAAGCACCCTTTCCTACCACCCGCAGGAGGCGGAATTGATTGAGGTTGACTAAAACCCCGTCAGCATTTCGACATAGCCGGTCGCAAATCCCAGGAGGCGAACGCACTCTCATTGGTGTTAGCCACCTGTTTCCCTTGCGAATTTCCCATTGGAGCAGATGTGAAAAAGATCCGAGTAGGAAGAAATCAGCTGCAGGTCTTCCGACAGCATCCCACTTTGTACGACCTTGAGTTGGTTGTTCGCGGAGATTCCCGTCGCGATTCGGGAGATGGCGATGTAGGAGAACGTGTAGAGTAAAGGAGAAAGGAGAGAAGTAATGGAGGCGAAATCGATCAATAAAGGACGAAAGATATCATGGAGAGCGAAGGAGAGAAATAGGATGGGCCCGTCCAGCAAGACCCCGAACGAGAGAACGAACGAACGATGGCGGAACTGTTGCTCCGTTTGAAGTTAGCAGGGAAAATATAGTGCGTTTTATAATCATAAAGAGTTGAAAGAGAGGGGCTGAAGGAACAAAGCAGTATTTTGGAATCGCGGCGGGATGCAGATAATGAACTTACCACGCCAAGAAGGGCGAGAATGAGAAGCGATTCAAATCGTTCAGTTGAGAAATGAAACAAAAGAGATGAAAATGTAGAATATAGGGGATAGAGTGGAGAGAGAGAGAGAGAGAGAGAGAGAGAGAGAGAGAGAGAGAGAGAGAGAGAGAGAGAGAGTAAGAAGGAGAGGACAGACAAAAGACAATTAGAGAGAGAGAGAAACAGAGACAACCCCCTAAACCAGAACGGTTGGACGGAGCAGCAACACGGGCCACGAGTTAAAGCAGCTTTCCTCGGTGACAGAATAGCCCAAAATTCTCCAGTGTTCCGTAAAAGTGAGTTCAAAAGTATGAAAAGTATGTGAGAACCACGGTAAGGAGACTAAAGACAAGATCGGGGGATTTCCGCTGAGCCTGGAGAGCTAAAGCAGTGATAATGGCTGGTGATACAATGCAATAATAGGGAGAGACAGCGGAGACCACGAAAAAGGAGATGTGGAACTATCAAATCCTCCAGGACTGCGTAGGGCCTCGTATACTCCGTAACTCCTCGGAGGTATTGGAGCATAATTCTGCTCTAAATCTTTTGACTGCACATCGTTTAATAACATACGCTATTATATGCAGGCATGCTTGTGTATTATTGTATCTGTCACTTTGATCCTTCTCATGGCCGCCATGTGCATCTTCCCCTACAACAACAATACATAATTATATCCGCCCCCCCCCCCCCCCCCCATAGTCATGGTAACCATGATAATACTACTGAATAAGAACAAACTTCCTTCCGATTAACTACCGAAGGGCCCCATCCGCTGAGCCAATATCCCGGATCAGCTACCGAATTCAGCATCCCTTATCCGCACTCCAGAACACGACAGAATTCCATTATGCATACAAGCGCTACTCTGTACGGAGAACAAACGAATCCTCCATGTTCCTTCTAGAACGTCTCTATGCATGCAACATGGCGCAAATATGATCTATCCTTCTTTCCTGCCATTAACACGCTGTCTTCCTACATAACAGTAATCTGCACCTCCGGCCGATCTTAATACTATCCTCTGATCCATCACTCGGCTGTTTCATCGCGAATCCGATCTTCGTCTATAGTGTAAACCCAATTGGCTTCCCCCCGAGTTACTGGTCATGGTTCTACGGGAATACTGACTCAGTGCGCCAGATTCTTGGGCTGTCAAATTTGTAGTGTAGTGAATCAATTCATTATCCCCGTCCTGAAAATAAATCCGACCAATCATATGTATATCCTTGATCACATTCCAAACGCCACATTCGTCAAAATATGTCTACCACCGTCGTCCATACACCGAATTTTCTTCACGAGCAGGCACCCGCTTCGTCTGCGAACGCTCACGGTCTCGCGTGTTACTCGATCCCATCGTCCGCATAACACCAGTCTCGTCCGTCGCCTGCACAAGTACCGCCGGCTGTTTCAAGTCCAGGTCCCCCTGTTTCCCTGCATACCGCGACTCTGCATCTCGACCAAACAGCGCCATCATGTCCGTCATCGTCAGCTTGGCTGCTGCGGTCTTGCCTTCGATCGTGAGGTTGGCGAGTTCGCGCTTGCGGTCTTGCAGGTCTAGAATTCGTTCTTCGACGGTGTCTTTGACGATCATTTTGTAGATTTTCACATCGAGCGTTTGGTTGAGGCGGTGGACTCGGTCGATTGCTTGCTCTTCCACGAACTGATCATATGTTAGCGTGGTGTACATATGGCATGGCAACAAACAAACAGAAGTGACTTACCGGATTCCAGAATGGCTCGAGAATCACAACCCGACTGGCTGCCGTCAGGTTCAGTCCCAAAGCACCAGCCCGCAAACTGCACAACAATACTCGAGTTCCACTGTTGTTACGCAGCTTGTTCAGACTCGCCTCACGATGGTCGTTCCTCATACTACCGTCATATCGCGCATATCCGATGCCCGCTCGGTTCAAGAACGGTTCGATCTTGTCCAACATTGACGTGAAACACGAGAACACGATGAACTTGAAGTCCGGCGCTTCACGCGATAGAATCTTCATGAGATGTCGAATCTTGGTTGAGGGGAGGATTCTCTTATCATCATCCTCATCATCGCCCGCGCTCAGATAGATATCATCCTCGGACTCTGACTCGGAATTTTGGATCTGGGGAGTGACAGATCTCGTGCGGTTCTTGGTAGGCGACTCAGGACCTTCATCATCGCTGTCCGAATCCTCAGATTCGAGCCACTCGCCGCCTCCCTCCGCATCTTCATCGTCACTGCCACCAGCCTTTCCAAAGTTCTTCACTCCGCGTTGGGCCTTAGTGACAACCCAATCGCCGTCTTCCTCGTCCTCGTCATCGCTATCGACGACAACCTTTCTGTTCCGACGGGCACGAGCAGCCTGGCGACTGGCAGAAGGCGAGTCCGTGAGATCCACAACATCTACCTTCTTGGTCTTCTTCTTTTTGTGGCTCATCTCTTTGTCACCAAGCGTAGCTTTCAAATCGCTCTCACACTCGCCACACCGGCTGATACCACTACTGGCTTCCTCCTTGCTCAGTTCCGTCTGACAAACGTCGCACTTCTTCGTGACAACACTGAGTGCACCAAACAGATCAGCCACACTGTCTAGATCGTCATTCTTCCCTTGCGACGATTTCTTCTCAGAAGGACCGGTCTGCAGCAGAATATCCTTGTCCTTGGCAAGGTCGCTCTTCACCAAGTCAGGGTGGTTGCACGACTGACGAAGACGCAGCAGCAAGACCAAAGCACCAGCGTAGTCGACCTTACTATCGCCCATCATCTTCTCAAGACTGTTCTCGGTGCGCTGTTCGAGACGCTTGTAGAAGTTCATCTCACCCGGCATGAACTCCGCTGCCACCTTGATGACTTCTCGCTTGGTGATCTGGAACCCAGAGGATTTTTGTTTCTTCTCACCGCCATCCTCGCCGGGCTTGAGGTTGTCGTTGAGCTTGAGGACATCCTTGGTACGTCGCTTCATGAATGCTTTCAGGAAGATCTGCAAGCGTTCGATCGCAAGCTGTCCGCGACCGTTGGCAATTGGCCTTCCAATCTGCTCCTTCCAGGCAGCCAAGTCATTGTACGGCTTGATACGGAGGAACTTGATCAGACTCTGCAGCTCATCAAGGTTGTTCTGCATCGGCGTTCCACTGAGACACCAGCGGTACTCTGCATCCAGCGCGCATGCCGCTTGGGTTGCCTTGGCGTTTCGGTTCTTGATGGTGTGAGCTTCGTCCAGGATGATGCGGTACCAGTAGACAGAGAAGATGCCTGACTTCCCGCTCTTCCCGTGTTCGGAAGTCAGGGTGCCGTAGGTGGTGATGACCACGTCGTAGTCTTCCAGGTTATCGGTTGCCTTGGCTCGGGTGTTGCCGTGGTAGACGCATACGCGAAGCTTGTGAGTATTCTCAACCTTAGATGCGATTTCGCCCTCCCATTGCTTAATCAGTGCCAACGGGGCAACGACAAGCGTGGACTTGCTCAGACCAGGTGGCAATTTTCTGGGCTTCTCTTCCTCGTCGGATTCATCGTCGGAATCATAATTCTTTTTCACCTTTCCACTCTCAGGTTTGGTATTAGTGAGCAGCAAGGCAATGGTCTGAACTGTCTTTCCAAGACCCATATCATCTGCGAGGATGCCGCCCTTGGGGGCGGTTCCTTTGCCCCTGCCGAGTTCTTTATCGCGCATCCAGCTCACGCCTTCTATCTGGTGAGGCAGCAGATTGACGTTCAGGCCTTCGACAGTTCCATCGTCTTCTTCCTCTTCCTCTTCCTCTTCCTCCTCCTCTTCCTCTTCCTCTTCATCGGAGACCACCTCTTTGTCCTCATCTTCAGTGTCCACAGAAGCTTTGTCGGCCTTAGATTCAGATTCGTCATCGCTTGCTTCCTCAGTGTCACTATCGACCGCTGGAGACTTGACAGCCTTAGCTTTCTTCTCGTCCTCGTCACCTTCCGTAGACTTAGGCTCCTTGACAGTGATACCCTCCAACTGAGCAGCCAAATCATCAAGCTCAGAAGCACCCTGAGAAGCACCCTGAGAAGCATCCTGGGAGGCGTCCTGAGAATCGTCCTCCCTCTTATTCTCCTTCTGCTTCTGCTTCCTCTTCTTATTCTTATTCTTCTTCTTGTTCTTCTTGGCTTGTTGCTTTTCATCTTCGTCTTCGTCGAAAGCGCCCTGTAAAAGAGCCTGGATGTTCTCGTTCGCCTTCGCCGTATCCACGTAGTCGTCCACTCCATACGAACCGAATCCAACGTTATTCCGCGATCCCGCGCTGGGCGTAAAACCACCCTCACCCGTCAAATCGACAAAATTCTTGAGATTCTTCGACGCATTGTTCACTTTCACCGCCGACGGCTTCGATGTGAAGAACGTCTTCGGGGCTCGCGGGGTGCCGAAAGTAACATTTTCGGGACGCTTGATTTCAAAAGCGCCACTGTCGGCCGGACGCGAGAACCGGTTGTTATTATACGCCGAAGGTCTAACAGGCTTAAATGGGTCGAACGACTCGTTATGTCTTGGTGTAGCAGCCACGCCAGCACCAGGCGTCATAGGCGGACGATAGCCTTGACTCGATGCGGGGTATTGAGATGGTGGTTGTGGCCGCGGTTGGGGAGCTCGATGGTGTTCCGCTCTCGCCTGGTTCGGTTTCGGGATGTTGAATGGGTTACTGGGGTGGGATGGACGCTGGGCTGGGCGTTGGTGTTGAACAGGGCGGAGGGGCGAGGGTTTTCCGAATTCTGGGTGGTGCGATAAGCCCGGGGGTTGCTCGTTTGCCTTTCGAGGCGTCAAGGGCAGTTGCGGTGCGTCGCTTTCTTTCGCCATGGTGTCTCAAGACGATGTTGTTATCGTGAAGATGTTGTTGTGCAGACTTGGGCGATATCGCGGGGTCAAGGTACTTTGTATCGAGCAAGGGAAATGGTGCATATGCGGGGCACTAATCCCTTCAGATATCTTGCACGGTCTCTGTAAATCGAAAAATGGGTTCGTAGATCAAGTTAGTCTTGTGTATCTTCGCTGTCGTTGAATCTATCGTATCTTGATCGTCGAACTAGGAGGTGCAAATCATCAGCATGCCAGGTCCAAACTCATAGTCTCCAATCAAGAGATAGTCATTTCAAGTCTGTACTTACCTTTGTATGTGAAATGCAATAACTTACCTCTCAGCCATATCAAAACAAGCGATTATGGCAAAAGTATCGAGTTGTAGAATGTCGTGTTGTGTCGCTGGAAAAGTCCGGATCTGGTCGAGTCTTTCGCTTTGTTTGGGGCGGGGGAGCTTTGCCCTGGCAACCGTGTTTGCCTGGGGCTGAAATAGCTGCATTGAGATGAGGTCCTGTTGCGTTCACCAGAGACACAAAAGAATACCAATGGAATCAATTCTTCTTGTATGGTTCTGAAAGAGCATAGCAGTCCCAATAGATAATTACCCTAAATTACGGAGTACTCTAAAACCACTAACGCTTGATCACTGCGCCGATTCAACGCTATCCATAAACCCCAAAATCTCCGGGACAATAACACCTGCATCCCCCTGAAAAAGCCAATCACCCTTCTTCAGCCCCGACCTCCCAACATCATTACTATCCATATTAACAACCGCGACCCTAGCCCCCTTCGCCCGAGCCTCATCCACATACCCCGCCGCCGGATAAACCTTCGAGCTAGTCCCAATAACCAGAATGAGATCGACAGGCCCCGCCTTAAGAAACCCATCCACCTCGCCGAGAGCTTGCGTCGGCAAAGGTTCGCCAAACCATACCACGCCCGGGCGGAGGAGGCCTTCTTTGCATTTCGGGCAGTGCGGGAGGACTTCGATTGGTAATGCGGGGAGTGGGACTTGTTCGTCGGAGATGTCGAGGTCGTCGGAGTCTTCGAGGCCCAGAGCGTTTTGTAATGCTTGGGCTGCTTCTTTGCCGGTCTTGTCTTCTGTAGAAGGGATGGGTTCTGGCCTGTTTTGGGGGATTGCGAGGGCGGGGACGACGGGGTCTGTGAAGTCGTTCTCGGAGACGTAGTTGCAGTAGAAGGAGGTGCATTTTATCGTAAAGAGGGAGCCGTGGAGGAGATGTAGCTGTTCCGGGGGATGGTTCGCGCGTTGCGATAGTCCTAGTAAATCAATCACCCGTCAGCAATAGTCAATCACGGAGGAAGTATCTCCAAACGCACCATCAACATTCTGCGACAGAGTAATAAAGTCCTTATTCTTCCTCGCCAGATCAGCCAATGCGTAATGCGCGCGATTTGGCTTCGCCTTGAGAGCCATATGCCTCCTAAACCCATAAAACTGCCACACCAGGTCCGGATTGTCCTTGAAAGCTTCAGGCGTCGCCAAATCCGTCGCATCGTAGGATCGCCAGAGTCCTCCTGCACCTCTGAAGGTGGGAAGGCCAGATGAGGCTGAGATTCCTGCCCCCAGGAGGGCCATGATTCGCTTGCATCCTTTCAGGTATGTTGTGAAGGACTGGAGGTCGGCTGCTGGGATTGCTGAAGAGGCCATGGCAGGCAGACTATCTCCTCTGGTCTATGTCATCAAATAACTGGGGATATGTGTAGAAGATTGTGAGTTCTGTGATTCTGGGTTGGAGAAGAGTCAGCGCGATGACTCCAACTCCACTTCAGATATTTATCCGTCAACTGGTGACGTTATACCAAACAATGCGCTACAAGTGACTTTTTCTCACACGAGTTCTTCCTAAGGTACATATCTCGTATTCAGACAAGAAGCTGACCGTACTACCCCGCTTTTGGTCAACATTGGGTTGTACGTGGTGATAGTCCAGTGGTGAATCCGCATCGGCGTCTCCAGGAAGATATACAGATTTCCAGAATTCATGATATGCTCATCATTTTGTACATTCATGTACGTAGGGTATCTGCTAAGTATTTTACAGGCGGTCTATGCTCGCAAGGCTTCAATGTCATCGACCTAAATCACATCAGTCAGTACAGCCTACGATTATGGGGCCAAGCAAACATACCTCTTTGACTGCTTCCGGAGTCAAGACAATGGGGTGGTCATCACCAACACACACGCTGTCTTCGATTCGGATACCAATGCCTCGGAACTTTGCCGGCCATCTATCGCTATCCGGAACGTAGATACCGCTGGGGTAGACATGAGTATACGACCTATGGCGGGGCGGGGAAGGGTAAGCTTACGGTTCAACAGTGATGCACTGGCCCGCTTTAAGGGCGTAGCTCCTCAAATATCCAGGGCAGTCGTGGACATCCAATCCAATATAATGTCCAACGTGGTGCGGGAACAAAACATTCATAGCCTGATACCAATGAGTTAGCATTGTCAGGAAAGGGGCAGGTGGCAAGAGATCAAACCCTACATTTCCAGTTACGTCAAATCCAAGCTGCTGGAGTTGGTCTTTCAGGCCGTTTTCAGCAATAGTATGCAGCCTATCCAAAGAAACCATTGCGCTTTCTCGGCAAAGAGCAAGGCAGCTCCGGTGCACGTTAAGCACCGCGGTATACAGATCACGCTGGGGACCCGAGAATTTGCCGTTGACCGGCCATGTCCTTGTAATATCGCTGATGTATGTTCCCCATTCCTATAATTTTGTGAGTACGGTCAATTTCTTCTCATTTCAATATAAGGATTACGCACCCCGCCTCCGTCTGTGAGGACCAAGTCTCCGTCACTGGTGATAGTGTCAGTTTGTATGTTTAGTACCAGTGGTCTAGGAGCCATACTTCAGGACATCATCATTTCTGGTGTAATGAATGCTAAGCGCATTCTGCTACTGTTAGTTTTCAATCCACGCATGGACAAGAATGGTCAACTTACAGGTCCGCCAGCGACAACAGGGACAAAAGCGCTAGTGTCGCAGCCATTGACCTTGAAGTTGTATTCCAGAAAGGAAGCCAAGTCCTTCTCCATATTGAATTCATGGCTCATAGACTCCGTAAAGGCTCTTCCTGCGGCCTGACCAAGTCGACGCATATGGACAACCTCATCCTCGCTCTTGAAGACCTTCATGTCATTGAGAAGTGGCCGCAGTGGTCTGACCTTGCTATAGTCGACGCATTTCTTGAGCTTCTCGGATGTAGTAGTGGGGCCATAGAGGTACTTGTGCAGACTGGACCTCCCGGGGTCAAGCGCGGGAATATCCGTGTAGATTGCAGAGGCTCCGGACACGATGTTTGGTAAGATGTCCCCAATGCGATCGATATCACCCGACTGCGAAACACCAGTCAGCCTTGAGTCATCTATGTCCTGGGAAACAGCCGTATCTCACTTCATCCGCGTTGAAGACATCTACAGCAGCCCGCGTGCCGGATCGGGCCCCGTCCCACAGTTCAGCCTTGGGATCCTTTTCCCGAACGTAGAGGTGGAAGATGTGGTTGTCGCCGGATCCATCGTTCGCTGCAACCGTATGAGTTCCCGTTTCCAATCCTTCGGATCGTTGATCGTGAGGGCTTACCAATGATGGCCAAGGCGTTGGGTTCGTTGAAACCTATTCGGAGCAATTGATCAGTATGCTGTCTGCCCCGCTTCTCGATATCATGGACATACCCGTGAGATAAAAGAAGTTGGAATCCTGGCGGTAATCATTGAAGATTCCTGCCGCACGATATTTGACCTCCGAAGCCGCTAGCACTGCAATCGCATTCTGCGGGAGCTTGTTCGCGAGTTTGGATCGACGTTGGGCGTACTCGAGTGCTGTGATTCCGGGAGTCACTGGCCCAATGTCAATATGCAAAACAAATCCATGGCCGGATGGCAGCTATACACACATTCTCCCGGGCTCAGTATATGAGGATGCGTCTCGTGCAATGGTTGTCCGAATTTAAGGTCGGCCGCGGAAATCGAAGAAGCGTATGTCCGCCAAGAGGGCAGTCGACTAATTCCAGAGCGCTGCACCAGAGGACGACATGTCCTCAAGGCGCTAGTAAAAGGGCGAGGGGAGTAACGGGGCCATTGGCGAAGCAAGGATTTGCATGGCGACATGCTCGTTGGGGGGTCGCACACTCGGTGATTTTGTCCTGGTCTATCCCAGATGCGCTCAAACAATAACGCCGGGCCCGAATCGGCGGAAAGCTCCGGTGGGGCCCGCGGTTGGCGGTAGTCGGCCAATCACGGTCGGTTCAATAAGACTTCCTTTTTGGGCGACGGCATTGGAGGGCTACAGTTTACATACGGGACTGCTTTAAGCGTAACGACTAAACATATTGATTTGCTGCAAGTTGTCATACTCTGAACATGGAATATTAACAAACGAAAATGTCGGAAAGCTCCGACCAGTCCTCAAGTCCCCATTCAACGAGTTCTGCGCCACTCCACGTATCTTTCTGATCCTTGGTGTCCAGATTGAAAGACCATGTCGAACTCTTTCTGAGCTGGATTTTTGCCGAGACGCATCGGCCACTTTGATACTATGGTATTATTTTCCTTCATTGCCACGCCAAAAAAGGACTTGGTAAACTCTTCCAACCGAGTCTCTTGCAAGAACCTGCCAAAAAGGGCATCGTTGTCTACGAATAGACTCTGGGCTTGCATCAACTTCATGGATTCTGCATTCGTCTTGTCTCTGCTGAGCATGGCTTGCCGGTTGATTGGTAAAAGCCGGATTACCTTATGGAAGTCTCCATGCCAGCTACCATATCAGCAAGAGTAGTCACCTCGTGGGTTACATTGAGAAAGAGCGTTAACAAGGTAGAACTAGGGTTCTCGAGACGGTCTCTCAGGAAGGTAGAAAATAACCCAACTGTTTTATGAGGACCCAGGTATGCGCGATCTGCGATGTTGGAAAGCTGTAAGGTCGATTAGTTTACCAGACAATCGGTGACGCTCGAAATCGGAAGATCTTACTTCAATCCGGTCATAAGTTCGCACATTATTCTGGTGTGAAAGTTCTTTAGACAATTCTTCAGCGTCCATTTGAACCAGACGGATTTCCAGGTCAAGGGTTGCAATCTTCTGACAGAACTTGAAAAGTGTGTTTCTGACGTGAAAGTACAATTGATCATAGATATCTTGTTTTGCACTGTGAGCCTCCGTCATAAACTCAGTCGATTCCCATCCGTCAAGAGGATCAGCGGAATCCGCCATGGGCCATGCAGATTGGTGTTGGAACAATGTCCTACTTCATGTTAGGGAAAAACAACAAAAACGCGACGGGGCCGGTACACACGGATTTGGGACTTTGAACCTCTCAGAAGAGGCACCGAAGGGTAGCAACACTCCCTCCTTACGAAACCTCAACTTAGCTAGTCGCCAAGAAGGGGGAAGTCGGAGCATGGCTCTATCTCGATAGTCCCTGCGGGAGTGGGCTAGAGTCACAGACTGCCTTTGAGCACTTGCCTTTTCGAACGGGACATTTGCCTTGCCTGGGAAATATGACGCTAGATTGGAACATGTCTTTCCGGGAAGCTCTGCGCTCAACGTGGCAGAGTTGCATGCCCAGGACGCCTCCACGTTATCATAATCCCTTGCCGTTTTTGACTTGACGACTTTCTTTACGAGTGGCGCAATCTTGCTCTGAATTGATTCCATTAGGTCCCCTGACAAGAAGGCAGAGTACCAAAGATGCAGTATGATGAGACTCGCCTCCTCGGGGGGGGGGGAGGTGGAATGCAACCAGGAGAATGAGTAGGTTTCTTGAAACGACGGTTTAGTCCCTGTCGTTCACGTCGACATGGACATGTCCTTTATATTCCTCTGGAAGACAGACGATTGTTTTGACCAGATTTCGGGGATCACCAGACGCTGTCACATCTTAGCCTGGATCTATGAAAGGCATTACTCCTGACCTACCTGCCAAAGGTAGTGACAGATCACGCTTGGTGCTGATTCCTTCGTTGTCTCTCAACCGGAGAAGGTTCAATGACGGAACATTCCCCCATAAATATTTATTGCCCCCATACTTCACCATATCTGTGCCCATATCGTGATTGCTGTTTTCCACAAAATCAGGAATGCGTCTCTCCACTTCCCAATCTGGCTTCCAGGTCGGCTTTCAAAGGCTGTTGTTACAATGCAGCTTCTGGAAAGGCCAGTGCGCTAATTGACACTCTTGCGAGCAGTACTTGACCGCGTTAGCTTACGATAAAATGATGAGTATGGAGTATGGGACTTACCGCTACCAGCTGGCACCGACTGCAAGCTCTTGTGCCTTTCTCAGGACAGGAAGCCTGGCCATTCTCCTACAGTTGGCACAGGGTAGAAAATCCATCTTGAGGGGCAGTATCAGATCTGACTGCTCTAGATGGTGTGGGTAAAATGGAAGGAGGTTGAAGGGAGAGCAGCGATTATTAGGCAGTCATGTCTTTTTCTTTTTGAAGAAAGCGACTACACATACATCGACAAATCGTGATGGCGTTCAAATCATAGCCGCTGTTGGGCAACAATCCAAAATTAGCTCCCTGTCGCTGGCGCAGTACCGCCGCTAACCAGCTACACTTCTTAATATCCAATCAATCTAAGACTTGACAACGAGAGAATTGGCAAAGCCTCCCAGATAGTTCCCAAAGACTGCTATGTTCGTGTTCGACTCTTGTGTTCCAAGATGGAAGAAGCGATGTTTTAACGAGGTACGCCTCAGATCCATACATCTCGGTGCGCTTAGCGGTACGCCCGCAAGAACCCTACCAAGTAGAATGGGAAGATGGAATGACGCTCACCATGCCAGCCAAAGCCAGCGCCAAGGAGAAATTGGCAGTCTTGTTTACTGTCGGCGCTTACGGGGGCGCCAGAAAGCTGTGCGTGCAATATGGTACTTCTGTACCGAACAGTGACTACGGCAACCATTAATAGCAATCTCGATAGCATTCTGGATTAGGCATTAGTGAAAATCCCCAGTAATCATACTGGGAACAGCGAGATATTCCTTTGGATCCTCCCAAGAGCAGTTCACAATCCTAGAGAGAAAAAAAAAAGAAGAAAAAAAAAAAATACGCTTGGAAATTGCGTGTCTCTGGTACTGTACGGAAGCCTTCCACTCCTCAAAGTCGGAAGATCCGGGAGACCTCCACATAGTCTACGGACTGCTCGACCCTACCCTGACTATGCAACAGACTGAGGCTATCAGCATCTGCATAGCTCGTTCGTACGTGATTCATGTCCACAAGACCGACCCTGATGGCTATCGCCGGGTCAAGCCCATACTGGTGAGCAAATTGAGCTAGGAGTTCGTTTTCCCATCGGAAATCTAGATTAGAGAGCGCCACAGTTTTGCAAAACCCTTCAAAAGCGTCGCTGTTGGCGAATATCAAGAAGTGGCTGTATTTTAACCCGTCAGGATGGTCATACACTGATAATGGGTGGTAAGTACTGACTATGGACTGTTGGGATTCCAGCTCGCTAATTGACTGTGAGGTGTATACCTCCATCAGTTTCTGTGCCATCCTAGCTTTCAAGTAACCCACTTTCCGGTACTTTGCAACATTTACCTGGTACTAGTTATCCCATAACAGCTCTCACAACAAGAGGACGTTGTCACGTCGCGATACCCAATAGGGATTCGTTCCCCCGAGGGCACTTTTTTTGGTTACATTTGCGAATATCGATACTAGGGATATTAAGAAACATATAAGCTCATTGATTGTAACCACGCCTCCTATACCTATCAAAATGGCTGTTAGAAAGAGACAATCTAGAACGGGGTTATCAACGGAGCATACATACCAGAGCCCTAATATAACTGAATTTTAGGGAAAGCTCCCCAGAGGATGAGATTGACGGCAATTTGATGGAGAAAGAATGATGGCAACGGTGATATGTGAATAGTATGGAGAGAGCGGGCTTGGATTGCGCTAGTCTTGGTCTGGCAAGCCAAGTGAAGGCCTGCCACTATACTCTTGCGATGGAATACTATTGAGGTAAATTATGGGAGGGTATTATCCATGTTTTATGTAGTTACTGCTATGTAGTTACTACTTCTCTCGTCGGCTATCTGGTTCATCAAGGCGTTCCGTCCGCATCTCTTAATTTCTGCCGCATAAGCATCCGAGCGATCGCGGCAGTACAGTAAGCTCTTATGGTTCACATAATCAAGCAATTGTCATAGAAATAGGTTTTAATTGCGTTGGACGGCGGCTCCCGGCTGCAGAACTGCGTGTAGTCCCACAACCGTACTGCCTGCGCCTCTCCATCGGGTTCCTTCCACTCGTGCCGTGGGGGATATGGAGATAGATCAAACTCCAAATATAGAGAATACTTCTTTAAGAATGTGGCATCCCCTGACAGCAGACCATAATGTGGTTCGAGGAACCTGCCTTCCCGCAAACAGAGGTTGTACTCCTTGGGGCGGAATGCGTCGTCAGTGAACCAGAACTCATTCGTTTCCACCTTAGCCGTGTCAAAACCAAGAGATTTGGAAATACGTTGCTTTGTGAGGGTTATCTCGATTCTGAACTCGGCAACGATCTGTGGTTTCCTGCGTGGCAGGGTGTGAAGCCTGATAGGGTTCGGCGTGTGAGGGTGGAGAAACTTCCAGCGAAACACTGCATGACAAACGGCTTGGATGCGATAAACCTCACTAGCTAAAGAAGAAGTTAGTCAAGGAGTCGCTAGCCGAATGGCATGGTGCCTTCTCGCATTTCCCGTTCCGTCTTCGTTGAAGGTAATTTGCATCGGAAATTCCGAGTCATAGCCCCAGGTGTCGCTGGTCAATATTGAGAGTAGAGTTTCGTAGGTCATTGTGTTAGGATTACTCATGGTGCTGGAGGGGTGGTTAATGATTGCGAAGTTCTGTGGTTGAGTAGATCATCAAGGCAGCTGCAGACATTGCCCAATCCGGCTAGGCGCAGCTCTACTAGGGCACGAATATGTACCTGTCATTAATGTCTGCACCGTATGTCTAAGGGGCAGCCCTGCACACGAGCTCAAGCTATTCCATCCATCTGCATATGTATTATGCCGTCTCCATGCTAGACTGTACTGCTGGCTAGAACTTCTGTTTGTTGTTATGACAAAAAAAAAATCGGGCGACTGCAGCCAAAAGCAGGGATCCGGGAGGACCGTCTACGAAGATCGAAAGCGATAGGGGATATATAAATACCCCAATAAAAACTCATTCGCATCCTCTATTATTCTCCAGTCTCATCATTACTACTCCTTCTACATATCCGATCAACAAAGATGCAAGCCTTCAACAATCTCGCCGTTTTTCTCTTCATTACCACCAGCATTGCAGCTGCAATTCCCGGTCTCAACAGCCATGACCATCCCAGCCTCTCTCCGCGCGACCTTGGCTGCCCGGGTGTTAAAGAGTGTCAGAACCATGTAAGAATTCTTCAGTCTTTGTGTATCGCTTCTAAAATCAATTTACTGACAGCACTGAGCAGTGTAGGGGCAAAGGCTGGGACAACGGTATTTGCATTGACCTAGCGTAAGTCTCATATTCATCTCGATGCAAGACGGAGACTGACCAATGCAGTCATTGTCATTGTATCCAGCAGTAGGGGCAAGATGAAGACATGTCCTGATTTGGAATCAAGCAGTCTATTTATAGGTCTTCTGGAAGTTTTGTATCCTTGTCACTATATGTTTGAGGTCCTATTTTGTTCGTTTAAATGTGAAGGTGGTGATATGAAGCACGGATTGCACAAAATAAACCACATAAATTGTGTGGGAAAATCAGAAATACATTACAAGACTGATCACAAGTGAATATCATGTTATCCGAGCCTAATGATCTTGATTCAGTCCCTGAAGCTGGAAAACTGTTGGTGCGGTAGCCTTAAGATTAATTCGTCGACCATCATCGCTGTTTCAATGCAGCGGTCAATTTCAGAATTGGTCTATTGCAAGCATCAGGCCCAAGTGCTAATATTCAATTCTTTTACTATTCTTACTTGTACTGAGAGTGCTTCTATTACATGCTGAATATCAAAGGACAAATCTCCCAACTGAAGTCGAAGTCACTCAATTCATTATTGGCACGCCTTACGTGCCGGGGAAAGTGTCACTCTACAAAGTCACTCTCCTGAGTTGCAAACTCAGAGGTGTGCTCTATCACTGACTGTTGTCCAGTCTGAAGGCTATAACAAGACAAGCAGCAGTTCAAGCGATGATTCTGATTCAATCAAGGAAAACAGATTCATGAGGCTTCCCAATCCAGCGGATCCCACTTGCCATGCTATCCATCCTAAGGGAGACGAAAAAGGAACACATTTTTCAGTTGAAATAACTAACAATTGCACAACCAAACTGAGGCAGCTCTTGCCCGTACGGTCGACGACACGATATGTTTTTGTTGGGCGAAATTTTGTTAGTCAATTCTGGAATTTCTGTCACCCACACGAAATCAATATAGTCGGTTGCTCCAGGATTGGGATGGGCAACAAATGGGAGGAGAATCCCCCACCCATCTTCATGACTGTTGATCTTAATACCAACTCTGATTGGAAGGACGCTCATGAGCTGATCCTTGATATTCTGGGGATGTATTCCCTTTCGACAGTTGGGATAAGAATCCAGAAAGACCGGGTCCTCCGCTGTAGTAGTGTCCATAGGTAGACTCGCCTAGCCAAAAAGATATAAACCGGGAGATCAACAAGATTGTCGCTCGTATTGCTGAGATTGAATCAAAGAAAGTTTTCTTCGTGTTCAGGGGCTTCTTCAAGGGCCTGATTTATGGCTCCCGGAATGGGAGAAGAAGCATTTCAACGACGATGACCTCCCACTTTTTAAAGTGAGAAGATTCACGGGGCTCCCAGAGAGATAACATTCGGACAGGCCACCCCTATTATACATGTGCGACTATTCTAGCAGTCTCATTCCCAGTCTCTGCATCGTATTTGCCAAGCGACAAGCTTTCGAAAATATTACAAAGATCTGGATTCCTTACCAAGACGAAGTGATAGGACGCGACATCCGATGGACTGTGGAACTTAGACCGATTGTATACGCATCAAGAACAGCTTGCAGCCATAAGCCTCCTTCTTCGGGGGGAATATCATGTCAATGTGACAACTGTGACAGACGTCAGCATGCTTGCTGATTGTATACTTTGGTGCGACCCTGTGTTCAGGAAGAAAAATTTCGAGAGCCGCTCGATCGTTGTCGACGAATTCATCTTGCGGCACTGACAATGCGAATGTCGTGAACGAGAGGGATATTATGGAGATATAGCATAAAGCTAACAGTCATAACAGAAGGAAGCCCGTACTTACCAAAACAAGTAAACCCTCATATGGGACGCCCGCGTTAACCAAGTTGGAAGGGTGTTAGGCGAAAGAAAGCCTGGCCTATAATGAATTTATGGTCAGGCTCTACCTACCCCTGCCCGCCAAAATCCAGTTAAATGGGGGATGCTAAAGCCGGGGAACTACTGGCCAGACATTTTGGGAAGCAGCTAAAAGCCGCCAACGTAGCAAGCAAAAGGCAGAGATTCTAAGGAAACATCAGTACTAATACAAGAGAAGCATCACAACGTCATGGAAATGAATACCCCAGCAATCACCGAGATAGCCAGGGCAATAGCAATAGCAAGGACTGAAGTCACCGCAAAGCATGCAGTGAAACCCATGAGGAAACCGGTAAAAACGGCGATTAGATCTCCAATCGAGCTACAGCCCTATAACTGAGGTTGCCTTATGAATTCCTAGTCTTCAGGAAGACCTGGGAGACGAAAAAGCCTACACTGAAAGCGCTTAGCCACAAGAGTCTAAGGAATCTACCCCACGCATAATCCAGCTGGGTGGAATCCCAGTTCCCACCAGTCAGTAACCATTCTACTACCTTCAGTGCCCGTTCTACAATTGCCAAACCCAGATCTGCGTCATATTCACGGCCGTGCAACGTTCGAGCAGTCGTGGATTCCCGACGACGATGAAGATATTTGCCGGCAGCAGGACCACCTTGCTCAGTACATAAACCACCACGGATTCTACCCGAGGCGGACGATTCTGTTCTACGGTCTTGTATGTTATTATTGGTGATGAGTCTAATGTTGTGTTTCCTATAGCGAACAGCCACTCACGAGATTATGTATAGTTAATTTCGGTCCTCGGATGCTGAACCTTGGGGTCTTCAAGTCGATGATGTCAATAACCGGCCCGTGCTTCCTTGTGAAGAAAGTTCAGAAATAAGTCAGTTGGAGTAAACACACGGACGTAGTATCCACGGCAATTAGGTTCGTACCGGGACATCAGTAGTCCAACACTCTATGGTAAGGGTGTATGTGTGCTTGCCCATGGGATAAGGTGTCGAGTTGCGGCGGTGTCACCGTACAAGTAAGTATACGCCGACGCGTGGTTTGATACTGTAACATTGTAAGAACAACCAATTCAATTGACACGTTATGAATCAGAGAAACTAGATAATTAAGTGAGATATAATAAATCATAAATACTATAACGCGTCCGGTAATTGAAAAGAATGTTCTCATGTATGTAAGTGTTGGGTGTGTGTGTATTCTCCGTCGTCCGGACGGCCCCAAAACAAACCCGCTCCGGGCTCCACACTGCGTTCTTACACGCTTTAGTCTTTTCTTTCCTTGACCTCGTCTTTGTTTCTCCCAAGTCACCCTCTCTACAGTTAAAGAGGCAGTCTCTCTGTTTACCCACGACACGCTCGAATTTGGGTGGGAGAGAAGGATACAAACCGGGTCTCTCCTGTCTCCCTTTTCCGCCGCCTTATTTTACCTACTCCTCTTCTTATCCCACACCGTGTATCATGGCCCTCTAACTCTCTAGCAACCTTGTCTCTTGTCTGCCAGACGTGTAGCACGTCGCGTGCTCAGCTCAGACCAACCGGTTTTAACGCTACTCTCGTTACGAATCTCTCAGTCCCTCCTGAGCGTCGCGTATCGTTACCCTCCCATGGCAGCAGTATCCATACCTCCTTCACCGCAAACGACCCTCAACATGTCCACACGCCGACCTCCTCTCGCCAACGTCTCCAATGCCACCAATTCCCCACTCCGGATGGGGGGTACGGTTCCTGCTAAACGGTCTAGGACCGCCAGCACACAACTCGAGATCCCTTATGGACAACCACCCCCGAAGAAACAAGTGATTGATGGTGTGGAGCAGGATGTACGGTCTCCGACCCGGGCGAGGTCTACGGCTCATCAACAACCGGGAGACTCGAGGATATTCTCGCGTCGGTCGAATAATGGCCAACCAAGCGCGTTTGAACGGAAGTTGTATGCTGCACGAGAAAAGGACCGGCAGACCGCTACGAAGCCAGTTAGGAATGAGAAGCCGTCCGCAGAGACTCTTGATACGATCCGTCAGTGGCAGAGACATTACCGGAAAGCATTTCCGACCTTTGTTTTTTACTTTGATAGCATTCCTGAAGATGTTCGGGGAAGATGCTCGAGGCAGGTCAATGCTTTGGGAGCGGTGAGTTGCATGTTCTACTTCGGTCGTGTGTACTGCGTGGTTCAATGCTGATGGCCACAGCGCGAAGAGAAATTCTTCTCGCGTCTAGTAACCCACGTCGTGACCTCTCGTCCAATCCCTCCGGAATCCGCAGTCAATCCTCCAGAAAATAGCAGAGCCTCCGTGGACCACACATCTGGTGGTGATGGCTCTTTGCAAACGGTAAATCCATCCCTCCTAGAGAGAAATCCTGAGATGCATGTTCATACCTCCCTTAAGAATGATGCGCGACGCGAGCAGATGAACATGGATGTTCTGCACAGAGCTCGCCAGATGGGAATGAAAATATGGGCACTCGAAAAATTACAGCGTATGATTGCCACTATCAACGATCCGGATATCAGTGGCCATGACACTTCGAACCGTAACAACGGCGCTGGTGGGAATCATGTCCGAGGAAGGGAAAACGATCTCTCGCAAGTTCTACGGAATGAACTTGTCAACGGGCCTTCGGATCGGGACCATCTATCCTCATTAAAGGAGCTTGTGATGTTCAAAGGTCCATTCATCTACGTCCACGACATGAACGAAAAGACGCGTCCGGCGATGGTCCGGGAATACGCCAAGGCAGCACGGCGGCAGGATGGCGTCTGGCCTCAATTCCGAAGCGCGCCACTAGGAAAGTGTCCCTTCATCGACGAACCCCCGACGAAGAAGGAGATGGATCGGCAACGGATACGTCAACACGCAAAGGAAAAGAAGGTGGCTCCCAAGCCAGCCCCTGTTCAAGAAAACAGAGACCAAGAATTCGCTGTCCTGGAAGACACCGTTTCACAAGAACCTGCTGATGGCGTCGCTAGCAATGAACATAAGCCTAAGAATGAGCAAGAAGCTGCTCCACCACGACAACCAGAAATGCGGGATATGGTGCCACCAAGGCTAGGGTCACCTCCGAGGAAGAGCTCAGAAAGTTTTATCCCTCCGCAGATGCCGCGCAACGGGCCATTTTTCCTTGGCCGTGAACCTGCGGCCTCCGGCATGCAGCCGTCGAACATCACTTCCGCCATCCGGTCACAAATGGTTTCTTCTGCTGCTGCTGCACCCGGAGCCAAGGCCGGTCTGAGCAAGGAAGTCCACGAGCTGAAGAGAAAAGTACTCGAGAAGGGCAACGGACTTTCTGGTGCAGTTCCTCACGGTGCTGCGGATGCCACATGGAAAATGAACCAGGGCCAGCGACCAGGGAAAGCCAATCCGCAGGAAAAGCCTGACGCGACCCAGCCGGAAGCGATAAAGAAACAGTCTCGCGATCGAAAGGACAGTATTCAAAAGAAGGAGAGGCCAAGGGATCCGAAGCCAGGATACTGTGAGAACTGCAGAGACAAGTTCGATGACTTTGAGAAGGTAAGTCTTGCAGTGAGATAGTTATCGATCCTGTTACTGATTGCATCGTTCTAGCATACTCAAACGCGGAAACACCGCAGATTTGCGCTGACCACGTCCAACTGGGTTGAATTGGACGACTTGCTGTTTGAGTTAGAGAGGCCAGTAAAGGATGAGTATATGGACGAGCATATTTAGGTTTCAGTGATATGCACTTTCTTATCCACGGATTTTTACGAACTACCTATAGCGATGCCCCGTTTCGTTTTACAGCCATGTCCCTCGACCCCGATGATGGCACTATTTGCACCTCCGATGGGACAAGATGAGTGTGAGAGTATTGTACATCCTCATTGGCGCGGATCGGGCCATCCATCATTATCTGGACCGGTATGTCTCGAGACGTGCATCAGGTTTATCCTCCCGTCATTATTCATTTCTTTCTTCGACCGCATTCTTGTTGATTCATATTTGATATTCACCTTTGCATCTTATGAAGTCGGTGTCTGGAATATCATTTGTCTTGTTTTATTCTTGTGACCGTATGAGCCTAGAACCCGCCGGTTACTGGCTCATGGTCATTTTGCATTATTTGATGCATTGTGTTTTCAATTGGCATACATACCCGGAAGGACCTGGGGAGGAACTTATTCATTTCTTTTTCTTTTTGGTCAGACATACGGGGATGAATCTAACCCTGTACTTTCTTTTCACTTTCTTTTCCTTTTCCTTTTTCTTATATCTTCTGTTTCCATGGACGGTGGTTATGGTGGGGTTGCATTTAAGGGGTGGCTAGTTTGTATGGTTAAAGCAAAGGCTTCGATTAGCATAGGTTAGTCAATACAGTGTACGTAGTAACAGAAATCCATCTACAAGCATACACATCCTCACTCAACTCAGCACTTCTCAACAGACTTCACAGACCCCACAGCAACAGTCCTCCCCAAATCCCTCACAACAACCCTCCCAAGCGCAGAATAATCAGAAAGCCCCTCAACACAGAACGGCGTCATCCTAATCATAGCAGCCTGCACATTCTTCGCCTCCTTCCTCCCAATCCGCCGCCCAGCCCGTGCCTCCATCGTATCCAGAATCTCGAATCTGCACGGCGCCCGACCGGTCCCGCAGTGCACACCAGGCGTATACCTGGACTTGATATTATCGGGGTGACTGGTGACGATGATCTGCGCCGTAAACGAGGAGCAGTTACTTGCGGGGTTGTCGGAGTCGCTAACGACCTCGCCACGGCGGATATCAAGGTCGTCGCCGTCGGAATCCGTGTAGCCAAAACATAAGCCTACGATGGCACCCGTGCTGCACTCGTCGAGGGACTCGTGGTGTTGCTGCATGGATTGCACGGGGATGTTATTCGGGGCCAGGGTCACGTACATCCCAGGCCAGCAGGTCCCCGCTACAACGGTGCCGGTGACTACCGTACCGACGTTGGGGGTGTGGCAGACGTTTTGGATAGGTAGTCTAAAGGAACCCGTGGGTTTTTGGCCAGGGAGGTGCATGTCATCGATGGTCTCGAGGAGGGTTTTCCTGGGATATTCCGTAATCCCATTAACATACCTCGACCAACCATGGTACCAAGACGAATCAGCCGAGTCCCTAGCCTCCGAGATATTATCCCCATCCAGACCAGAAATAGGCACAAAGGGGACCTTATCGCTGTTATAGCCCAGTCTGTTAAGAATAATTTTAGTCTCGTCGACAATCTCATTATCGAGTTTATTGAAAATCCAAGCGTATTTGGACGATTCCCATCCTGCGTTGGAGGCTTCCTATGCAGATGTGTAAGTTGTCTAAACCAAGCTCCATCGTCGATGGATGTTCTTACATCTTCAAGATCATCCATGGTATCCTCATCGACGGCACCGAACTCGAGCATCATGTGGCCTATTCCATTTTTTCAAAATTCAAAGTATAGCGGAGACTATGGGATATGTATGCTTACCAGCTGTGGCTGACTTTCCGGAATCAAAATGGCCGTTCTGCTCTTTTCGCCTGAGCTGTATAGTCGAAGGGCTAGTGGGCTGTATATTGTGCAATGGTCAGGTTCTCATTGCTATTTCACCCCATTGTGAAATTCTGATTGTTTACTGATTGTTTACTGGTGACCAAGAGCGAACAGCCTTGTCCGGGAGGATGGTACAAACGGGAGAATTTGAGAGATATACGAAGTGGAAAAGCAAAACATGCGGCAGGAAAGGGACTCGGTATAAATAAGAGTCACTCAGGTGATACGGACTGCGAAGTTGGGTAGAACTACCCCACTAGTCTTCAGCTCACTACTCTGCACGAAGTAAACACCAAATAACAGTCCAAGATAGCTCGCCGTGTACGCTGGTGGTAGTTCTCCAGATCATAAAGTGGCTGGCTGTCTTTTAGCTGGGGACCATTTCGAGCATCAGATCAACAGATGAGAGGTTGGTGTACGGTGTACAGCCCTTGAGTGGATCCTTCAAGCATGATTACTCGCGCTGGTATTGACAGAGCCGTGGTAGACGCGTGGTATTGCGCTTGCTGGTCATATTCTGTTTAATACGGAGATTCAACAGAGTAGATGGAGTCATATCGCACGGACAGTTCTAGCTGTACGCAAGATCGTCTTTGGTCAGACAAAGAGTCGGGCATTGTTTTCGAGCAAGATTTCACCATTCTGCTGTCTTTTCTAACTTTATTCTGATGCTTCCATCCGCCATACGGGATACGGAGTATGGAGTACATCAAACTGATATGTATAGTCCCAAGAGTATGGTACCCCAGACTGCGGTCCCCGGACCGGAACAACCCCATCCCCGGCGGAGAAAACAAGCACATCCTCGGCACAAAAACCAGCGCATCCGCCTACCGCCCGCTCAAAAACCGGCAGAAAAAAGATATGCAACAACAAAGAAGACTGACAAAGAAAATGGGACGCCGATGCTCGGGACTACGCGGCATATACCAGCACGTCGATAATTAATAAAGAAGAAGTTCCCCTGAGTCGGTCTGCGGAGGGGATTGGAATCGATATAAACCTGGGGATATCTTGCTGTTTGATTTTAAGGATCTGAGACCTGGAAAATCCTGCGTTATCTTATCCATTTGATTGATCTGATTGATCGATTGATTGATCTGTGACGACATTATACCGCATTCGGACGTTTGTCGCGTGGTCCATACTCTACATACAGACTTGACAGGATACGGAGCATACGAGACGATTAGTACCGTTTCTATTTGATCACTTCTGTTTTACTGCATCATGGCATCCCGAACAGCCACAGGCTACCTCACCCACTCCCTCCGGTCCATCAGACCCCGGGTATCGGTACCTACAACCAGAACAACACCACTACTCACCACCTCCTTCACACCCCCATGCTACACCCCAACCACAACCACACGCCACAGCTCCCACTCCCCCATGGGCTCAACCCCCAGCAACCCGCGCAAAAAAGTAACCCTGCAAACCCTCCGCAATCTCTACAAAAAGAACGAGCCGATCTCCGTGCTCACAGCGCATGACTTTCCCAGCGGACATATCGCCGAGGTTGCGGGGATGGATATCGTTCTTGTAGGGGATAGTTTGGCGATGGTTGCGTTGGGGATGGAGGATACGAGTGAGGTTGTGTTGGAGGAGATGTTGTTACATTGTAAGAGTGTGTCGAGGGCGGCGAAGAGTGCGTTTACGGTGAGTTGCCTTCCGTTGAATGGGGTAGAAAGTGCTCAATGCTAACGATGGCAGGTTGGTGATCTTCCAATGGGCTCTTATGAGATTTCCTCCGAGCAGGCGCTGCAGTCTGCTATTCGGGTTGTGAAAGAGGGTCGTCTGCAGGGCATCAAGCTTGAAGGAGGGGAGGATATGGCTCCGACAATCAAGCGCATCACGCAGGCTGGTATCCCCGTCTTGGGCCATGTTGGTCTCACGCCTCAGCGGCAAAATTCTCTCGGTGGATTCCGGGTTCAGGGCAAGTCGACGGCCGGCGCGTTGAAAGTGCTGAGAGATGCCATTGCCGTGCAAGAAGCCGGTGCCTTTGGGATGATCGTCGAGGCGGTTCCTGCTGAAGTTGCGGCGATTGTCACCAAGAAACTGAAAGTTCCAACGATTGGTATCGGTGCTGGGAATGGGTGTTCGGGACAGGTTCTCGTTCAGATTGACATGACTGGCAACTTCCCGCCGGGGAGGTTCCTTCCCAAGTTCGTCAAGACGTATGCTGATGTTTGGGGAGAGGCGCTTAAGGGTATTCAGCAGTACAAAGAGGAGGTCAAGAGTCGGGCGTTTCCGTCGCAGGAATACACCTATCCCATTTCGCAGGAGGAGCTCGCGGAGTTTGAAAAGGCTGTTGATCAGGCTGGCTCCGAATGATTGCATATCGGTCTTGTTTTTCTTCGTTCTGTAACGTTATTGTCATAATTGTATCTAGCATATTATCGGCGGTCGGTTCTTCCGACGCAGCATGTATCTCATTAATCGTTAAATATGTCGATAGCTACTTAGCCGAACGCAGGCGTCATTGAATATGCAACAATAAGCTGCTCATCCGTTTTGAAGCACTGTAGACATTAGCACTCATTCTCAGTATCATAGCTTCGAAGACATACCCTCCATAACCCACCAACACCCTCATCCAACCCAGGCGCAAAAACACTGTTAACATAACAAAACACCGAATCCGTATCTTTGCAGTCCAACTTCTTCCTCAAAAACTTAACAACCGTCTCGAACTTCTGCGAAGCACTAATCTTAAACACCCGATTCTTAAGAATAGGCGCTGACGGCAGAGGCTGGAAGCGAACCGTGACTGTCAAAATTAACATAATCCTTTCAACTCATCTCGCTCTGAGAACTGCGAGAGGACGGGAGGCATACCCTTCCCCGTATCAATATTCTCCGCATCCGCCAACGCCTGATGCGCATCACGCGGCAGACTAGTCAGCACCACGGACGCGGACATGGTCATGGGCATATCGGCGCCATGTTCTTCATCCGGGATGGGTGTATTGTTATTGTTGCTGCTGGTTCTGCTTTCGGGTGAGTCTGTTTGGCGTCGACTGGCTGGTCGATGGCTTAGTGTGGAGGTGCTCGGGTTGGCGTTTGAGGCTGGGGAGGTACGAGCGGAGGGGTCCATGGTATTTTGATATTCAAAGTTGTGGAGTTATGAGGTAGAGAATGGTGAGATTTAGATAACTGCGTGGAAGTAGTGGATAGGCGATGTATGTGTGATGATGGTTGGAGGTTGGATTGGAGGGTCTAATGAGGTCACATGCAGCATCACAACATCGCATCAAGCACGTATACAGTTAAATTCAGTAGACAATTTCCAGCACATCAAAATTCAACGTCTGGATTATCTCAAAAGGAGGATAATGGAGAGTATGGAGAGGAGTACTCCGTAGCGGACTATGCAGTTCGGAGGGCACCGCACGCTTGGTTCGTAGAATAGCAACACAACTCAATTTGCACTACAACATACTTTCCAGGGGCATATTAGCATTTAATTCTCCTCTAATTTCTCCTCTTTTACTGGCTTGTTCTGTATCGTTCCAATTCTTCAGCGCTGAGTCAGCGCAGCCACCTAACACTCTGCCCGAACTAAACCCAAAACAGCATCCATCATCGTTACTATCATGCCCGCCTCACCTCACCATCTCACCACTTCACCTCATCTCGCTGCCCTACTCTAATTCTCTTTTCCATCTCTCGTTTCTTTTTCTATACCACATCCCGGACCCTACCGGACCTTCCTTTCTTATCTTCACCCTAACCTTCCACTCCAAACCGGATTTCCCCCTCCCCCGCAGTTCCTTTCCCTTCCCCCCACTTCACCCTTTCACCTTGGGGGAACGATAACACGACTTCGGATAAAGACCCTTTGGATATTTTTACGGTTACCATACCTTTCTGATATACGGCTTCTTTTGGTCTATCTTGCGACTTCAAAATGAGCAGCCCAAAGCGAAGAATCGAGACGGATGTGAGTGACCGGAATATACCCGGACTTATGGACGAAGCAAAATGGGCTGACCTGTGTGCTTTTTTCTCGGTTCTATAGGTTATGAAGTATGCGATATTACCGCTCCGAATATATGCTTACAGGAATCATGGCTAACCTTTGAACAGGATGTATGCGCTTCCCCCGATGCCCGACGGCGACCCCTCCCCCGCGACGACCCTTGTCGAATGACACAGACCTCCGGAAGATAACTACGAGATGGAAAATTGTACTGATGCTTTGCATAGGTTGATGAGTGACTATGAGGTGACTTTGGTTAATGACAATAGTGAGTTCCGCTGGTAATTGCCACCATTCATTACAAGTGCTAACCGACATAGTGTACGTCCCACTACCCCCACGCTCAATGCGCAAGTTAGACGGGAGGATATTAATATCGGCGCAGGCAAGAATTCTACGTGCGCATTAAAGGCCCAGACGAGAGTACGTATCGCGCAACCCCAAACTCATCCCTCACTAACAACCACAGCACCCTTCGCTGGCGGTCACTGGAAGGTCCACGTCGAATTACCCGATCAATACCCATACAAGAGTCCAAGCATCGGTTTCGTTAACCGGATCTTCCACCCGAATATTGACGAGCTGTAAGTCTCTCAGCCTGCTATTGTTGGATTATACTGACTTGCGCTTAGTTCCGGATCGGTCTGCCTGGACGTGATTAACCAAACGTGGTCGCCTATGTATGACATGATCAATATCTTCGAAGTCTTCGTTCCCCAACTCCTGCGTTATCCGAACCCTGCCGATCCTCTAAACGGCGAAGCTGCCGCGATGTTGATGAGAGAACCCAAGACTTATGAGGCTAAAGTGAAGGGTATGTCATGCCATAAACTGTTTTCCCTGAGGCACATGCTTACAGCAACAGAATACGTGGCAAAATACGCCAGCAAAGACGCTGTCGACGACGCCGAAGAAGACACCGAGTCCGAAGACGAGCTAAGCTCCGCCGGTAGCTACGAATCTGGCGGCGAAGAGCCCGCCGGCACAATGGACGACGTCTAACCAATTCTTTTTTCCCTTCTTGTTTGATCATCTGGTCTCTTATATACTGCATCCTCATCATCATCCCCCCCCCCCCAATCTATGCACTTCGTTTATGTCTAGGGATCGAGCTGGCGTTACTTCGAGATGGAGTTTTTTTTTGACATATATGTATCTGGCGCACCTGAACTACGGCGGTCGTGGAAATGGAGTCTCGGATTGGACAAGCTCATCTCTCGGATTTTGTTGATTCCGCCGTCTTTTTTTATATTGTTTTTGACACTTTTTACTTGAAATTTGCAGATGTTTTAGCATATAAATACGCATTGCGATTTATGCTTCAGATTCTACCATGATACTGTCCACTAAGCATGGAATATAGAATGGCACCCAGTTTGCAGTATCTCCAGGATCATGTTGTAAAAAGAAAACGTAAACGATTGTCTTGTACTCTATCTAATGCGCAATGCAAATGGTCTGGCGCCCACTCAGAACAAATAATGAAAAGAATAGCGAAGGATGCAGTCTGACAACAGAAAGAAAACGTAAGAGACGCACATGCGAAAACACAAACACAAGGAAATAAATGTGCCCAAGGCCAAAAAATGTAGAAGGGAAAGGGGGTATTATGACATCGCTGCAAAGGAGAAAAATGAAAGAAGAAAGAGACCTGTCGACCGGCGACCCGAAACGAACGAAAGGAACTTTCAGATATGCCAATAAACCGATGCGAACTGAGGTCAGAAGACCTATCATGTAGGGTCGTCACTCAGTATCAAGGCACCTGGAGTCCACCAGAGATATTTGCGACGGCCCTCACGAAACCTGCAAAACACCAAAAACATCACGCCCATTCTTCCCACCCGCTTTTGCTCCGCGATCCTTTCTCGGATTGATAACGACCTCGCCCCAGTGTTTCGGTACAGTACCCGTGCCATTATCGGAAGCGGTATTCGATGACGCAGTGGAGGGCGCGGTTACAACGACGGGCGGGTCATCTGCGGTGCCTTCTCGGGATCCTGAATTCGAGCGAGGCAGGGTTGCGCGGGGTTGGAGGTGAGGTTGGGGTTGGAGGGACCAGATGTCGATGACGGATCTGTTTTAGACTGTTAGTAAGAGATGGTAGGGTGGTTAGTTACGGAGGATGGAGGACGCACTCGGAGGTCCGCTGGCAGATGGCTTCGAGAGCTTCTCGTTCGCGCTTGATGGACTCTGGATCCGGGTGGTTCGTTTGATTCGCATGGTTGAGGGCGCCGTAGCCGTAGCCGGATTGGTAAATGTCATCGTCTAAGAGGCGGGTGGATTCGTACTGTTTCAACTCATGTTAGCAGACAGTCCTTTGCTTATCTCCTCGTGGGGACACGAGCGAAGAAAACGCTCATTCCCCACACCGCGCAACTGGGAAACTCACATCATTGTGGTCCCGGCGACCCTGACCCAAACAAGAAGCGCAGATCCCCATTTATGATATTGTTGACGGTAGCAGTCGCAAAAGTGCTGAAATCGAAAGAATGAATGGACGCAGCCCAAGGGAGGCGATGCGGGTTCGTAGAGTATATACGGGATGGAAGATACACAGAATAATAGAGTAGTCGAAGGTTAAAAGAGAAGCAATGAGAGTAGAATAGATAGAAGATGGATACACCAGCAGGTGATGCTGGGGGGTTGGGTTACAAAAGGAAAGAAATCCATCAAATCGCAGGTGATCGGAATGGGAGACGGTCGCGGGTTCCGAATGGCCGGCGGCACGTGCGTTGAGATGACATCGGTTTCTTTTTTGGGATTCACAACAACAAAAGCATTCGACATTCAATAAACCCAGGTTTGATTTGTTTATGCAAGATATATGGTTTGCATTGCAGGTGCACGTTCACTGCTGTGGCATTGACATATGACAGTTCTAAAGAGGCCTGGTTCTGTGCTAATTCCCCTTGCTTGTAGCACATCGGGATACTTATGTAGGTACAGAGTACTTATCCAGCAGTCGAATTCTAAGTGCTTTATTCTTTTTAGCGGGTTGTCAGACCCTGTCCAACTACAAGGAGAATACCTCATCGGACGTAGAATCCGTCAGTGTGCCGATAAAAGGGGACTTGATTGACCCCAAGTCATACCTTTAATATAATCAACCTTCGTAAATGCTACTCATAGAAAGCAATATCCTCTATACTATGTACGAGCAAGATGTATTCCGTACTTGGTTGCTGTTTGATAGATCTATGCCAAGGCTTCCGACGAGCTAAAACATACCCGCCAATCAGTGACTGTGTATTGCTTCTTTATGGGGCACGCCCTGTGACATGGACCCACTGCGTCGATCTAGAGGGTTTGTATGGAAAAGTACGCTTCTATGACGATGTCCATATGTAGAGTAAGGGTATATTTAAATGAATCCGCTCCCTCTTATTTCAAGTTTTCCTCATGCATCAATTAAGCTCGCTACGCAATGGCATCTACACAGCAACTCTCGACAGCTGTCGAATTACAAGATAATCCAGGTCAAGAGAGACAGCTCAAGCCTCAAGCCCCAACTACAGCACCCACTTCAGACAATGTTATGCAAGCATCCATTCTCGCAGACTCTGAGGTCCCAGACGGAGGTAATGGCTGGATCGTCATCTCAGGATGCGCAATGGTTACTTGGTGGGTTACGGGAACAGCATATTGTTGGGGAGTTCTTCAGGCTGCTCTGGTGAAGGAGGGAGTATCATCATCATCTACCTTGTCATTTGTGGGATCTCTGGCTCCGGCTTGTATTTCGTTCTTGGGAATCATTAATGCTCGTGTCATCCGTATCATTGGGACACGGGTTGCTGGTCTCTTTGGTATTTTCTGTCTAGGGCTGGGAGAGATACTGAGCGGGTTTGCATTTCGAAATATCGGCGGACTTTTTATGACTGCAGGTGTCATTATGGGAATTGGCATTAGGTACGGATAATCCTGATATCTTGCGCGTCAGCTAACAGTATAGCGTCTGTTTCATGGTTGTCTCTGTGATTCCAGCGCAATACTTCAAAACCAAGCGCGGCGTTGCAAATGGTATTGTCTACGCAGCCGGAGGCCTCGGAGGCGCAGTGATCAGTTTTATTCTCAACGCACTGCTCAACAGCCTAGGAACAGCATGGACATTCAGAATTCTCGGTTTCATCACTCTGGCCACAGGCTTGCCAGCGGCATATCTAATCCAACAACGGGTTCCAATCCCTCCAACCAAATTCGTTGAGTGGTATATCTTCCCTAGCAATCAAGGATCAGATTGACAGATGCTAACCCCCCCAGGCGCCTATTCCGCGACGTCCGCTTCATCCTCCTCTTCGTCGCCAGCGCAATCGCAACCTTCCCCCTCCTTGTCCCAGCATTCTACCTCCCCCTCTACACCAACGCAATGGGCATGAACTCCAGCGTCGGTGCCGCCATGGTCGCCGCATTCAACTTCTCCTCCGCAATTGGGCGTCTTCTCTGCGGTCTCTGCTGTGATTCCGTAGGTCCGCTGAACACGCTCTTCATGTCGTTGTTGCTAAGTGCGCTGAGCATGTTGATCCTGTGGCCTGTGTCACAGTCTATTGGTCCTTTGATTGTGTTTGTTATTATTAATGGGATGGCGAATGGGGGGTTCTTTTCGACTATGCCGACTGTTGTGGGGAATGTTTTTGGGTCGGCGAGGGTTTCCGTGGCTATGGGGATGGTTGTTACGGGGTGGGCTGGGGGGTATCTTCTCGTATGTTCCCATACCTTGAACACATGAGCAGGGTTAACCAAACTGATGGTTTAGGGCGCCCCCATTGCAGGATATATATTGGATGCCGCTGGCGGTGAAGACAATGGTCTGAAGGCATATCGTCCATCGATTTTCTATGCAGGAGGAATGGCTTTAGCTGCGGCAGTTTTGGCAGCGGGTATCCGGTTGAAGACAGAGAAGAGTCTGACTAAGAAGCTTTAGTTGTAACTAGTTAACTATAATTATGTTGTTGTTAGATAGTTCTCTTGATGTTGTATGGACTCTTGATGTTGTATGGACCTCCGATACATTCGGGCCGTGGCCGTAACGCTACCCCGATGTGGAAAAAGACTTGGCAATTTTCATGCCGCACTATCAATCTCTCAACTCCTCATCTACAGTTCCACGAGGGGAACTCCAACAATCAATCCATTAATACCCGTATTTAATCACCCCGTTACTTAGAGAACACATATCAATCCCCCGAAATGTTCGACCTCCCAGAAGCAAAACGGTACGTTCACTCGCAAACCACACTCAATCCACATCCACTTCAACGAAGCTAACATCTCAACCAGCGTCCGTCGCGATGAAATCCTTTCCCGCGAATCCACCTCCCCATCACCCTCTCCACCACCAGAAACAGCATATCAAAATGGTCACCAGCGTCTAGCCGAACTACTCAACTTTGACGTCGACGTCTTTGCGCCTGAGCAGACAACCGCTGCGAACAACGAACCAGACCACGCAAAATCAGAGCAGCAACAAGGAGGAGGAGAAGGAGAAGGAGAAGGAGGAGAAGACGAAGAACAAGAATTCGAATTCCGGCTCTTCAGCGCACCGAAACCATCCACCGCGACACCCACCGCACAGAAAGATGAGAGGAAAGGCGAAGCCGGCGCAACACAAACACAAACCCAGAAACTACGAATCCGAGTACGCTCACCAACGCCCGGCCCCGCGGATCTGTCAGAGGGGAGATTCGTGAATCCATTCCGCGGATGGCAGTATTATTTCACGAACCCGGGTTTGTTATCTGGTTCGAAGGAGAACGGGGACGGGGACGAAGATGACGAGGTGGAACTGAAACGGAGACAATTTGAGGATGTCGCTGTAACTGGAGAGCATATGTTGGATTGGGCTAGCGTGCAGCCTTGGGTGAGTACCCTCTTACCACAGTATCTATCTATTGCATTCGTTTCTAATAAAGTATCGCAGCCCGGCTGCCACCTCCCTTGGCGCATAATTCACCTCAAGCGCCAACACACCAAACTACCCAAAGACCCCGCCGCTCCCACCCCCGCAACCACAGTATACACAACCGATCCCCCAACAACAAGAACGCCGAAATCCCACAAAAAGCCTGGTAAAAAGCGCCGCATCCAATTGCGCAAGCGCGTGACGGCCGCGGAGACGGCGAAGCTGGCTGATTCGGAGAAGCGGAATCGCAAGAATCGCGAGAGGAAGATTAAGCGCAGGCAGAAGGCGAGGGAGCAGAAGGCTGCGGCGGCGATTGCGAATGGGGAGGATCCGGATGTTGTTATGGCGGAGGGGGATGGGGATGGTTCATCTGGTGAGGAGTAGTCGGTTGAAGGCGGTTGGCCTGATTTGTGTAGCTTGATACCCTTGTAGTGGAACAGTGCATCGATTACTGAACGAAGACGGTATATTCAACATTGAATTGCGTGATATAAACAACTAAGGGTATAATTAGACCAACAAAATCCACCATGGAACCCAGCAGGAATGGGTATCTAATGCTAGGTATAAACATAGACTAAATCAAACGCGCGAGAAACAAGAAACAAAAACAAATTAGGTCATGCCCTTAACCGAAGGCTATTGCTTGGGTGCTTCAGCTGCGAAGGTTAGCATAATTCTCCAGTAGAAGAGTGTAAAATGGACTCACTCTTTGCCGGCTCAGCGGATTCGGCAGGCTTCTCAGATTCAGCGGCCTTGGGCTCAGCTGGCTTCTCCTCAACTGGCTTCTCAGCTTCGGCGGGCTTTTCCTCAGCAGGCTTTTCCTCGGCAGGCTTCTCCTCGACAGGCTTCTCCTCAGTAGGCTTCTCCTCTGTAGGCTGAGCAGCAGGTGCTTCAGTGGCCGGAGCTTCTGACTTAGGCGACGGGGGCGAAGCAGGAACAGGAGCGGGGGCAGCAACCGGGGCAGGGGTCTCAGTCTTTGTTTCCGCAGCCGGGGCGGGAGCGGGAGCGGCAAGTTCAGCGGGAGCGGCGGCCTCTGGCTTTTGTTCTTGGGCGGGAGCGTCCGTCTTGGGCTCAGAAGCAGGGGTCTCTGTGGCGGGAGCAGGAGCAGCAGCCTCTGGCTTGGCCTCTGTAGCGGGAGCTTGTTCAGGCGCAGGAGCCGGTGCGGCAGCAGTGTCTGGTTTTGTTTCGGTGGGTTGCGACGCTTCTGCGGGCTTGTCGGCAGGCTTGTCAGCGGGAGCAGCGGCCGGGGCTTCTAATTCTGCACAAAAAAAGCGATTGTTAGCAGGAATTGAGGTGAAAGAATTCTAAGAAAAACCTACCTGTGGGTTGTGCAGGTGCTTGTTCCGCAGGCTTGGATTCAGCAGCAGGGGCAGGGGCAGGAGCAGGAGCAGGAGCAGCAGGAGCACCGGCAGCAGCACCACCAGCAACGGTAGTCTGCGTAGTAGGCTTGGTCTCTGCAGGGTTTCCTGGAGGCTGTTCCTTCTGCTTCTTAGCATCCTTCTTCTTGTTACGAAACATGGCCTTGAGGCCCTTCTTCAACTGGGAGAGAGCGTTGGGAGCTTGCGCGGTTAGCGAACGAAGAAGTATGCAAATATGGCAGGGATATACTCACGAACACCCGGCATTTTGACGGTTGATGATAAAAACAGCGAAAAATCAACAGAAAACTGTATAAAACTGGCTAGGAAAGCAGTGTGAAGAGGAAACGAAACAGAGTAAGGAGCTCGGGGTCGAGATCAACAGCGCGACGGAGGTTATTTATTGGCATCCCACGTGACGGCTGACACGGACGTCAATATCCCGACTCCTTTTCTTGTAACTATTGGTTTTTTTTCTCTCTCCTGTTCTTTTCTCGAACGATGGACGGACCACAGCCCCTCCTGAGCTTTATCACCCGCCGTCAAACCCCACATTCCATCAATGCGTGGCAGTTATTGGTCCTGGTTTGATTGCTCGATAGCGCGTACCCAATTCCCCTGAGCTCAACGTATGCCGGAGTTAAATCGGCCGTTATACAGTGTGCAGTATACTACAGATACAGAGTAATAGGTGCTATTCAGTCTACAGATACAATTGAAGATGTTATCATAAGTATGTCGGCTCAACTACAGTTACCGATGGATCATTCCGTTCGAGTCTCCGCATTTCGGAACAACTGCGACTCCTCTTTCGTGCTTATGTCTTAAATTGCGCGCATAAGACCCTTTCTACAATTCCAATTGGGACTCTCCACGGACTCGATATTGACCGGAGTCGATCTCCAAACGGCTGACTCGTACGGACCACACGCCATGCCCGCTACGGAGCAAACGCCGCTTCTACGCGAGGAAACACAACAATATGCACCCCCGGGCACAGCCGCAACACAAGATTCCGAAATTCCCCTGGCTCAGGAGCCCAGCACGAAGGAATTGGTCCTGATTCTGGGTAGTATCTGGGTGGGTGTATTTTTGGCTGCTCTTGGTATGATAACCGGTCTGGATTTTCGCGGTTTGTCTGCCATGCTAATCCCGTAATTATCTGTAGATACTACCATCGTTGCGACGCTGACGGTCCCAATATCCTCGTCCTTTCACTCCCTGTCGCTGCTTTCCTGGCTGGCAACTGCGTATCTGATTTCCAATGCTGCATTCCAACCTATTAGTGGACGATTGACCGACATCTACTCCCGCCGCGCTGGTCTGATCTTCTCTAACGTCTTTTTCGCCGCCGGAAATTTGATCTGCGGTCTGGCCAAAGCTGAATGGGTCATTGTGCTTGGTCGGGTTGTCTCAGGGATTGGGGGTGGTGGTTTGACTGCGATTTCGACATTTATCGTTTCCGATTTGGTCCCTCTTCGGAAGCGAGGTGTATGGCAGGGGATTGGTAATATTTGCTATGGCGCTGGCGGTGGTCTGGGTGGAGTATTTGGTGGTTGGATCAATGACACGCTAGGATGGCGATGGGCGTTCCTGATTCAAGTTCCCTTCGTCGTAATCTCCGGAATTCTGGTGGCTATTACCGTGAAGGTGCCAGTGAAAGGAGATACTACGGGGAGACTGAAGCGCGTTGACTTCCTGGGTGCCATCACGTTGGTCATTACGCTCGTGACATTCCTACTCGGTCTCAATACGGGTGGTAACCAAGTGCCATGGACTCACCCTCTCGTCCTTACTACTCTGCCATTGTCCGCGGTGTTCCTGGGACTGTTTGTCTATGTCGAGGCGAAGCTGGCGTCTGAGCCCGTCATCCCGGTCAATCTGCTGCTCAATAGAACCGTCCTTTCGGCTTGTTTGACTAACTGGTTTACCACTATGGCGGTATTTGGGCTCCTCTTCTACCTGCCACTTTACTTCCAAGTCCAAGGTTTGTCCGCAACTGCGGCTGGTGCGAGGTTGATTCCCCAGGCGATTGGAACCTCCCTGGGATCCATGGGAACTGGCATTCTCATGCGTGCCACTGGCCGCTATAAAATCTTCAGCCATGTCTCGATGGCCCTTATGGTTCTTGGGACAGCACTGATCTGCACTATGTCGCTTGGCACTCCTGCCTGGCTGCCTTTCATCTACTTCTTCCTGGGAGGAACTGCTTACGGTGGGATGCTCACGGTCACTCTGGTTGCGCTCATTTCTGCGGTCGACCACCAACACCATGCCGTCATTACATCCGCATCTTATGCTTTCCGTAGTACAGGGAGCACCATCGGTATCACCGTCGCCTCCGCTGTTTTCCAGAATGTTCTCAAATCCGGACTTTGGTCTCGATTTGGTGGTCGCGAACACGCCAAGGAACTGATCTCTCGCATTCGTGACAACCTGGACGAAATTCGCAAGCTTCCATTGGACTGGAGACTGGGTGCGCTGGCTGCGTATATGGACTCGCTGCGGGCTGTGTTTCTGACTCTTTGTGGTCTGGCTTTCTTGGGGGCGTTGGCAAGTCTGGCCATGAGAGAGCACAAACTTCATACGAACCTGGCCAGACGAGAGCGCTGAGAGTCTATACTTGTACAAGCGTGTATATGGACAAGTGTGTATGGACATAGTCGAGACTTTGCAAATATTCATAGACAAAAATATCGAAACTTGGTGCTCTAATCCTCCCCTTTTATTGGCCAGTCTCGCAGACCGCCGTTTCCTTGACACTGACCAATCAACGGTGATCGCCCACATGACCGGATTGGGGAATTCCTTCGTCACTCGGCGGTCGATGGCTTCATCTTGACCCACCGCCAACTTCGCCATCCACTACTACTGCGCTTTATAATTTCTGCATTTTTTTGCATCCTCGTTGTTACGCTTGCCCAATACTTGACGCTTAAATTCTTGCGCATTCTAACATCTACTCTTTGTAAATTTCCGAACAGTGACAACCAACTAATCACCGATTCACGGCCGAAGAAATTCCCAGTCCAGCGCATACTCCATATCTCGCCTTGAAACAAAGCACCTTACGACTCGAAAAGGCACACCGCTCTTGATCATCTGATTTCAATATCAACACTCCTATCAACCCGCATAAACCCATACGTCCCCCATAAGCCGCTCCGTTGGGCTTTGCGCCACGGATACGGACGTTACATGGATCGCATATCGTGGCTGGAACAAGAACGATAATTGCTTGGACTGCGATCTGAATCGAATTTGACACGTTTACCTGCATACAACCCAACCGTGTTACCTTGCTATATCTTCGAGAGATTCAAAAGACCCGACCCGTTCGTCGCAAGCTACGTTTTCGATTGCATTTCCGACTATCACCCGGTTGTTTCTTGATATGGCTATAGGTTTCGGATCGAACAGCTCAGCTACTCCCCATAATTTGAAGACTGTCGTCTCGAAGGGTTTTTGCTCGACGGAGATGGAAATTGATGGGAATAATGAAGAGACGGTAAATGGAAACAGAGATACCGGCGCCAACGGAATATCGAAACATGATACCACTACTCCTTCGCCCCCACGCCGGAAACGCTTGCTTCTATCGACCGAAAGCTCCTTTGTCGACAATGTCCTCCCCTCCTTGGTACAAAACCCCGAGATTGAGTTACGGTTGATCACGGACGAGCCTTCAGCATCACTTGCGGGAATGAACAAGGTCCCACATTACATGGACACGGTGGATAGTCAGACGTTCGAGAAAAAGACGGCTGCCCGGAGGTGGCTGAAGGCCAAGGCGGCAGAGCTGTGTGAATGGACCGATATGCTACTGGTGGCCCCCATCGACGCTGGAACATTGGGATCAATGCTTGGAGGTTTGACCAACACTCTGACTCTGGCCCTTCTGCGTGGGTGGAAGTCGTCAAAGCCTGTCGTTCTTATTCCGGGCATGACAGTTTGTGAATGGGAACATCCACTGAGCAACAAGCAGCTCAACGAACTTAAGCGATTCTGGCCATGGATCAGTATTGTCACGCCAGTCCTGTTTAAATCAAAAGGACCTGATGAGCTAGTCCAACTTCCTTGGGACGGCTTGAAGGAACTTCACGGAACTATTGAAAAGACACTTGGATTGTCTTTCTCAAACGACACCTCAAATTCGAGCAAAGCCGATTATGCACCAGCGGTATCGGTTGACAAGTCGGCTGGGATTATCACCCCGATTTCGCGACAGTCGCAGCTCCGACTCAATAAAACCAAAGAAAACGGCGCACTCTCATTACCACTGGAACTATGGTTGAACATCTTCGAGGACAACCTGGGGGACTGGGAGACCGCCAAAGCTGTTGGTATCCCTTCAAATCTTCCAGTTCCCAAGGAGTGGCAATGTCATCTCCTGAAGATGTCGGCCCCTGCGTCGCTAGAATACACCATCCTACGAGGCTCATTTGCAGCAATCAAAAAGCGCATCGATGCCTTGCCACGTTGGAAACCACTCTCCGATCTCGCCTGCCATCTCATTTTCAAGTTCTCACGGACCGACATTCTCTCCTATCTCACAGAAAATCACCTCGACCTTCTCTGGACAACCTCCCGCCTCACAAACCTCCCATACCGCGCATCAGCCATCTACGGCAACCCCAACATCCTCACCTGGTGGCGCGACGCACCCGCCCTCCCCAACAAAGAATACATCGCCGACGCCATGGACGGCGCCTCCCGCGCAGGCTTCCTCAGTGTCCTCGAATGGTGGCGCACCTCAGGCCTCGAACTTCGCTACACAGAACGAGCTCTCGAAGCCGCCAGCGCAGAAGGCCACGTCCACGTCCTGGAATGGTGGAGAAACGCCTCCACAACCGCACCCCCGACAAACCCCCTCCCCCTCAAAGTAGGCAAATCCGTCCTCCTAGCTGCGCAGTCCGGCCGCGCCGAGTCACTCGCCTGGTGGGACGCCTCAGGAATCCCGTATAGCCACGCCGAATCCGTCGCCCGCATCTCCAGCACACACGGCCACGTGCACGTCCTGCAACTCTGGCACCGATTAAAGGGCGCGAAAATGATCTTCGACTGCCAGGTTCTCGTTGGACCAACGAAGAACGGACATGATAATGTGCTCGAGTGGTGGCGGCGGAGCGGGCTGCGGGTGGAGTTCAAGACGTGCGATATTGAAGAGGCGCTTGAAGACGCAGATCCGGTTTCTGGCGCTGAGGGGAGGGTTAGGAGGTGGTGGGCGAGGAATGGGTTGAATTTGGGGGTTGGGACGAGTGAGTGGATGAAAACGAAGGTTTTGTGTTCGTGAGCATATTTTTTTTTTTCTCCATTCTTTTTCTGTCCATTCTTCATTCCGTTCTGGTGTTTTTCTCTCTTCGATTCATGTTGATGATTATATGGTTGATCTGGTTGGTAATACCCATTTGCTCTTTCTGTTACTGTTTTTAACATTCAAGTACATATTGCTATGGTCTATTATGAGTTTGAAGCGCATGCATGTCTCTAGCTGGATCTCGATACCTAATGAATGAACGAGTTAATTTCACCTAAATTTACTGCGCGTGATAGTACGCTGTACAAGTTACATGCGATGCAAGGCAAGAAATGCAACACAGGCTAGCAATTGATCATATATTCAGTCATAATCGAGTATTCCCGTCCACCTCTTTGTTCGAATCCGCGTAAAAAGCAATATAAATATGAATGGGTATAGTCTATCAGCGATAGATAGGGTATGGGGTAAGATAGGCAAGATAGAGCAATGCAAAAGAGCGAGAGCCGCACGACTAAACTTCTCTCCTGGTAATTGTTAGTCTAGATCACTGCATAATAATTCAAAGAAACCTACCAAGTACGTCCAGCAGCATCAACAGAGGCCGGCGGGATAGCATTCCGATCACCGAACGGATTATTCTCATCGTCGTCTTCATCTTCCGAATCCGTCTCCGATTCACTCTCACTATCATCAAAAACACCCTTACCCTTACCCTGCTGCCGCGAAGCAGAAGGCAAAACCGGCAAACTCACAGGACGAGCAGGACGAGGAGGTTTGGGCGGGTTAATGCTGAGACCCGCAAAGCTCTCGTCGAAATCGTCGTCCCGTGGTGACCAGCCTGATTCGAGGACGTCCTGGTCGCTGTCACTGTCGTAATCGACGCTCTTGTCGAGGACTTCGAAGGCCATTAGGGCGGTGACTAGTTCTTCGTTTGCGTGGATGAGGCCGCCGAGGAATTCCTCTGTTTCGATGTATTGGATGTAGCGGAGGATTTGGCGGCGGAGTTCTCTGCATTTGTCGACGCGGTTCATGACTTCGATGTCTTCGCTGACACGCTGGGTTTCGCGGTTGACGAGTTTGAGGGAGTTGAGGAGATTTGTGCTGGCGACTGAGGAGTTGGCGAGGGTTTGGATCATTTGTGGTTTCTCGCGTTCTAGATTGAAGGAGCGGAATGCTCCCAGGCTCTTTCTCTTTTCCTTTTGGGCTAGCTTTTCTTGCTTCTCCTTTTCTTTCCTTTCTTGTTTCGCTTTGTGCTTGGCCTTGGATCCGCCACCGACAACCGTTGATGGCCCGTTTCCGGCTGAGATAGACACGCTGTGACCCAGTGGTTGCTGTTCTTTGGGAGGTTCGGAGTCTCGAAGGACTTTGGCTTTAGCCTGACTGGCTGGTTTCTTGCGCTTAGGGAGCTGCCTGTAAAGTGCTGCCACCCGTTCCATGCCCGGGGTGTTTTTGTAGGACACTGACCATTGGCCAAAGAGCTGTTTGCATTTCTCTTTCACCAATGGATCAGACACGGGATCGGTAGCAGCAATTCGCAGTCGTTCTAACAACGGCTCATCTGCAAACTCGCGCAGAAACCGCTCTCCGGTGTTTTGAATAAGAAAGTCGAGAATGGTGAGCGCTCTCAGTTGGCGATGAATATTTCCATATTTGCTATACATCGTCAGCTTATTGCATCCAGTTGAAAACAAGCTGGTAGTACTGACAGCTTCTTGCGCAGAGCGCGACTTGCTTCCATCGGACCACTGCCTTGGATCTGAATGGCTTCGATGAGATCGACAATTCCACTCGAATCTTCGGCCTCATATTGCTCGCCAGTGAGTACTTCGATCTGTGCAGTCACAGCCGAGTACGGTTTCTGCACATTCCATCAGTAACAGACACCAATCAACTGGCTGACAAGACACTCACCGAAGAGTGAAACATATTGAAGGTTGTTTTCTAACTGATACCATGTCAGAATAAACTCATAAGCTATAAACGGGCAGCTAATAGTAGCACCCACTCAACTGACATATGCAACTATGTGCTTCGGAGATGTCAAATCACGGGACTCGGAAGCCCACAGGTTCATGTCCCATGGATGAACGGACTCAGTAGACCCGGAGAATGGCACATGCAGCCCTGAGAAGCACAGTCCTTCAGCTGCTCTGTTGCCCTGACCAGCGGTGGTTCTGCTTGTTGCTTTGTTTGCGATAGATAAGTGCCGTGACGTGTTAGATCCCGGGCGGTAAGGCTTGGCAATGGCGCGGCAGAAACAACAGATTACCACCAATGGAAAGGAATTGGGAGGTGTAGAGACGAGAGATGCTGCAGAATAAGGAGGGGAATCGAGAGAGGAGACAAAAGGATAGACGTTGCTTTGTGAACCGTTTCCTCTGTTGTGCCCAATCCCGTAATGTCGGTCTCGTGATCAGCCCCTCGCCAAGCCTTTTGATACCGACTTATCCCAAAGAAGGTTAGTGCCGTTATAAGTGTCTGAACGCCTTGATGCCTTATGATGTCTGCAGCACCGGTAGTTACGCCACCGGTATCCCGCCAGGGTTTCTTTAATGTCAGATGTAGTATGTCCGATACTCGACAATTATAACTACCAAGTGCTAAGGAATTTGTCTACTAGGTCTACAGATGCTTCTTTTGAGTGTAGCTATCCAGGATGCAGCGCAAAGTACCGACGCAAAGAGCACTTGAAACGACATACATTGCAACATAACCAAGAAAGTCATATATCTTGCCCATATTGCCAGAGAACATTGACCAGGGGGGGAGTATTATCGTACTTGCCGTATAAGGGCATATAAGTAACAAGCTTATAGTGACCTCCTACGGCGACATATACGAATCCACCACCTCCAGAGACAACTCCCTCGTTCATCTCGAGCGCAGAAGGCATGTAGCGCTTGTCGGGCTCGAAAAGAACGTTGTGACGGTGAATTTCCTTGCGGCTCATGTCAGCAGCGAGGAATCAACTGTTCGCTCACTGGCAGGGGAACGAGAAGCGATGGGCAGGATACCGGCACAGAAGTGCAAGCAACTCATGCTCTCTCAACATCCACTGAACCTAGCTCCGCGCTTTCTGGCACGTTTCGGTGGAATTTCCATGAATATACCAATACCTACTTCAACGTTTTCCATCCAGTGTGGCCGTTCCTTCACAGGGCTACACTTGATCCACTTAAGGAACCGCGTGTGATCGTCCAATCCGTTCTCATGATTGGACTGTGGATAGATGGACGACGGGATACCGCGATAGAACTTCATTGCAGACTGCGTGGTGCGATAAATGCTCAGAGGGTTAGTTGCTTGATTTGAATTCTGACCTGAGGTTGACACTTATTACGACAGAGCCAATGGGACGTATCCAACCCAGAACTCAGCCAGAATACTAGGACATCATGGCCCATGGTAACGTACCAGGCTATACTTTTGCATATTATCCTTGCCATGTTTATCACAAAAGAAAAGGCAACATTCGATTTAGGCTTGCGATACCAGATCGAAGCAGAAGAGTACGACCTCCTAGTGTCTCTCGTTCAAAGCTGTCGACAATTGGGTATGTTCTTATATCCAAACATGCTAGCACAATATGACGATACTGCGCCAGCCGTTCTCGTCTGGGTGGGCGTGGAGGAGACCAAGCGGTTTGGGTTAGCCCTCTACAAGGTGTGCCGCATGTGCACTTGCGACTCGGCTGGAAGCAGGAGTCAGCTTCTGTCCCTGGCTGATTTGTCCTTTGGCATGCCGGGCAGTGATGAGTCATGGAATGCCCCAGCTGATGTGGGAACTGAAGAGCTTCAGAGGCTTGCCCTACAGACGAACTACAGGGAGAATGGGGAGCCTGAGTGGTGGATATCTAGGTCTTCCACTGTACTATATGATAATCTTGTCGATTTTGACTGGATATAGTTGGCAGTGTGCATTAATGTATACAGCCGTATTATTCACGCCGTTCAATGTATGCGCTATTGCCACCAGTCTATGTTGTTTCAAATTAAGACCCCTTCCCTTCCTGCATCTTCCGAATCATCGTACTCCTCTCCCTAATCTGATGCCCATAAAACAAAAACACAAAAGGAATCACAACACAAACCGCCTCAGCCATCCCCAGCATAAAACTCGCCCACTCCAACCCCAACCTCTCATACATCACTGGCCCAGCAAGCGGCAAAACAGCCCCCATAACACTCCTAAGAACCGTATTCCCCGCCAGCGCAGACGCAGAATAAACCCCATACGAATGCGCCAGATAATTATTACTATAGATAAAAACCGCCGCATTACCCGCGCCAAAAGGTATCCCCGCAAGAATGGGCACGACCCAGTGTACATTGGGTGTGGATGTCCAGGCGAACCATATCTCGCCAACGGCTAGCACGATGGCTCCGACGCAGGTTACTCGGACCATTGCTTCGGGTGGGACTTTGCTGGTTGATGGGTCTTTGGGGTGGGTGTTTATCCATTTGCGGAGGAGGGGCTCAAGGGTGATTATTGTTAGTGTACCGCAGCCTATTCCGAGGTATGCGAGGCCGCCTATGCCGGGGGACCATCCTCGGTTGGTTTGGAAGGCGATGGGGTAGGCCACGAAGCAGAGGTATAGGATGCCGTATACGATGGCAACGTACCAGTCCCAGAAGATACTGAATAGAATGTTAGATATGTAGATTAGGGGAGATTGTCATACTCACCAAATAGGCTCCGTAAGGAGCATGATGAAAGGACGGCTGATGTTGGTCCTGAGAAATGACAGGAACGGTAGGTGAGTATCATGAGAGCTCCACCACTTGAAATTCCCCGTTTCCTGCCTTTTCCTCGCTGCTCGCCCCGGAGAAGCACCGGCGCATATGTCTCCTCAACAGAGCCCACCAAAACCAAAGCCAAACCCCCCATCATCATAATCAACCAATTAGTCCACCTCCACCCAAGATACTCAAACACAAACCCCCCAATAATCGGCCCAAGCACAGGTCCATTTATAGGACCAATGGACCAGAACCCCAACGCCAGTGCCCGATGATGCTCCCGAACAATATCGTTAACAGAACCAGGAGAGTTCGACACCAGAGCACTGCCAAAGAAACAAGCAAAGAAGCGCGAGATCAGAATCGTCTCGATATTCTTAGCCAGAGCACACGGTAGCACGAAGATCGTAAAGAGTCCCGCGGATAAGAGGTAGACTGGGCGGCGGCCGAGTGTCTCGCTCAAGGGTGCTAGGAATACACTTCCTACGGCCATGCCCAGCAGGTATGTTGTTATGCCTAGGAGTCCGGTGATCTTGGAGATGTGGAAGTCGTCTTGTAGACCGGGGATGCTGACTGAGTAGGATGTGCTGAAGAGGCTAACGACTGTTGCACCGTAGCCCATTGCGAAGATGACGTAGAATTTGTATGGTAAGAACCAGTTCCGTGGATTTTGGGGGTCATTCTCGGTCCAGTTTATTTCAAACTCCGCCTTTGGCATCGTGAATGGTTGACTCGATGTTGTGTTGATATCTGCGGGAAGGCTTGGAGTAAGAGCCACATGCTGGGGACCTGAGTTGAGCGTACTCGATAGATACTCTGGCACCGTATGCATTCCGTGGTTGTGAATATTTGCAATGGTAGAGATAGAAGAAAGGCAAGGAGGAAGGGACTTGTAAAGGGTTTGACGACACTAGCAGAGAACCTTTATAGAAGCCCGCATTTATTATTCTATGTTATACGATTAAGGAAGCCATTATCCGTTTATTATAAATGCATTTCTACCTCTCCTTTCCTAGAGCCGGGTGGGATACCGAAAGGACGGGCGGGATACCATCGGCATCCCGTCAGTATGCCCTAATATGCTGCGTAGTGAACGCTTACCATGGACCTCCGAGATGAAGAATTTTCATCAATAAGACAATTTTAATAATGCTTAGGAAGGAGGGAAGAAAGAGGAAGAATCATGGTAATGCTATAAAGCGATAGTATAAATTCTTCATAAAACCTCTCCATCTCTGTACCTACCTTCTTCTTAGAATCATCAAGTCCGCCCAATACCACTATAAAACATCTTATCAAGTGCTCCAGCAGCCATGGACTCCCCAAATACAACTCTCACAGTCACCCACATTACCACGGCAACTGCCATCCTGAACATCGACGGCATCAACTTCCTAACCGATCCCTATTTCGGTACTGAAGGCTCTCACGTCACAGAGCTAGACTGGCAGAATGCCCGTTTACAGGAAGACTTTGGACTAGATGCCATTCCGCCACCGGTTTCCCTTGTCAACACCAACGGACCAGCACTTCAGCTCCACGACATACCGCCCATTGACGCGGTGCTTCTAAGTCACGAAGACCATCTTGACAATCTCGACCCGGAGGGACGCAAGCTACTGGATGGACGGAAGGTGTTTACTACCATGGATGGAGCCTCTAACCTGCGTCCTCGTCCTGGAGTAGTCGGTCTTCGCCCCTGGCAGACCGTGACTGCCAACATTGGAGGAAAGACTTTTCAAATCACCGGCACTCCCTGCAAGCATTTCCCGATTGGCGAGGTAACTGGATTTATTTTGGAGACCGACTCGTTTGGCACCGATGCTGCAACCGGGAAGCCAAACGCGATTTACTTTTCTGGTGATACAGTCTATATCGACGAGCTGAAAGAGATCGGGAACAAATGGCATGTCATGGCTGCTGTTCTCAATCTGGGGAATGCGACTTTCCACTTTCCGATTGGTCCTATCCAGATTACGATGAATGGTAAACAAGCTGCTCAGTTTGTTCGTGACATTGGCGCTGATGTTATGGTTCCCATGCATTTCGAGTCATGGGATCATTTTACTGAGTACAGGGAGGATTTGGTTAAGGTTTTCGAAGAAAAAGGGATTATGGATAAAGTGTGTTGGACGACTCCTGGTGTTCCAAAGTCTGTTTATTAGCTTGTACTCGACAAGCAGAGGAAAAGGATGATAGAAAAAATTCCGAACTGAACAGGACAGTGATACAAGCAATCATTTCAGTTCACTGTAAATAGTGCACCATCTATAAAAGATTTAGAGCAAGTTATTCTTAGTTCAAAGCTACGTAATAGAAACTTCAAGACAGCCAGATCTTGTATCTCAATCCCATTCAGTAAGAGCTCCCCAGAATGACGCCCTGTAGAAAAGAACCGATGTGTCTCTGACCCCCAAGCGCTCAATAATGCACTGAACCTTCTGATTATCGCCATGGAAGCTTCTAGTCGCCTTCTTCCGGACACCCACCATAATTGTGAGGGGATTATCCTCACTATTGGGGCTTGATCCACGCCGGTAACATCATACCGACATTATGTCTTCGACATCAAGCTCTTTGAGGATGGTTTTACAGACTTCATACCACACGGAGTTAATGCTGTCAGTATCCAAGACGGACGAGCTATAGAAATACTGATAGAGAATCTCATCAATCAGCTCAACCGAAAAATCGTCGCGCAGATCACCAGCAATATCATGGAATATCTGTTTCGTGACGTCGCACCATTTCTCGGTCTACGATCCTTCTTTCATAATGATAAGAACTGTTTGCACTGGAACAGGCTCGCTGTTCGCTCACGAAAGACGGCCAGTGAGGGTGATTTCAGTGTATTGGATTCCTGCGCTGGCCAGGATCCGGTCTACTTTCTCCTCGACGTGCGCAACTTCCTCCGGCGTATATTTATGATAATAGCCTACTCGAAGGGGCTCTTGGTCTGCCGGTAGGGAACACAGATATGGTCCACCAGCTCTCTGTCTAGACTGCAGGAAGCCATCTTCATCGACATGCATGCCGCTGGCTTCGACCAGCATGGAGGGATGGGTGGGCGAGTAATAGCCGAGTGCGTGGTCACTGACCCGGGCCATGTTGAAATCGTATCAAGTGGATGTTGATAGTAAGAGGATTGATAGGATGGGGTTTTATACTAGATTTGATATTGCAGCCTATTCACATTTAGACGTCATTTTTCTGACTCAATCAGTAAATACCATCTAGCTCAGGCTCCAGTTAAGCTACCCATTATTTTTGAACCTCACAACAAACAATAATAACCCTATCATAGCCTAGTTCTACAACACAGCTTCCCCCCAAGAGAGCACCGCCACATTTTCACGCAGGAAGAAGGTCAACTTCGATAAAATCGGTATTACTGGACGGCAATTTAAAGTGAACACGGAGCCTCAACTGTATCAATAATGATAATCGTTGCAAATAGACAGACCCTGCTGGAGGATTGGGTGGCGATCTGTGGCCAAGCAAATTGATATCTTTGTTAAACTATTTTTCCGATTTCTCCGTCGACACCATCGAGGGATACTTAACCATTCTCTTGTTACAGTCAAGGTATCAAGTTTCATGACGGAATTGTTTACAAAAGTTACCACCAGTGAGATTGAGGACTGTGTGCAAATAAGGGAAGGGCTGTGTTTTTGATGGGAAGAGAGATTTGTATTCTTGAATCACTTTGTGCGCGCCAACCGACCTCCGAAAAGGACGACATTGCAAAAGTCCTTCTACCGAGGGGCTGCATTGTTCCCGCCAACAGGATACAAAGGCTGCGACATAATTCTTCCAGCTTACCTGCGAGCCACAGGAGAAATGTCATACATATTAACCCAGGTGAAGAATTGGTCACATAACAGATGAACTAAAGAATTTCTGTCCATGAGGCAAACATGATATCTGGGAAATGGGGTGACACCTGGTTAACATCTTGGTGGAGCTCAACATCGATGAATGGACCATCCTGGAATGTTGGAGATTCAGGGACCAAAAAGTGCAGGTTTTAGGCTCCTGTTCTTGCTATCCTGTGTGACGGTATGAACTTTGACTTCAGTTCCATTGTCAGATTTGTATACTTGTCCGGATACAAAACAGGATTGACAGCAAGCAGACATGGTCTCTTTCACACTCATTAAGTGGAAGTAAGTGACAATGCTCTTTATGCAGCTCATGATGAACACCTATTTATTAATTCATGTCTGTTTAATAGCAACAGAGTGCCTGTTTGATTGGTTTATCATGGAACATGTGGAAGGAACGCATGTCTGCATATCTATGGAGTGAGTACTAGCGATAACCCACTGAATAACTTGTCATGTTATTGCAAGCAGTCAGAAGGGACCAAAAATGGAACATGTCAGTAATAGCCAACAGATAAGAAAAGTCCTCTTGCGGTTTGACAAGACCGATATGGGAGTTACCTTCATGAGAGACAAACATCAGCTACCCCACAACTAGATAAAGAAGACTGCATAATATAAATTCAGCCCGGAGTCAGTATTGAAATTCACATCAGCCAGCAGTACATTAGCTTGGGATTCGAAGTGGTTTCTACCATTCTGAGTGTCACCGTGAGTCAACTACGAGATGACCAGAAAGAACGTGCGAGGTTCTTGAAAAGCGCAAACAGGCAATTATCAGGCTATTTAAAGTCAAAGAGAAGGGTCCTCTACCACAGGAGGGCTTGTGGGGTTACATTCTAAAGGGAGGCTAAACATAGCATCGCTTTGGTCTAACTTGTTTTCATTATACCTACTCCTCAAACGACCACGGGGATGTGTACAAGATACCTGGTGCAGAATCTGGCAAGAACAGAGAATGACAGAGCTTTCTCCAGAAATCACCAATGATACTTCTACAGCTTTTGTCCTGTGGGAATGGAATCTCAGTACAGGATGTGGGCTTAAGCCGCACCACACAAATGCCTATAAAGACCGTTCATCGCCTAGATAGATTTCCTTTGCTTCTTCTTCCCCAGATTCGATATTCTCGTCGTTAGGCTACCTAGTCTAGATATGAATATTATTCGTTTTATCTGCTAGTTTCCGAGCCCGTGACACAGCCAGTCGTTTTTCTCCGTTATTCCTATCATTCCTTCTATGTAGACTGATGACGAATTCTACGAACGTAGGCCTCCTAGCATTTCTTATTCTATTCAGTATCATATTTTACGTGTGCATCAAGACTAAAGATCGGTGCTTCCATTTACAAGGCTCATTATGACGACTCAACGCTTCAACGCCGCCTCGGTGGCTGATATCAACGAACGCCCCATCCGAGCAAACAAGAAAGCGCTAGTGTGGCCACACATCCCATGGATAAAACCCCTTTTCTCCTGTAGATGAAATTCTCTTCTTCTTTTCTCTCCAGATTCGATATTCTCGTCGAAGGCTGCACTAGTTTAAATAGGGATATCATTTCGTTAGTTCAAGCCTGTAACAGACATGAGTTTCGCTCTTTGTACAGTTTCTATGTCTTGTCTTTGCCTCGACTTTTCCAAGTACTATCATAGCTAACTGTCTTCTAATTAGATACACAGTTAGACAACCATGGAGCCATATATGGAGAAAGAACTAGGCAGAGCTTGCTAGATATGGGCTATCTACTGTGTGTCGAGAATTGACGGGTTGTAACCCTATGCCAAAGACAAAGATATCAAACACAACTAACATCATCAACTGTCGTGAAACTTTAAATAGAATTTGATAAATGGAAAGCTATGATAGTGCCCTTTCCATCTAGGACATAGCATTATATCTCATTGACTATGAAGATAGGCGGGAGGCGGAGAGGACCAGAAAATGAGAGGTCAGCCATGGCTTGGAAAGAATTCAGACCTCTTGACCCTGGCATAGACATTGTCTTGTTCTTTATGGCCATCCCCATTTTCATCATTGTACAATTCTCCTGGATACATGCACCAGGTTCAACTTCTGTAGTCACTACCGCTCCTCTTATCCCAAGAACAAATTATGCATGCATATATGCATGGTTCATTTTGTAACTCAGAGAAGTCCTAAATGCCTCTTGTGGAGCAATGGGCTCCTTGAATATGCTGTCATCAGTCTTTATTATGGAGTGGTTATTGAGCAATATGTACATACATGGTACAAGGCTATAATTTTTCATGATAACGAGGCTGAATAGTACAATTAGTATTGGTCTTAACCTCACAGGGCAGTGATAGGCAGTAATTATTACTTGTAAAGTGGGCCACAGTTGTAAAACATAGACAATTTGCTATTCTATGGCATCACTAACTAAATCAAAGCGGTCGGTCTTGTGAGGTAAGATTGCAGGCTTGGCTTTGCACGTTTTATATGGCTCCCTTGCCAGGGTGCAGTGATCCTAGCCTGAGCGATCCCGAGTGGCTCCGGCGTGGTTCCCTGATCGCTCCGGGCACGCATCACCTTGCTCCGGGTACGCTCCGGGCGGCTCAGGGAGCCAAAAGCGGCGAGAAGTCGGAGCGAAAACGGAAAGGGCAAGTCTCGAGATTTCCGCAGCAAACTATCACAATAGTAGAATACTCAATGTATTGTTTGAAATGGGTGCGTTATGATCCAAGGGAGACAGTGTTGCTATCAGAAAGCATTCAGCACTGGTAGGTGCTATAATGGCCATTCCGTACTATATCCTGCACGTAAATGCGACATTCGCATGTCGAAAATTGGGCAATCCTCTGGTATCAATTACTTCTCAATGACCATAACCATGTTATATCCTCCATAATAATCTACTATCTCACATTAAAAGGTCCGATGTTGATCGTTTCAGAATTGATAACCCGCCACGCATTTTCATTTCCTCCCCGCTCCACTTAAACAATTATGCTTAAAGCCCGCCACCGTCTCACCACTTTCTTCTCCCACCTAGTCACCACACCCACAACCGCATCCTCTCCCTCCTATATCCAAGTCACCAACATGTCCGCATACCAACAAGAACGCTACATCGCCGAACTCGCCGTCCAGCGCGCGACCATCCTCACCCAAAAGGTCTTCCACGAAAAGGCCAAGGGCACCGTCTCCAAGGACGACAAATCCCCCGTCACAATTGGCGACTTCGGAGCCCAGGCCCTGATCATCCAGGCCATCCGCAAGAACTTCCCCAATGACGAGATCGTCGCCGAAGAGGAAGCCAGCTCCCTTCGCGAGGACAAGGCGCTGAGCGCTGAGATCTACAGATTAAGCAAGGACATTAAGCTGGAGGATGCGGAGAGTGACAACCTGCTTGGCGGCCCGTTGTCCAGTGAAGAGGCGATGCTCGACATCATCGACCAGGGAAACAGCAAGGGTGGTGCGTCTGGTCGCATCTGGGCGCTGGACCCCATCGATGGTACTAAGGGTTTCCTCCGTGGTGGCCAGTATGCGGTTTGCCTTGGTCTGATGGTGGATGGTGATGTGAAGGTGGGTGCTATTGGGTGCCCCAACCTGCCTGTTGATGACGCCGCGGCGCTCTCCGCGAACATTGGTGCCGACCAGGACGACGGCACTGGTAAGGGCGTGCTCTTCTCCGCCATCCAGGGTCAGGGATCTGCTAGCCGTCCTCTTGCCAACGGTGCGCTGGCTGAGAGCAAGTCTATCTCCATGCGGCCTTTGGCAGATATCACACAGGCTACCTTCTGTGAGGGCGTTGAGGCTGCTCACTCCGCGCAGGGCGACAATGCCGCTGTTGCTGAGCGCTTGGGAATCACCAACCCCAGTGTGCGTCTGGACTCGCAGGCTAAGTACTGCTCTATCGCCAGGGGTGCTGGTGACATCTACCTGCGTCTCCCTGTGAAGAAGGACTACCAGGAGAAGATCTGGGATCACGCTGCTGGTGATCTGATTGTCCGTGAGGCCGGTGGCCAGGTGACGGACATCTACGGTAACCGGTTGGACTTCACCAAGGGCCGGACTCTTGCTGCCAACAAGGGCGTTGTTGCCGCCCCTAAGGCCTTCCAGGACCAGGTCATTGACGCTGTGAAGGTTGTTCTGAAGCTGTAAAGAAAAGTTCATGTATGATCTATAATGAGAATCTATGATGATGAATGATATTTTTTTTGTCATGTCACGCTAGGTGCGCCTAGAAATACATTGGATAGATACAATATGCAGGGAAAATAAAAGTGCTTCAATATACATCCCAACGTAAAACCATAACCCAGTGTCCCAATTGCTCCCCGAAGAACAGAAAATATAGAAAACCGCCAAGATTACCTGATCTTCTTGGCCTTCAATCTGATCGTCTCTCCGTTAATGAAGATACCCTTGCCCTTGTACGGCTCCGGTCTTCTCCATTCCCTAATCTCTGCCGCAAACCTCGTCACCATGTCCTTTTTAACGCCCTCCAAAAGGATACGTGTGGGTTGCGGAGTGCTCGCCTTGACGCCCTCCGGAATGCCCAGCTCGACGGGGTGCGAGAAACCGACTTTCAGGTTAATGAATTGTTGGCCGGGATATGTGGGTTCGACCGTGGTTGCCGTGGATTCGATGCTGGCCCTGTAACCGACACCAACCAGACTCAAGATACAGATGTGGCCTTCCGCGACGCCAAGGATGTGGTTCTGTAGGTGCGCGCGCATGGTACCTGGAAGTAATAGCAATTGTTAGGCCGTGATCCGATTCCTCCAGTAATTCCGAAGTACATACCCCACATAGCACGCTGGTGTTCATTTTCAGAGTCCCTCACAGACACCTTTGCTTTCCGGGCAGCTTCATCATGGGCGACTTCGAGGAAGGGAGGGAGGTCAAGGGTCAATTGGCCTGCAACAAAAAACAATCCACAATTAGTCTTGTCCTCCGATGCCCGCAAGAAGGGAACCACAACGAACCTAATGGCCCCTTGATCTCAACCGCAGTCTTCGGAATCTCCTTTGTCCTCCCACGAACTTGCGTCTGAGGGAGATCAATAAAACTTAACGAAACCTCTGGCGGTACCGAGATCGCGGCGCCGCCAACTCGAGACTGTGCCGGAGCGGTGGTCGAAAAACATTGTGTGCGTCGGGACAGGGAGGCGGCGGGTGAGGTGAGCGTAGGCAAGGATCCCTGTCTCAGGGTATTCCGAGAGAGCTGTCTCAAGCAGATTTGGGGTATGGAGCAGGACATGGCGGCGGTGGTTGCGGTTGACGGAGCGTCTTGGGGTCTCCGAGTGTACGAGTGGATTTTACCTGGGTTTCCCAATGGGGATTAGTGTAGCTGCACGTGACATTTGTATGGCCCTGTACCTGATGCTTTGCGACTTCATCTCTTCTCAACCACCTTCATTCAGCGTGACAGGCTCATTATGATTGCTGCTTTTATTTGAGAGCTATCTGTTACCTTTTTCTTTTATTGCTCATCCGTACCAAGTAATGTAATATTTGCATCTTCTTTCTACTGCTTTTGTTGCTTTCTTCCTTCGTTTTTGTTGCTATAACTTATAAACCTGGCTCTGTTTCGACTGCTCTCATTTTATACTAATTGCAATCTCTTTCGTTCTTTGTATGACCCGAGTCAAGGCAGTGCCTGTCTCTTTCTGGCTTCTACCCCGACCTTAACAGCCACAATGAGGACGTCTGGGAAATCTCAAATCACCATGCTATCTTCGTTCATTCTCTTACTCACATATTTCTCCCTGATATTGCCTGTCAATTCAATGGCAGACGGTACGTGCTCTGGTTGCATCTTAACCCCGATCTCGCTGACAGAACGAACAGAGCTTTCTACGCACAATTCATCCAACGACATGGATTTGATCTCGTTCTTGAATACTAAAACCCAGCGACACGATGTTATATTTACGGAAGCAGTTAAACTGCTAGAGTCGATGAAATCCGCTCCTTCGTGCAACCGGCTCGCCGCAACCAAACTGGTGACGTCCTGTCAATCGATCAACGGCAAGGATAACGGTCTTGGATCGGACAACTACGTGAACCTCGAACATATTCGCTCATTATATGCTGCAAGGCTGGCTGTTTGCGAGCTTGATGGAGCTGGAGCATCCATTCCTGCGTCGTGTTCCCCGGTGGCCGTTTCATCAACTCAGAAGAGAAGCTTCTTCGGTTTCTCGGGTAAATATAAATCTCAGAACGACATCGATATACCTCAGCACCTCCTCGAATCTTGTCTAAAGTCGTTGGAGTCAAGACCGCAGTGGTGGACGTCTTATAGCAACAGTAGGCAAAACGCTATGGTGATATGCCAAGCGGCAAGGATTGAGGGTGAAAAGGAAGAACTGCTGGACTTACACAGACATATCATCGATGTTACGCTCAAACTCAACCATGGTCTTGAAGAGGCTTTGCGGACTGCGGCTGCAGAGTCTGCAGAGCAGAAGGCATTTGTTCATGCTATTGATACGATGCGGAGCAGGCTGACCCGTGAATTGGAAGACACCGAGATACGTTTCAAGCGCTTCATTAGTGAATTGTATCATGATGTCGAGTCCAGCGTCGAGTCTATTGTGTCCAGCGTAATGTCGGCTCTGGGAAGGGTTCACACAGGAACCGCGGCTCTCGAAAAGGTCTGGAATATGTTACTTTACTGATCGACAAGGATCTATCTGACGTGCAATAGGATGTCCGGAATGTTTCCAACGAGGTCGATCATCTGCAAGAGACTCTGCGGGCCGTCCACGCGGAAACTCTGGCAAGAAGCGAGCAACTAATGCAGGTACATCGACAAGATTCGCACGCCCAGATAGAAATTGCATCATCTCTTCGTTCATCCTTGGAGTCGCTTTTGCGGGGCGACATGGTTAGGCTGTCTCGGGAAATGGAAACTTTTGATACTTCAGTAGTGAGTTCTATCGTATATTGAGACGATGGCGACTGACCATGCAGGAATGGTTGCTTGGAAAGATGGGTGCTATTCTACACCAGGAGGCCAAGGTGTCGGAGGTTAGTGACAAAGCACATTTACATGAACAATTCTGACATTTACAAGCGCCTTCGAACCTTTGAAACATTACTAGAGCAGTCTGAGATGAGGGCTGAGAATCTGCACAGAGCACAACTGCTGCAATCCGAAGCCATTGTGTCACAATCTCAGGCGCAGGATAATATACAAACCGACATCCGAATCTCCCAGGCACTACTCGATAAAGTGACCGCCACTGCAGCCAACCTTCAGACTATGGTTGATGAGACAGCAACCAAATATCGAGAGTCTCCTGTTTTAGGCGGATTGAACGGGACCTATTCAGCTTGGACGGTGTGTGCTCTACTTTTCAGCATGCTTGGTGCGCAGAATCCGAAGTCTGCCTTGGCCCTGCTTTTTATCGGGATGAGTATGTGTTTTCTTGGTTTCTACTTATTGCTGCTAACCCATACTGCTCTAGCTCATCTCGTCGTGACGAGGGCCATCTTTTAATGGCTATGCCATTCATATTGACGTGTATACGACTTGTGTATAATGATGTATCATATTTTACGCGATATATTTACGACCAGTGACGACTGTACAACAAATTGTTTCATGTTTTATTATCTACGGGATTTCTGAGGGTTAAACTGCCGAATTCATACGATTTGCCTATTAATTGACTCAACCTAGAACCTAGGCAATCGGGATTGATCTTACTTCTATTTACCGTGACAACCATGCTAACGATGGAGCAGGGAGACGTGGCTTAGCATTAGACCTATTAATGGTCTTATGCAACGCCCTTGTTAACGCATGCTAACAGAGTGCGGAGTACCCTGCATTTGCGGGGAATACCGTAACCTGTGTATGTTGGTGAGAACCTCGGCATTCTACGATCAGCCATGAGTCTTGTAATTTTGAAAGGGATTGTACTCAGTCGGTAAGCCAAGATGGCCCGTTACAATCGTGATGCTCTCCTATGATTGGAAGCAGCTCCACTGATTATGCTCCCGGATCCACGGTCCATGCTTAAATAACACTGCTTGATCGGTATGACAGAACCAAAGCCCAGACAATCGGCATAGACGCTATCCGAGTTGTCCGCTTCCTGCGAGTAAGTTCACTTCTCCGATACATAGTTGCTAATTCTGAGCAGTCAGCAACCTGCAGATTCTCCGCGTGGGAAATTAACCCTGACGATCCCCGGATTTTGTCCGTGGAGACGTTCGAGTTAATCCACACTGCGTTTTTCCACACTGCGTTTCGGATATCCCAAACCAAGCATTGCGCATATCCTTGCTGCCTTGGTCGCTTTACCCTCAATCATGGCGTCAGTAACGGCTTTACTTCGGGAAATCCGTGCTTGGATTAATTGATCTCTTTATAAGCTTAGCACGGATGCTTTGTACGCGTACCTTGTACTCCGTACGCTGTACAGAGAAGTATGTCCGGTGAACTATATTCCGAGTACCTTGCAGAGAATATAAAATAACGGAGGCGAACCTTTTCATCGTCCGGCACTTTGGATACAGACACAACTCAATCGGGGTGATTGACCACTCACTATGGCTCTCCTCCGCTCTCTTACCCTACTGGCCATGGGCTCGTCAGTCCTAGCCAACCAAGACGCTTTCCAGTCTCGCTGTACAAGCTTTGCGGATAGGATTGATCTACCAAATGTCAAGGTCAACTTCGCCAACTATTTACCCGGCGGAACGAACCTGTCGCTGGCAGACAACCCATCCACCTGCGGTGAATCCTCTCAGACCGTGGCTGGGGATCTGTGTCGGGTTGCGATGGCTGTTACGACATCGAATGCCAGTGAGATTACATTGGAAGCTTGGTTTCCTCGAAACTACACTGGTCGTTTCTTGAGTACGGGCAATGGAGGTCTCGGTGGTTGTATGTGACGCCTGCATGTTTTGTTTTGCTCTGGGATTTCAATGGCTGACAACAAACAGGCATCCAGTACTATGACCTTGCGTATACCGCTCAATTGGGTTTCGCCGCTGTCGGAGCTAACAATGGTCACAACGGAACGTCTGGTGAACCTTTCTATCAACACCCTGGGGTTCTGGAGGACTTTGCCTACCGTTCCTTGCACACGGGCGTCGTGACTGGCAAGCAACTTACTAAGTTGTTCTATGATGAGGGATTCGACAAGTCGTACTACTTCGGATGCTCGACTGGTGGTCGCCAAGGATTCAAGTCAGTTCAGAAGTACCCCAACGACTTCGATGGTGTGGTTGCTGGAGCGCCGGCCTTCAACTTCATAAACCTGCTTTCGTGGAGCGCACACTTCTACCCTATCACCGGATCGCCGTCCTCAGACACATACCTCTCGCCATCTCTCTGGAAGGTCGTCCACCAAGAAATCCTCCGACAATGCGATGACCTAGACGGCGCTAGAGACGGCATCATCGAAGACCCCGACGTCTGCAACCCCGTCCTCGAAACCATCATCTGCAAGTCCAACGCAACAAACACCAACCGTTGCCTATCCGGCGCCCAAGCCAACACCGTCCGCCAAGTCCTCTCCCCTCTCTACGGCGCCAACGGAACCCTCCTCTACCCCCGCATGCAACCGGGCTCCGAAGTCCTCACCACCAGCTTCATGTACTCTGGCAAACCCTTCCAATACAGCCAGGACTGGCTCCGCTACGTTACATACAGCGACCCTAACTACAACGCATCTAACTGGAACGTCCACGACGCCACCGCCGCCTTGAAACAGAACCCCTACAACATCCAAACCTGGGAAGCGGACCTCACGCCCTTCCGCAGCGCAGGCGGAAAGGTCCTCGCTTACCACGGTCTACAGGACCAGATGATCAGCTCCGACAACTCGAAGCTGTACTACCGCCGCGTGGCTGAGACGATGAACCTGGCCCCCAGCGATCTGGACGAGTTCTACCGCTTTTTCCAGATCAGTGGCATGGGACACTGCCACGGTGGTGACGGAGCCTATGGGATCGGGAACGGATACGACGCGTACAACGGCGACAAGCCACAGGACAACGTGCTCATGGCGATGGTGAAGTGGGTGGAAGATGGTGTTGCGCCGGAGACTGTCCGCGGAGCGAAGTTTGCTGATGGCCCGGGATCGCAGGTGCAGTATGCGAGGAAACACTGTCGGTTCCCGAAGAGGAATGTGTTCAAGGGGCCGGGGAACTACACTGATGAGAATGCGTGGCAGTGTGTTTAGATGAGTGGTGGTTATTATTTTTATTATTATTATTATTCATACACGCATCTGTCAGCCCTATAGGCCGAGT